GCTTAAGGGCCCCGAAAAAAATTGGATTCTAGATGTTCTGTGGTGTGATTTGAAGCAATTTCTTACGACTTTCCTCCATGCTTTAACTAATATTTTCTTGGCAAAAGATAATTATTTGAACATCGTTTTCGAGGTTGGAGACATTGAATCAGCTATCGGTATTCTGAGCTTGGATTTTCGATGCTCTGTGGTGTGATCTGAGGCAATTTCTTACCACTTTAACCAATAATTATCTTAGCACAAAAGATAATAATTTAAACATAATTTTCGAGGTTTTCTCAGCTAAAGGCATAAGAAAATTTGTGAACATTGTTTTCGAGGTTGGAGTCATGGAATCATCTTCCAGAATTCTGAGCTATAGGCGTGAGGTTCGGGGCCCGCTTAAGGGCCCCGAAAAATTTTGGATTCTAAATGCTCTGTGGTGCTATCTGAGGCAATTTCTGACCACTTTAACCAATATTTTCTAAGCAAAAGATACATTGTAGTACATAATAGGGCCCATGGCGTCATGTAGATCAATGATAATTTTTTTAGAAACTCAAAATCTCAGTGGGGGGGGGGGGCGACGGGGGGGGGGGGGGGGGGGGTGGGGGGGGGGGGGGGGGGCCCCCCCCCCCCCCAGGGGGGTTCATCCCCCCCCCTCGCCCCCCCCCCCCCCCCCTACCCCCCCCCCCCCCCCCCCCCCCCCCCCCCGGTGGCTACGCCACTGGGCTTACACGTAACTATTGTCCAGTTTTTCCTCATTAATTTTATTCGAGTGAATGTATTAACTTTCTACGGGAAATTTCTTGCCGCGGTAGACGGGGCGCAGCATGGTCGCACGGGCCGTTAATTAAACCTCTGTATGACACTTAAAAAACACATTTGTGAGTAACAAATTTGTTATGTCGTCATTATTTGAAAAGAAAAAAATGGACAGGAACGACCAACTTTCATATACTATTACTAGGTTTCTAAGAGTTTCATTGTTATGCTTAGTATTCAGATTATTGTATGTTCACTCGTATCCCCCGCCCTGCAAACAGGGCGCTGGTAAGGGCTGATGAGCTTCACAGAATCTTGTGAAGGAAGTACAGATTGACCTTCGCATGCAGCTAGCGCGCGCTACGCATGATGGGCACCGGAAGCTAGTTTGTGTGACGCGTTCTACGTCACAGGTCACGCAAATCTATCCAATGAGAGCTCAAATGACGTCAGCCCTGGCCTTACCAGCGTCCTGTTTGCAGGGCGGGGGGTACGAGCGAATATTGTATGATCTTTTTTCCCGAAATGGTCGGACAGAGGGCGCCTTTGCAACTAGACAGAATCGGCACCGTCTGACCACTCGATTGGACAGAGCTGCGGAAGTAATACTTTTTTTTAACCAATCTTTCATATTAAGCAATTCTGACGTTTCTCGGTATATTCAGGAATTTATTGAGGAAGAAAAGTTACGAGTGGTGAGGGATTTTTTGTCTGGTTTGGGGATTGCTATAGGGTTTTCAATTTGAGAATCAATTTTGGATCGTTAGTCAGAGGCGTTTGCATTCAACCTGTCAGAGTGTCGATATACGTGGATGAGAAGTACAGTTACAAGGGCGGATCGGGGGGGGGGGGGGGGCAACGGGGGGCCATGCCCCCCCCCACCCCCCGAGTGACGTCGCAATAAACAGGCACTGCGTACACCGCCATCTTTTCCTCAAACAAAATTGGTCAAAGTGGTCAGAAACTGCCTCAGATCGCACCACGGAGCATCTAGAATTAAAAAAAATAATCGGGGCCCTTTAATAAGCGGGCCCCGAAGCCCAGGGCCCCGAAGCCCACGCCGTCATTTTTTGACCCACTTTTGGAGGCACCAACTTGTTTGCCCCCCCCCCCCCCGAAAAATTTGTGTTCTGGATCCGCCTTTGTACATTTATTTATTGTACAAACAACAATTGGTAAATGTACAGGGTTCGACCTTAACTTTTTTCTCACTTGCCAAGCTGGCTACCCAAACTCTTAACTAACCGGCAGGCATTTTCACTAGCATTTTCACTGTGTATATTATGTATAGTAGTTTGTTTTTTCACATGTTATTACTGTATTTATAAGTTTGTGGTAACCATTTTGCATTTTTACATCTTTTAATGATTTAATGATTTTTTTTAACAATCTTTTAATTAATGATTGTATGTTTTTATAACCCGTTCTTTGTCAAGGCCATTTTAATTTCCCTCGTGAGGGATAAAAGAGTTCAATCTAATCTAATCTAATCTAATCTAGCTCACGTTTTTCGGTTATATAGTGTCACAAGTACATGTAAGACGTGTGTCCTGAGGCAATCTTGTCAGTGTTTTTCATAACCAGATCTAATAATTTAACCTACACAGTTAATAATATAAGACACAAATTGATACAGGTTTGCTTTCTGAATTTAATGATTTATTTCTCCTGTCATTTTTGACTCACCAGCCGGGCTACCGTTTTCAGGAATAGTTTTACTAGCCTGCCGCTGTTTTGACTAGCATAATACTAGCAGACTATAGCGGGCTACCGCTAAAGTCGAACCCTTGTAGTAATGGGTTCATTGTATAATGTTACGAATAATTATTTCCCTCAAACCAAACTCTCCTTTCCGTTTGTATTTTGATAATTATTATTTTGATAACAGGACGGCATGTATTAATTGATTTTGTCTGCAGTTACATTGGGAAAAAATCAATCATGAATTTTATTCAAGTTGGAAAAAATAATTAATAGTGACAGTGTGTTTCACATCACATGATTAATTGAAACTTAATTTCCATACACAGAAAAGAGAAGTGATTTGACTTCTAAAATCGTGTTGCATGTTGGGCTATAAAACGTAACAATAGCCAAGTTACCACTATTATTTACGCTTGCCATTGTGTCTAATGGTAACACCAATTTACCGGAGGTATATCGCTGCCGTTGGGGGCGCTGCAGGGATGCGCAGTTACTGAGAGATTGCCTCTGGTGGCGCTCTTCAGGAAAGTAAGTGTGTAGGAGTCGGAGTTTAAAAAAAAAATTTTTTTGGCACATTGATTTCTTAAGAAAATCACCCTCGGAAAAGGCCTGTGTACAATGTTACCAGCATCTCAATTCAGGTTCATGTTCAAATCGCTTGACGTGAAAAAAAAGTGTCGAAAAATGACCTTTCACTTTAATAATTCCGAAAATCCAAACTACATGTGTGGAACTCGGAGCACTCGTACAAAGATGAAAATACCAACAGATAAAAAGGCTAAAATATCTTTTTGGGACATACATTTTTTAAAATTTAAATAAACTTGAAGAACTAATTCTCAATAACAAACAAATCTAAAATGACCGTTTAGTTGGGTGGGAAGAAAGGGGTATGGTGCACCCTCGGAAATCAACTTCTAATCACCGTCTCTAGATCAGAAAAAATGCGTAGAAAACGATTTGCTAAATTCAAAAATTCAAAAAATGTCCCACGTATTGTTTTTATGCAAATTAGTGCCGCCATTACCAGCACTCTATTTTGCAATGGAGTGTAGGCATCGTTTTTTTTTCAAAATGGCGATCGGCTTCAGGACTATTTTAAGGGGTGATCATCTTCAGATGGAAATTGCTCCTAAAAGTCGTCAGTTAACCCCCGAAAATTGAAAGAAAATGAAAGATGATGAAATAAGCATTAATTTGTTATGTGTCTCGAACACCTTGGAGAGTTGTGAGTATTTGTCCTGGATTTCTGAAGTGGGAGCATTTATCATTGGGGTCTATGGCAGTTTATTTACCGTCTGCAACCATAGCCAAGAAAATACGATGAGTGAGATAACAGCTGCTGCAGTCAAGTACAAGTTTTTAGGGCGCCCTCCACTAGAACTAGTCTGTCGTGCAGCGAAAGCAACTATCAATCTTTAAACGTCTTTGACCAAGACTACCCCCCCCCCCCGCCCCTCCCCCCCCCCACCCCCCCCCCCCCCCCCCCCACCACCGCGTCGGATCGGAAAGTGCATCCAGACATCATGGGCGTCAATCCGGGGGGGGGGGGACGGACAGGGGGACATATCCCCCCCCCCCCTACTCTTTGAAGGGTGTGGGACACAATATCAAATGTCCCCCCCCCCCCAGATTTTTGAACTCGTACTACAATGTATCTTTTTTTAAGAAACTAGTAATTAAAGTGAGTCAGAAATTGCCTCAGGTCGCACCACAGAGCATTTGGAATCCAAAATATTTCGAGGCCCTTAAGGCCCCGAACCCAATGCCTTTAGCTGAGAAAACCTCGAAAATTATGTTTAAATTACAATGTATTATCTTTTGCTAAGATAATTATTGGTTAAAGTGGTCAGAGATTGCCTCAGATCGCACCGCAGAGCATTTTTAGAATCCAAAATTGTTCGGGGCCCTTAAGTGGGCCCCAAACCCTATGCCTTTATAGCTGAGAAAACCTCGAAAATTTTGTTTAAATTATTATCTTTTGCTAAGAAAATATTGGTTTAAGTTGTCAGAAATTGCCTCAAATCGCACCCACAGAGTATCTAGAATCAAAAGAAATATAATCAATTTTTTTTGGGGGGGGGGCCCTTAAGCGGACTATAGCTCAGAATACCGGTAGCTGATTGAATGACTCCAACCTCGAAAACGATGCTCAAATAACTATATTTTGCTTAGAAACTATTCGTTAAAGCATGGCGGAAAGTGGTAAGAAATAGCCTCAGATCCCACCACAGAGCATTTGGAATCCAATTTTTTTCGGGCCACTTAAGCGGGCCCCGAAGCCCACGCCGTAAGGGCTTCGCGCTCGCATCAGTACTGATCAAGGTATGCCCCCCCCCCCCCTCGAAGCGACTGACGCCCCTGCATCCAGTTATACTATCAGATATGGTATGCATCATGATGTTATTGCATTCCTTTGCAGTACTTCAAAGTAGGCAAATCACACATCGCTAGTGCAAAGTTCCAGTCTAGTGCATCCACTGCAGCACAGCTAAACTTCGCAAGAGGGCGCTATATACACGCTGCGCATGATCGATCTATTCCAAGCATGCAAGAAAAGCAACAGCACCTTGAACGAAGACTATGACATGTACAACGAAAGAACGTACATGTACAGACAACCGCGCTAGCATTTACTGAAGATTTTGGCCACATTTATGGTTCATTTTTTTCCGTCCTTGCTGAGGATCTTGCTGTGACGCTCATCTTCGTCTGTATGTGCCGTGTGTCGGCTTTCAGCAGCTGGTCTTCATTTCGGTAATCGTGAGTATTTCATTACAAAATTCCTGTTCAATTTGGTTGCAATTTGCGTTTCCGGACCGTACTTGTACCTACGTTGTGTCGTCATGCTGCGGTTACCATACGGGAAAGACGTGACGGGTTACGGCATTCCCTTCTCGTTACTTCCGGATCAAGTCTGGTTTCTACGGACACGATGAAGGCCGTGTGATTCAGGGAAACAGTCGTGCTGTAAAGATCAGAATGGGGAATATTAAAAGCACAAACAAACAATAGCAACACATGTAGGAGTTTAATTATAAATAAAAAATTGCTGAACTCAAACTTGATTTAAATATGACACGTGAAGCTGGAACAAGTCAGTAGCTTGATTGACTTGTGATCATGAATAGACATGATAGACCATGAATGGCATGATACATGTAGTTGATACTTTTGTTGTAATTTTGGCGATTGTGCAGTGTAGGGCCCGATTCTTATAAGGGAACAAAATCCACTTTAAAATTATTGGACCTACCAACCTAGTTGACGACATTCTCAGTAAACAGGTAAGTCATAGATAGACATGATAGAGAGTACATGTAGGGTTTTGATTTTTGAGGGAAATTTGGGAGTAAAATGACGATGAAAGCACATGAACCAAAAATAAAGATGACGATTTACCGTGGGCACGCACGGCGCGCTGAATTGCAAGGCGCAAACCGCCCAGGAAAATCGTGATTTCTACCCCATAAAACTGTTTGCTAAACGGGTGTCATTAGAATTGAGAAAAGTCTGCTTTTGATTGTAAAGGTGATTTTTGAGCAATAAAAAACATTTGTGACTCTAATTTGATCAAAACAAAACAGGGGCCTTACAGTTACACTTCACGACTGCCGTAATTTTGAACCACAATTTTCGGTAGAAAATGCAATTCTCTTGCCCATTTTACAGTTGACATGGTTGATGAAATGCTAATCATTGCGGTGTTACGCATTCACGATGCGTCGCAGTGACTGCCATTTTTACTTTAGACTAAACTTTGGTGTTGTGTTTTGTCGTCATCTTCAATTTAACAAAACCTTTCCCTAAGAAAATCAAAACCCTACCCTCCTCTATCCCAATAATCCCAAAACCTAAAAGTGGATTTCTGTTCTCTCGTACATGTACCGAACGTGGCCCATAACTACACAGTCGCAGTCGAAGTCCGTTTTCATAAAGCCTGTAGCCATAACCTACATGTAGTTTTGGTGTTTCAAAAAAACAGCCATTGGGCAGCATTGGGATAACATTTAATGAGCAGTTTCTTAAAAAAAAACAAAAAGGAATCAGAGAGTTGTAATTTTGTGAAAAAAAAGTGTAAAGCGGTTCTGCAAACCTAAAAAAACAAACGTCTGCAAGTGATAACTATTCAAGTCTTGATGTTTTAAATCTATAAATAATCTGTGTCACTTCCAGTCATTTCTCATGTTGTGTTTTGCCAATGGTTGTGTTTCTATCTGCAGGTGAGCAAACATTGACCCTCCGTTAGGACGTTTGCCGATTCCGCGGTGACAATGGCCCGTGAAATCAGAACGTTGCCCTTGAGCGTACTATTTGTACTTTCCTTGCAAATTGTATGCCTGAGCTCATCCCCAAACGGGCCCGATTCTAGGTTCAGGTCCAACCAGCCTGTGTTCACCAATACCTATGCAGTCCACATCTCTGGTGGCGTGGACAAGGCGGATGAACTGGCCCAAAAGCACGGCTTTCTCAATCTAGGCAAGGTAAGCTTGGTGGGATTTTTCTGGCAGAACATGGTCTTCTAGTTTTTTGTGTGTAAATTAATTAATTAAGGCATTTCAAAAAGTGTGTTCGTTTTAAGGCCAGTCGAGAAACTCTCTTTTTTTTTTTTTTGCTTGGTCTAACGACTAATCAAAACAGACAAAAATGCCAAATACTAGACATACATGTGCAGCGTCAAAAGGAGCAACAAATAGTAAGCAAAACAGATTGAAACGCTAAAAAAATTATTGATTTCTCAATCGAACCTCACACTATTTATACAAATGATGTCCGTTCTCGTAACATTCTTTTCTCCGCTACTTTTCTTTGACAGATTTTTGATAACCACTATCATTTTTTGGATCATCATGCCGTGGATAAAAGATCCCTCAGTGCTAACACAGAGAGGCATCTACATCTGAAAAAAGAAGAACATGTAAGTTTTACGTATATATGTACATGTACCTATACTTTGGGAGTATGTACCTACATGTATCCGCTCTGTTCACAAGTACCCCCTCACCGGCAAAGAAAGTACAGTTGGGGGTGACCGACCGACGCCATCTTGCCTGACTGCAATTTTGCTGCGACGCGCGGCTGTACAAAGTACAAATCCCCTGGTGTACGTGCGTCTTACACAAGGAACGGTGCGCGTCAACCAGCTAAATGTCCCGCCCATGGGACGTCGTTGCTAGGTAATAGGGCGCCCTCTTTTGTTGGTGCACGGAGCCCATAATTGAGGAGTATCGGGTTCAAAATTCATCATTTGGTGGGCCAGGCTACTTTGGCCTAGAGAAGTTTCCTAGTGCTCCATGGCCGTTGATGAGGGCACCAAGCCTAATGACAGAGTGAAACTGGTACGAATGTTAGTTCATGAAAAAAGGGTAAACCAAAATTTAAGGCTTTGCATCATGTCAATTTTATTTGCAACATTAATCATGGATACTATTCTAACTGCATGGCCATAAAACCAACTCAACAAAATATAAACAGAAATCAATTTTTTTTTTTCAGTCCAAAGAAATAATCTCAACAAAATCACAGCAGCAACATTAGAAACGTTTCACTTTTGCCAATCAAAAATAACTTGGGCCTTACAATGTAAGTACTAAAAAGATCAAAATGATCTTCCCACGTGAAGTCAGCCATGACTTCACGTCAGTCAGTCATGTCGGCTACGGCAGTGTGGCTGCCGTAGCCGACATGAATGCCCAACACTGGAGTATGTTACTTTGCATAATATTAGAATTGGTACAGACAATTTGTTTAAAATTGGTCAGTTGCATAAATTTTATTACAAATGTTTTACAAACATGTATGCAGTCTGAAGGAGAGTGATATGTAAATAATGAAAGGTTTGCGGAAACACCATGTGCGAATAATTTCGCAACTAAGAATAATTTCTCATTATTTAGTATCTCCACCACGCAAAGCCTCAAATCTTACTGAGAGTGATATGTCCAACAAATAATGACGTACATGTAACTGATTAACAACAGTCATTTTAGGTTGCTTGTGATGAATTCAAAGTTTGAGTCATGTACAGATGCTGTATGTGTATGCCTTATTTTTCAGATCTCACTTCAGCCTAGACAAAAAGGAGAAAATAAGTACAGTAATCCCTCTAATGTAAATGGTCCTATTGGCTTTAAAGTGCATTTACATACAGTAAATACCTGCTCAAGACAGTTTACCAATTTCTATTGGTCAAGAGCCGCCGTCGAAAAACCGCCCGTAAAACAACGCGGTCTGCACCACGTCATGCAGTATGCGCCTCACACGTACCAGTTTTCATAGGAGATATTTAGCACTACAGGGACGTGTGCGAGACACATGAATCATAAACATGACCAGAGAGGTGTTTCACAAAACATTAAGTTCAAATTGTTGAACAAAATCGTTGGATGTTTGTCAAGTTTTTGACTTGTTTTGACTTTCTGACCGAAAGCTAGGTCACTGTCCGCGTCCAGCTCCAGGCCCCTAGCTAGTTTTAAACGACAAACGTACACATTTACTCCCTTATTCAATGAAATGTAAACTTTACAGTTAAACTTATCACGGACAATGGTAGATGCATGCAACTGTTTCCATAATCAATTTGTTTTTGAGGAAACAAGTTTGTAAGAGACGTTTTCAGATTCAAGGGAAATAGAAGATATTCACGCATAAAACAAAAGTTTTCATGTTGTCTTCGTAAGTTGCTTCTTTCTGTGTTTTCTGTCTGGCTTTCCTGAAGTCAAGATCCAATCTTGAAATGACATTTTAGAACGGGAACATGTACGGATATTTCTGTCTTCGTTTCATTAAAAAGAATTGCAACTTTCATCACCAAGAATGACATGATTGGCACTTTATAAAATAATCTTCATCAGCTATATTTTATCTACAGGCAGCAGCATTGCTGTACCTGTTCAGTCACACAGTCATATATTCCCAGGCTGTTGTCTGTGATCAGATACAGTAATTAAGTTTTGGAGAAAAAAAGTCAAAATTTTTTATCGAAAACTGGCCGCGAGTCTGAGAAAATTGAGCCAATTTCCTGTGTGTTAGAATCAGACCTGTAGCCTACATGTTTAGTATCATATGCAAATACATGTAGCTGTGCTAGTATTGGGCTCAAGATGTTTATATGTACATGCAGTCATGCATGTAATACTGGATGACACTAAGTTAATCAGTTTGAAAGAGATACATGTGTCGCCAGTGTGTTGCTGGTATGGAAGAATACAGAAAAACAGACAGTATTGGCTGCCTTGGTCATGTTTATTTGGTGTTCTCAGTGAAAGTGCAATATGTTTTGAAAGTACTTTTTCTCGTGGGGCCAATTCCGTGCTGCATTTTACGTGAAGTGATTGCCACATGAGTTGCAATGTTACCTAAGTTGCTGATTGCTGCACATGTACATGTACATGTACATGATATGCTCCCTTGAACAACATGGAGTTTTGAATGGCACTTCCCATGTTCAATCCTACAACATGTAGCTGTTACCCGGATGTACATGTACCGTATGTGCACGTGTGATCGTGTCAAGGAAAAGACACATGTGCATGTCATATTGTTGCTATGAAAAGTTAGTTTTGCTAGACACATTTGGCCAGTTTATTGTCCTTTGAGTCTGAGTGACTGAGTCACCGACCGACTTTCTGAGTCACTGAGTTCCGTGTAAACAATGTCCTCAACAAAGACTTAGGCCTACTATTCAGAGATGAAACTTTTCTGATTTTAATCGGAAAACGACTTTTTGAATTTTCCAACGAAATTTCCAATTTTTTTTACAGTGTGTCCCACTAAATTTGATTTTCTGATGATTTTTTCACAAAATGTCATTTTATTTCAATCATAATTTCGAAGAAAAGTCGATGTAAATGGCGTGCTAAAATCATCGCGAACGTAGTTTTAATCTCTTTCACCAGTCGTTATTGGAGAGTTTCAACGGTAGAAACACAGGGCATAACACTGATCGGAGCCTTCTCCGGCTGGACAAATGGTTAAACATTGACAGGCGACATGGAAAAATCACTGTGTCGCGCGTGCGTGCGAATATGCAATGGTACCAGCGTGCGTACGTACCGCACCACCATACCGTCCGCGCTAGCACATGGCCGGCCGGGACGGGTAGCCTTGTGAAGGATCCTGTGGATAAAATCATTATGTTGTGCGATTTTCGGAGGTTTCAGATTTAGTTGTACAAAATGCAATGCTTTAAAAATCATGATGATTATCTCGAGGATAGCGAAGAGAGCATTAGTGAAACATTTCACTGGCATTTGTTGGAAGAGAAAGACGGTAATGCCTGATTTTTTCCCATGTGTGAATGCAAGTGGTTGAATCATGGACATGCATGAACGGTGCCCTTGTCTTTCGGACTTTTCCCTCGACTTTCTCAAGTAAGAAGTGAACTTCTTTATTGATGACTCCATTACTCTAACCGTAATTCAGGCATTTTATGCAATGAAAACACTGACCGTTTTTTTTTTTCATCGTAAAATTTTGTTTGAATCAAAAATATAGCAGGAGTTGGTGTCCGGAAATTGGGCATGAAGTGTATTGTACATGCATGTATATGTGTGTAATGGCAGCGCGGCCCAGATTTCGGACACGCATTTTTGTTCGGCTTTTTTCCGATTTTTTGGCCAAATGCTAGTTTCATCTCTGACTATTATTTATTCATTTGTTTATTTATTTCTTATTTTAACTGGGTAGCCCATTCAGTGGAATCCACTGATCTCCCATGGATTCCAGTAACGATGTGAAGAAATTACACCTTATTTTTAGTCCAGCTCAACCAGTCCAGTCTCTTATAGAGAGAGCCTGAAGTAAAAGGTCACGCAGCGAGCTTCCGGACCCCTCACGCGGCCCACCTATGGGCATTTTACACTGGGTCTCACCTGCTATCATTTTTGACAATGATTTCTAACCGCAATCACCCTAAGAAACATAAATGTTGGAATTTATCTTGGTATTCCTCAAGGAAACATGTTATGAAGTCACTTGGAGATGGTTAAAAAACGCACGACCTTCCACATCCTGCATTATTGTTCCAAGGTCTTCCTTGTTCGTTCACGTTTGTTTTCACATCATGTACTTGCGTGAGAATGAAAGTGTATAACGACAAGAAGACGTACCTACCTACAGCCGATGGGTTCTAGATTTAGTCGGGCTGGATTGCATGCAGTCCTTATCACCAGTCGTTTTAGATTTTTTTTGTAAAATGCTAATGAGTTCTTCAAGTTCATTCAAAAAAATTGTCCTGCTAGTCAAAACAGCGGCCGGCTAGTCAAACTATTCCTTAAGTAGCCTAGCTGGGGAGTCAAAAATTATTAGGATACGGCAAAGATGAACGACAGGAACGTACTAGAATTAAATCATTCAAGTCATAAAGAAAACCCCATCAATTTGTGTCTGATTTTATCAACTGTTCTAAAAGGTTAAATTATTGGATCTGTTTATTAGAAACACTGACAATTGAGCCTGAAAATACGCCATTTTGTATTTGAGATAAGAAAAGAATGCGGGCTAGTGAAAATGCTCGCAGGCTAGTTAAGAGTCCGTTTCAGTAGCCCGGCTGGCTAGTGAACAAAAAAGTTAAGGTTGAACCCTGCATGTACATGTAGTTCGTTGTTATGGGAGTACATGCAGTTCAACTTAAAACTCATAAAAGCTCAATACCAAGCCTGTGTATTGTTACAAAATGTACATGTACCAGTACAATGTCAATGTACACCATTGTGAAGGTTTCACTTGGAAACGTCAGAGTTGAACATGTACGGTAGTTGAGTGCATCACAAGTCCTCACAACTCCATAAGTCATCTGGCAGTCCTAAGTCAACTCGCAAGCTATTCAAAATAACCATGACCAAGGCATTCCTTTGTTATTGTTCATCCACTGTTACTGGTGACCAGACAAAAAAAAAGTTTGTGAATTGCGACGGAGTTAAACTTGTGAACAGACATGCGGTGGAATTGTGGACGAACTCGACTGGTGCGTAAAGCCCAACGATCAATTATTGTCATTTTTTTTGTATGCATGAATGCAGGTGCATTGGGTTGAGCAGCAGGTGGCAAGGAGCAGAAGTAAAAGAGACAATGCTGTGCCTGCCAGGTCCCAGCTCAACGATCCAAATGGCCGCTGTGGTACCTTGTAAGTGTTGGGTGATAGATATATTTGGCTATATTTCACTTCAAAAAGTTAAGTTTGGTTAGCTTTTAAAAGCTGTGCACACTCACAGAGGGTGTCGTGTACATGTAGGTCTTTGTTCCTGTGTGATATGCACAGGTACACAGTTCAGACATGTGTCATACTTTTATTTTCACTGAATTTAAATTGACAAAACCTGTCTCCAGTGAGTGATTTCCATGCGAGGGGCCTTACTGTTGAGAACCACTAGCAGATCATTGTCAAGAATCTGAAATCATCTTGCTAAGTCAATGACCAGAAGAACTGTCAATTCATTCTTGCCAAAATCTATGTATTGCCCCCCAAAAAATAGGTCACTCCATAAATGTTGGGTCCAAAAGTGTGACATTTTGTGTGTGTCTCTGTTACACCTGACCTGGGTAATTTGCCATGCAAGTAATCATTATCATTAAAGGGAATATACAACATTTGCAAACATCGAAAAGTAAAACTACCAAGTTTTTACGAAATACCTTACTAGGATGTTGGTAAATGACAGTCTCAAGCATCTTGTAAAATTATGGCACCTGGTGTGAAGTCATTTTCAAGAAAAGGGTATTTTTGTAAACATTTCCAACGGTGGTCGGCCGACCAGCGTTGGAAAAACCTAACTATTTTTCAACTACTGCTTCAAATTTACCATTTTTCAGTCCAAATTGTGTTTGCTATTGGTTACATGTTGACTTCATGAACGAGTGCAGGCCAGCTAGACTGGTTCCCTTGCCTTACAATTTTGCATCATCTAAAAATTCATTTATTCTATTTTTTGTGGAGTCAGGGAACCAGACTACTTGAAAATTTTTGTTTTTCTTGGTGTTTCCAACCTTTTCGAACACAAAACTTCAAAAATGTCAGTGTAACAATATTTGATCTATTATGCTAACCTCTCAAAAAGTTCATTTCTGAAAATTACAGCAAAAGCCAATGATGTACATTCCCTTTAAGATTGACTTTGAACTAATTTTTATTTGTTTGGCAGATACTTTGCGCTCTTGGGAGATTGTCTAAGGAGATTGTCTAACTCTTCGGAGATTGTCACTGTCAGAATGTGTCATGAATTACAAAATCTTATAATACATGTCAGATGAAACAGGCACACACAAAATCTGACCCCAATTTATGGAATTAGTTTAAATTAGTGAAATTTATGTACTAGGTTGTTTTCAAGTTTAAATTCAACACAAGTCCAGATTGTAGATTTTATTTTATAATTTTATGACAGTGACACCCATGCCTGAAAATTGTTTTTTTAAGTTTACTTTAAACTTTTCAAATAGTTTCCTGAGTTAATTTGTGAAAACATGCCAAATCGTTTATTTTGTCTCAATTTCTCGACACAGCAACGAGAACCAGGCCTCGATATGAATGTGATTCCAGCCTGGAAAAAAGGCTACACGGGCACTGGCGTCGTGGTGTCAATTCTGGACGACGGAATCGAGAAAAACCATCCGATCTGAGCGCCAACTATGTGAGTAAACAGATTTCAAATATTCTACATAGTTGTAGGCTAGTCAATCACAAGTTAAATAAAGATTGTTAGTCTTGCACAAGTCATGAGCAATTAAAGTAACTCTGAAAAAGAAATGTCTAAGTGTATGTCATTGTTCGTCCCTTGACATAATGAAAATCTTCAACCTATTTTATTTTTTTCTGTTACACTGATTCATGTTAACTTTTTAACCATTTTCCGACAAGTACATGTAGGTACATATTCATGTACATGTACATGATGATTTTCTTTTCCAGATGATTGTAACTGAAAGTTGTCTGACTGTCTAAAAAGAGAAAGAATTTCACAGATCAAGTTTCATTTTTCAGAGAATTTGCAATTCGTTTCCTTGACGTTTTCTTGCTCATGTCTCCCGAAACTCAACTGAAACTCACTTTATGATGTCAGAAAGTATCTGTACTTCCTGGTTTCAATCGCTTACAGGCACTTTTTAATGGCTGATTTGTTTACTTTTGGAGGGTGAAAACTTAAATCAAGTTACTACAAAAGCAATACATTATTTTCAAAGAAACCGGTATTCTTGCTTAGATATTGTTTGTGGCATTTTGAAATGTAGTTCATACTGAAACATCGTAAAATAAACAAAACTATCAAAGCAGTTGCAATACATGTACACGTACTTTACAGTGCTTAAAAAAGAAAACTGTTGCATGCATTGGATACATTTGTACAATACATTTATAGTATGCATAGGCCTACATTGTATACATGGTGAAATCGCATTTGATAAAATTGGTTTTCAACCACAGAATGCCCATGCCAATGGTCCTGTTTTGAATAAAATGAAATGTTTTCCTTTTTTCAAAGTGGTCACAATTTTATAGGGTTGTCCCGATTATACCCAATATTTGATCATTTATCGAATATTTGAATAGCTTTTTGTTGGATCGAATATTGGAAGAAAAAACCCCAAAGCACGTACTGTTCACACATGACTGTAATGTTAAAGTAATCGTGAAGTTGTGATGCTTTGTCAGATGCCATTTTTTTAAAGGTACTTTTTGTCGAATGTCGACGGCACTTTATTGTTCCTGTCCTTTTAGCCCTTGGCAGTAATAAAATGCTTACTGCAAAACACAGTGGCCCACAATATCGATTGCTACATGCAATTTTAACCGGTGCGGTTTGCATGCAACTTTTGACTAGTGGGGCACGCAGTTGCAGCTTGCACATGTAAAACTTGATCGGCGATATTCAAATATTCGGTCAGACGCAGTTTCGAATAATAGAATAGTAAATTATTTGAGAATGTATAGCCCTACAACTTTTCCTTAAAAAAAAAAAATGTCAAAATTGTGACCAACTTGAAGAAAGGAAGGTCTACATGTAGACCTACGGGTATATGAACATGATAAATGCACAATTTTGTGTACATTGTAAGTTGGGGGGGGGAGGAAAAGCTAGATATTACCACCACATACCGGTATGTACGTGTCCCTACCGAGCCTACCTTGCAAAGTTGGTCAGCATTCTGCTAGTACGGTACCAGTACCTACATGTAACACGTCCTTGCACAACAGAGATTATGTCATGGTGCTATTTCATGATGTACTGTAGCAAAACAATTCTGGTACCATTTACTTTAAGCTCGATATACCGGGTAGTTTCTTGCAAAGATGGCATGGTATTACCGATGCGCACGTGGAGCTTTTTGTTTAGTACCTACATGTATTTTAAGTAAATTCTGCATCTGGAGTGTACACAAGCTGTGCATGTTAATGGTCTCAGTGAAATGGATGGAGGCTTTGTTAGCCAAAAGAAAATGTGTGAAATTTACACTGTAAATTATGTGCTTACATGCAGCAGCACTTTCAAATTTCCCCCATCTTGCCCAATTGAAGAGCTTCCCCCCACAGTACATGTACCGGTGCATGGTGCTGTCCATATTCTTCATTATGTCAAATAATGTCCACTATGGAAAAATGGAATAAAGATACCGGTATGCTTTTGGATTTGGAAGTGTGTTGATGTACATGTACAAACATACCGGAACATGTTCCATGAATGCTGTACACATACCCGGTAGTACTGTACACATACATGTACATGTACCCCACATGTACTTGGGGAAAAGTTAAGTGTACCAAAGTTAACATTTGTACAAAAACTATTTTATCATCTTGGGATTCTTGGTGAAATTTGGCTTTTCCTTTTATTTGACTTCCCCACAATGTTTTCCCAGACCATTCACAGAATGGACTGGTGTTTATTTAGTTTCACGTTTTCTACTTGCATAAAAATATCTTATTACATTATTGATTACCTCTTTGCACCGGCAATGCATCTAAAGGCAGCTTGTCTATTGTGGACCCATGAATGCACATTGTTTAATCATGCATGATTATAATCATGATGTCGGCAATTATGCGCTCACTGAAATTTGTAAATGTTTGGAATTGTTAATTTTCTTTGGTGTCTGTCATGTCTGTACATGTATTGTGGCTATGCTTGATGTCTTCTATCGTTTGTCGTATTGCTACAAAAATGAGGTTTCCTGTGGGCAATTAGTTTTTTCCTTTTGGGCACTTGCATACATTTGTATGATAATCATTGATGTACTATAATCATGATAATTGTCAAATCTCCCCTACAAAAAAGAACAACAAAATCGAAACTGGAACAAAAAAAATGGAATTAAATTTCAATTATCAGTCTGAACTTGTCAGTCTGAACTTGTACAGCCTTTTAAAAAAGGGGGGAAAACTTGTAGGAGGTACAACATATGTACATGTAGCTCAATTTAATGAGTTGCCTGATAAAATTACATGTTCTTGCATTCATGGTCATGATGGTACATGTACATTGTCCAATTACATGTACATGTACATACCGATACATACAAATGTAATACCGGGTACATACTGTTCTTCAATCCTTGCAAAGATTCCGTTACAGGCAGGGTACTTGAACATGTACAGTAAAAGTACAGAAGAGTGCAGTACATGCATAAGGAGTCAAGTTCAAGTATGGTACCGGTATTAGATCTCCATGACCAATGCATGTAAAAATCTTGTTTCTCTAAAATGTTTGCATCTTTCATACACTTTGTGTGGTGCGAATTCTTGCATATCACTCCTGTACAATTTCTGTTCATCAGTGGTTTGCATGTTCTTGTGGTTTATTTGTGTTGAATGTCTCAGGACCCTGTTGCCAGCTACGATGTGAACGGTCGAGATGACGACCCCCAGCCAAGATATGATTTCACCAATGAAAACAGGTGTTGTGTGTGTGACTCTTGAAGCCTGTCTTTGCCCAGCTCCGACTTTGTTGGCTATAAACCCTGCCCAAAAAGTTTTTGCCGATGCACATGCGGCAGACTGACTGCTCCCCATGCTTTTGATTCCACAAAGCAAGCTTAGAATTACCTGAGATATAAAGTGGAATAGTCCTAAAAATGTGTACACAATATACTTGATTGCAATTGTGAGAAAACTTTATGATGTACATTGAACATGTAGTTGGGGGGGGGGAGGGGGTTATAACAAAAGAAATGAATAAAAGTTTGCAAACCATAATGTAAAAATTTGAAACAAACTGGCACTCAGGCTTCTAAAGGAAGGTTTAAAAAAAAAAAGCAGTTCTGTTCCCACAAAGCCAAATACATGTACTCAACAAGATCACTGTTCCCACTCCTTGCTTGCTTGGAATCAACAAGTTGTGGTATTTATGTGGAGATTATAATGGTAGTCTGCGGTCACCGGTATCCATCGTTACCTCCACATGGTCCACAGTTGGATCAGCAGGTGGGCCACAAAGTCGGAGCTGGGTTAAGACCGGAGCATTAGTGCATGGTTAGCAGCCCTGTACTTCACGTCTGCACCACTTTTATTTTTCTGTCGCCCACTCACATGTCTGTTTTTGCTATTCAACATGCTGATGTAGATTTAGATGTGCTTTGTTTGCATACAGATATATTTACAGAGTAAACAAGTCAAGATTTTCAAGTGCAATAGGTGTCTGTTGTAGCACATTACAGTAAACAACTCATGTTCCTTGTTTGTGTATAAATTCATGAATCTAACTAAAAAAGTTTTACTATTTCGGCATATTTCATGCATAGCACTGTTGACAAAAAGGTGGTATGGTAAATTCACCGCTCTTAACAAAAAGGAATTAAAATTTATAAAATTTGAAAGTTGGTGCACCAAGAAAAAAAAAAAAGTTTCTCTAAAAAACAATTGGTTACACTTGCTCTGTTACATTTGTGTTGTCATTGTGATTAAATTGGAAAAACTTCCTCTTTCAAAAATATCTACATAACCAATGCTTATGAAAGCATAGTAATTATACAAAGGTGTAGAAACTGCATCCTGTAACTATAATGTATGCAAAGAAATGATGCTTGTGACGGCATCCATTCTGCTGCACGCATGTTTCATGTTTTCTCATAATCTAACCCATTTTTCCCCCATTTCTTTTGATTGACACCTGAATTTAAATCCTGTTTTTGTACAATGTACTTTTAGTTTTGGCCTCAAACCTGATTAATTGTTTATTAACAGTACGGTAGATGAAACAAGGTGACGTTTCGCACATTGTTTCATCGTTGGTAATTGTTAAAAGAAAACACTTTTAAAAAAAAATTGTTGATAGCAGGTAAGTTGTCGTGTATTTTTAAAAACATGAAACTGACAATATTGCACAACAACCAATCTACGAGATAGATTCATCAGCCAACTTCCATGAAACTTGTCCTCGATGTGCAAATGTGGGCCCGATCTTCACCTTTAGGTTATGATCCAAAACAATAAGTTTGGTTGTTGTTTATCTTGTTCTTTATTTAGAGTTTATTGTTTTACGATTAGGAGTTTAATTGATTTCACAAGCACTTCGTATTCTTAGGATTACACTTACATGTGTACATGTGTTTGCAAAACTGTGGAAATCAGGTTGGAGATTTCGCCACTTACAAATTCTTGTTTGTAATTTCAAACCCACCTGAAATGGAAAAAAAACCTAATTTTAAGTCAAAATTAAACTGTCTAGTTAATTGGTGCTTTGGGCAATGTTGTCAGTGTTCCTCAAATTAACTTTATTTTTCCCCTCCGCTCATTTCCAACTCATGAACTTTGACATCTCCCTCATCACTTGTCATTCATCCTTTCTTTCTTTAATCATTGTGATTTCCCTAACCCAACGCTAACACTCTAAAGGACGCACCAGGCAGTTATGATCTAAACGATAACGATGATGATCCACAGCCCCGCTACTCGCCGTCAAATATTAACAGGTTTGAATTTATTTTAAAAGAGGTTTCATATTTTTCTTCTGACAAATTCCAGTTCAGAGTAAAAAAAAAGGGAACTTGGAACAATGTCTTTTTAAAAGTAGTTTTATTAAGTGATTTTGTTGAACCCCTGGTCTGAAATGAAATGTATAGTTTTGTCAAATTACTGTGTTTTCAAAGAAATAATGCAGAGTTGGAGACAAGGTCACCCGCAACGTCACAAAACAGCCGTCTACATATTCGTGTCTTTCTCATGTTATTTCCCAGTAATGTGAAGCATGGCAGGAGTTTTCAAACAGCCATATTTCCAATGCTGTACATACGGTGTCTCCCCCCCCCCCCCCCATACAGTATAAAAAAGACCACAATAGACAATTTTATAAACAATTCTGACATGTAGTTCCTGGGTTGTCACACCTTTCATTTTGTTTATATTACATACTTATTTATTCGTTATTACTATTTTTATGCCCCGCGGCGAAGCCGAAGGGGCATACTGTTTCCGCCTCGTCCTTCCGTGGGTGGGTGGGTGGGTGGGTGGGTGTGTGTGTCCGGACAAATCTTGTCAGCACGATAACTTGAGAAATACTTAACATATGAACTTCAAATTTGGTTTGTGGATTGTTCTTGGTAATCCTAAGAAGCCTTTTGCATTTGGGGCCAAAAGGCCAAAGGTCAAGTTCACAGTGGCTAAAACAATAGAAATCTTGTCAGCGCGATAACTTGAGAAATAATTAACATATGAACTTCAAATTTGGTTTGTGGATTGTTCTTGGTAATCCTAAGAAGCCTTTTGCATTTGGGGCCAAAAGGCCAAAGGTCAAGTTCACAGTGGCTAAAACAATAGAAATCTTGTCAGCGCGATAACTTGAGAAATACTTAACATATGAACTTCAAATTTGGTTTGTGGTTTGTTCTTGGCAATCCTAAGAAGCCTATTGCATTTGGGGCCAAAAGGTCAAGGGTCAAGTTCACAGTGGCTAAAACAATAGAAATCTTGTCAGCGCGATAACTTGAGAAATACTTTACATGTGAACTTCAAATTTGGTTTGTGGATTGTTCTTGGTAATCCTAAGAAGCCTATTGAATTTGGGGCCAAAAGGTCAAGGGTCAAGTTCACAGTGGCTAAAACAATAGAAATCATGTATTCTGAGATTATAGGGATTAGGGATTAATTCATATAAAACCTACAGAAGACACTAATGCTGTCAATGAATGTTCCATGTGACCAAGGTACATGTAAGTTGATGTTAAAAGAGTGGTGTTATGTCATGGGAACTGTCACCGTTGCGGGGCATTTGTGTTTGTAAACACACCTGACTTGTTGTTTTAACCAACAGTTTTAGCCGTCAACATCTTAAATGTGTTCATGCTTTTAAAGTGTAGATTATTCCAACAAAGTAAAACAATTTTTTTTGGGGGGGGGGGGGGGGGGAGGGAAAGAGGGGGTGGGGGGGGCTGTTTCAAGGCTGGGTTTGGAAAAAGTTTCTATTAAATTGTTTTGGTATCGGATCCAAAACCCTACTTAACTCACTGGCTTAAATTGCCAAGAAAATAATGACAGTTTTTCCTTCACAATATGTTTTCTTCTGGTTTTAAAAAAAAAACTCCCACATGCTTTGTCATTGAATCTTGCCACAAATTGCTTTTCCAACGACCATCAAAGTACAAAGCAATTACTCTTTAACGACAAAAGCTTCAATGCTATATTTAGAATCAAACATGTGGATGTTTTTTATGAGCTAGAAGTCTCAGTCTGATGGAAGTGAATATAGGAAGAGGACATATTGAAAATCAGCCAGGATTTCCAGACATTTGGCAACGAGATTTTCTGTCTTTTGATTTTGCTCCTTTATTCCCCAAACCGTTTTTTTTTTTTATAGTTTGAAATAAAAAAAAATGTAAGGTCATTGCCGTTTACATGTAGGAAAGGGATACAGAACATGTACATTGTATATATCGTAGGAAGGTAGCAGTTTAACAGTCAGTAAGGATCTGCAGACATACATGTATGGAAAAACATTTCCTCTCAAATTTGTTCCTTTTTCTCCCAAAACATATTCACATTTTTTTGATAATATGAAATTAGGAATGTAGGGTCATTGCCATTTACATACCAGTATAGTAAGTAGCGTATGTAGGAAGACTACAGTTTAACAGACGTATGTAAAAAAGATATCCTCTCAATTTTGCTTCTTTTTTTTCCCCATACATTTTTATACTTTTATTTATCATATGAAATTGGAGATGTACTCGTAGGGTCATTGACATTTACATACATAGGAAGTGTATAAAACATATAGGAAGTTTGACAGTCGGCTAGGATATACATTTGTACATCAGCAGACATATGGTAAGATTTTCTCTTTCATTTTATTTTTTTTTTTACACTTTTTCTTATTCATTAGGTAGAATTGCAAATATAGGTTCATGTATAGGAAGTGTATGTAACGTATGGGAAGAGGGCTGTATGACTACCGGATTCAGCAACATCAACAGACATTTGGCACAAAGATTTCCTTTCGATTTGGCTACATTCCCCCCCCCCCCCAACAAATTGTTTGTGATAATTGGAAAAACGTGTAGAACATGAAGGGTTTTCCCCGAGCATTTAACTGATTCAAGAATGTTATCAGGATTTTCCTGTGTATTATGAACACCCAACCACCCCCCTTCCCAATCCTCTTTAAATGTTACAGATAATTCACATCTTCTTGGCAACAGATTTTCTTTGTGGCACATGTATCCATTCATCCCAGTGGGAAATTATTCGGACCTTTTTTTTTAATTATATATTTTGCCACATTGTTCAAACCACTTGCCAGCCTATCCAAACGGTTTTTCCCAATCGAGCACCATGATTCCAAAGGTGTCTTTGCCAGATGGTCCAAAATCACATGGACATCCTTAGTCATTTCAATGCCCTGGTTTGGTAGGGCAATTTGTTTTCCGTTTGCACTAATGTACGTGTAGTTGTTCGGTTTTGTTTACGTGAGCTTTGCGGTTTTCACGTTGAAACTCTTATTTGGGATGTAAATCCAGTACATTCATTCCCTCTAAAGTGCACGTGTCTGTTCAGAATTCAGCATCGATCAGTCTAAGTGCTTGATAATCTGCTCTTGCTTTTCGATGGCACAATCCTAGAGCATTGGGCTCATCTGGACTTGACTCGTGCAGTCAAACTGGGAAGCTGATCTTTAGCTCATACAGTACTTTCCCCTGCCCACGCATTGCACACTGTCATCGATGTTAAGAAGTCGTGATGCTGTCTGTCTGATTTTATCCCTATCTCCCCCCCCCCCCCAACGCCTCCCCAGGGCCTGTCTGTTCTTATCTGTCAAAGGCACGACTAGAAATGTCATATTTTCATCTCGTGAGTGAATACAAATAGTTTAATCCATCCGATCACGTACCGGTACGCTGCGTCTTTCCTACCATTTTCTACACACTGACACATTTCTGATAAACATGCCTGGTTCTATAACTCTTGAGTCGTGACAGATCTATAAACCTCCCCACCTCCCTCTCCCCCCCCCCCCCCCAAAAAAAAAAAAAAAATTAAAATCTGCTTTAACGCCCACACATTTGTATTCAAAAGGAAAACAGTGATTTTCAAAATAACATTTATGGGGGATTTTTGTCACATACATGCATGTATGAGTTCTGAAAATTGAACTCTTACACTAGCATAAATGCACAAAGACATATTATTACTTTGAGTCGTACTGCACAAACTCCCACCAATTTGTGTTTAATAGGATGCCATATAACTACAGTGTACTGGCTTTATGGAGGGATTTTTTTTTCTCACAAAATCTGCTAAACTGGGGTCATACCATTTAAATACAAAGTTGTTACCATTTTTTTAAAATTCCGAACGTGAAGTACCAAATACAGACATATGAACAGCTCTTGTTACTTCCATGGCTTAGTTATACACACCACTACTTTGTTCATATAACTATTTGCCCATTGCATGTTTGTGCCAATTGCAAGGTTAAACAGTATAAACCAAATTGTACAAGTACGAAACACTTAACAAAATTGGTTGTCTGACAATGAACCTTTTCCATTCAATATCCCATTTATATTTTAGAATGGCCGGACAGCCCTGACTAATTAAAATATTCTGTGGCCGAGAGAAAGTTTTGATTCAAACCCCGTGGCCATTTCAAACAAAAAGATCTCTGTGAATCATATTTTATGTTTGCTCCACATCTGGATATGCCACGCGATAGCTTTATTATCAAACCTTTTATCCAGCAGGGCGATATTTAATTAAAAATAGTGAAGGGATTGTGATGGAATTAGCGAGGTGTTTTGTGTGCACAGTGTTGGATCTTCCTGTGATGTAATTAAAAGGCCACTTACGGGCTATTCAGTTGATAATCTAGTTGATTGGATTCAAAAAGAATTTCATTGTTTAAACAGGGAGATCATTACATGTAAGGTACAGATGTGGCCTCAGTACTGTTTGCAAATGTGGCATTATGAAAACGGCCTTGTGAAGGTTCTTTTCAAAAGGCCCTTCATTCAGACCATGGAGCTATTATAGCTCCATGTTCAGACTATTGGAGGAAAAAGCAAACTATATTTTTTGGTGAAGATAAAGATATTGAAAAGCGACTTCCAATTGATTGTATAGTGATAAGGAAGTTTATGCCATATATCAGGTACATTTACTTGAAAGTGACTTTAGGTTGAATACAGTGTACAATTAATACCAAAATTTCTATGTTGAAAAGGTTTATAATTTTGATTTTTAAATCTTGTTCAAGCTTTTTTTTCCTTTGGAAAAATACTGCATTCTGCTTACGCAATTTTTTTTTTGTAATTTGATCTTTTTGGATGGTTTCAACACCACTGAACGGAAATTTGAAACTTGAATTTCTTGAAAGTTGTCGACTTAAGTTTCATTTTCACATTCGATTGTGGGTTTTGATTTGCAGAAACTGCACACAGGCCCAATTGTGTGTGTCACCAAAACGTCTACTGATATAGCCTATTGATCATCTTAGAAGCTTGTGATTGATCTTAGCATGTGGTTTTGGCAGTGCTGTATTTGTACCCTGTGGGTAGATCGGAGTTGTCCTCTTGTACTTTTTCAGCTCTGGGCAGCTGTCGTGTTCCTTAATCCATCTCCAAATCCTACCCAGAGTGGTATTTTGATGGAAATTCCAGGCTTGAAATTCTTTTAAATTTATTGATTTTTAAAAAAAAAATTCTTTATTTAAATTTTCATTCATAAAATTTTGAAGTGCGTGGTTTCCTTTCAAATTTTGTTGATCTTACTTACAATGCATATGGAATTGTGTAATTTCATTTGGGATTTACATATTTGTTTCGCATTGGCATACTTTGCTTTTTATAAGCATTTCTTTTTACAAATTGGCAGCTCTTTATCACAAATTGACTTAACATATACGTTTCATAAAAACAAAATCATGGGAAAGTCTAGTTTTATATTTTAAGAAATTCTCTTTTTTTCTGCTTTAATTGAACATTGCATTAACTGTTTGAAAAGCAATTTTAGAAGAAATATAAGCCAAGAAGGCATATAAATTTGTTTATCCCAAATTCCTGCTGAACGTGCACTGGTCTATCTAGGAATAGATTTTTGGTAGTAAAACCAATAAATGAATTAACACTGCTATTGAAAAAATACATGTCTTTTTTTTTCTCCGCTAAGGATCTAATCATAAAGAGTGCAAATTTGGTGTCAGCGGAGATCGCGCATCTTCGAGAAAAGGCAAAAATTTAATGTCTCTGAAACCCTGTCCCTGAATTATCTCTTTACGCATTGGACATAGCAACTCAAGCACCTTGAAAAACCCCTTGGCTTCTGGCAAGATGCAAATTTACTTTTGGTCCAGTCTCAGGAAGCACTTTTGTAATCTTGATGGTGCTCTGGGCAAAGTCTCTTGGTGTTTGTCCACGCTTTTTGAGACAGAAGTGCCTTGACAAAGTCGTTAAGATTTCTGCGTGATCAACTTCAACAAGAAATTTGAGTTCCTTTTGCCCGCAGGGATGAGACAAGTTTTTTATTGGGATTTGAGAGTTGAATGATACGGATGTATTTCTTTCAACACTCAAGTTGTCTTTGTCTTCTTCTTTTTTCCATCTTTTTTTTTTTTTTTTAAGGTTTTTTGGTTCCTTTTAGGAAGGGCAGAATTTCATATTAAGAAAATTGCCGAGAGAGTGCTCGTAGCAAAAAAGATGAGTTGAGAAGAAAGTTGTTGCAAATGAGAAAGTCGCGTGTTTAAAGGGTAGAAGAGATCAGAGTGACAGATGTTGCGCTGGGAAATGAAGCAAGTCTAGTGGGAATAATTTCGGTGGGCAGCATGATAAGTGGACAGAGGATAGGGTTTCACCTGGCCCAAAGCACATGTAATGTTGATCTCTCTGATGAGCTGCGTGTTTGCATAATGCCTCGCTAGAGCAAGTCAACGTGCCTGTTCATTTACATGAGCTTATAGTCAGCGCCCGCTTCCTTTTGACTTTTCCTGACATTTCAAGACGCTGTTTTTGGTTTCATCCAAATCGGGACAAAGGGAAATTCAAAGATGCATAACAGGTATTTTTAAAGTTCAGGTTACCTTTCAACGGACAAAGTAAGTCGGGTGTTGTCTATAATTTTTAAATGTAGATTATCAAAAAAAAGCTGCCTTTTTTTCTAGACTCGCTGAATACTAATAGTTTTTGTTTGAATTATTTCAAAATGTACCATCAGATCATCTCTGTCATGCATGAAACTAATTTCATTTTACTGACTTTTCAACGCTAACGTTGTTAACTACCAAAAGATACCTCTTTCATAAGTTGGTTGGGTTTTCAAAAAGCTAGAAATAGGAAGACTATTAAAATAGCCAGCTTACGTATTTGACGTGTACATGTTTATACACTCAACCAAAAAAGAAAGTCCCCCCTAAATACTTTTTTGTCTAACTCAAAAACTACTGGGCACATCTTGCTCAAATTATGACTGATCAGTACAGAAATTCCTTAGCAATCCAGCCATACCCTTTGTTTGGCCCAAAACAGTGATAATGTGTACACAATTATGCAATTTATGACAAATGGTACCGAAAAAAAGTTGCACTTTTGTATACGTGCATGGTGAGTGTGAACCGCAACTTGCACGTAAACAAAAGTGCAACTGTTTTCGGTATCATTTGTCATAAATTGCATAAATTCGTATACATTATCATTGTTTTGGGCCAAATAAAGAGTATGGCTGGATTGCTAAGGAATTTCTGTACTTATTAGTCATTATTTGAGCGAGAGGTGATCAGAAGTTTTTGAGTTAGACAAAAAAGTATTGGAAGGGGGGGACTTTCTGTTTCGGTTGAGTGTATTTGGGGTATAGATTCATACAACATCTTACAAATGTAGATGCAATTTCATCTTCAAAACTTGATGCTTGAATATTATGAAATATTCTGACTAGAAAAATGAAAGTACTCTTTAAATGTCCCTGAGAGGTTTGTCAAATATAGAGGTATCTTTTGGTTCAACTATTCTTGTTTTGAGTTCAACCAGTTTGATTCAAATGATTTTGACTCCTTTGTTTGTACAGGCATGGGACAAGGTGTGCTGGAGAGGTTGCAGCATTGGCCAATAACAGTATATGCAGCGTAGGCATTGCTTACAACGCAAAGATTGGCGGTGAGTCTGGCGTATACAAAAGTACAGATGTGGTTTTGTGTCAAAAGCATTTTGATCAAACATTATTTTGTTTCCCTTTCAATGGATTCTTATCGTAGCAATTTTTTTACTTGATCAAAAGTGAGAGAACTCGGTAACTCTGTTTTTTCCTTTTGAAGAGTTGTATTTATTGTATATTAATTTTTTTTGCATCATTGTTTACGCACTCTATGTAGTTTCAGTTGTGTTGGCTTTCTGGAAACCTTTTTATTTCTCATGACGTGATTTAAAATATCTTCACTTACTCAAAATTAGGTCCTCCATTTGGGAGGTTTTTTAAATCTATTTTGGAGGGAAATCATTCCAGGAATATGAACAGATGATTTGGTAAACATATTTGGCTCAGACCTCCAAAAAGTTTACAAAAACGGCCGCATCATGTACATCAATGTGCATTACAAATGTAGTTCTGTAATTTCCCCCATGTTGTGAGACGTCATGACCCATTTCCTTCTACCATGCTGCATCAAGGAAATACATTGAAACTTACTTCCCTTCACATGTTGGTTGCTGACAGCATCATTCAGAAAGGATTTACTTGTTGAAACTCCAAGGCCATCACTTAAAAAAGTGAACTTTTGTTAAGTGATTTCTAACCTTCCCATGTTCCTAGTCAACCTTTATGTATGATATGTAAATCATAATTTTTTCATCATGAGTTATACCTTAGAGAGATTAGGAACCAGACATTAGGAATACCTTTCAATGTCTCCCTAATGTCATAACTCCTGTTAAGTTTTAGAGGTCATTGTTCAAATATGCTTCAAAAGTTTCTTTGTCTACAGAATTTGGTGGATTTTAATGTAACTTGAATGGAGTGATCCCTGGGTGGGGTTCATGACAACTCTTCTGAAATTGGAGGTCAAAGGTCATCTATGGGTCAATTAAGGTCATTGTATAAAAATGCTGAAAGTTAGACTTTTAAAAAAAACCCACAAATATACAATGTAGGAATCGACCATGAAAAAAGGCGACACTTGCAATCCGCTGATCTCTTGTTTTTTTAAATTGACAATTTCATCCCTGAATGTTCACAGACTGCTTGCTGTACTGTAACCTGCATGTAGCCATTCCAGGTTGTCTCTCTATTCCAACCATGCACCCCACCCCCTCACTTCAGAGAATAGTGATTTATTACAACTTTCTGATTTGGCAATTTGATACCGGAAATCATTAAATCGGCAAGCTCTCTTGACTTGTAAATAAATGCATGTGACTTATCTTTGCAAATTTATCGGGATTAGCTGCAGTCACGACTTTGTTGGGACGGATATTTTTTGCATGCGTGGCAAAATTTTTAAAGGATCCTAGACATTGCTGGTTATGTCAGTTCCAAAATTAAAATTGGGAAAGAGTGATGGGGGGAAAAAAAGTCCGCATGTCGTGACTGAATGAGGATTCAGTTCATGTTTTTTAATGTTGCCACGGATCGCATCACTTTGTTGCATCATTCATGTACATGTACATGTACTTCATGTTTAATTGACTCATCACATGTACTTGCAGTGGTTGACGGCAAACATTGGCACTTTCACACATGGGTACCAATTCCAAATCACACATTCTCTTCATGTAACAAGCCGTTGTAGATGATTGTTACGGAACACATTTTTTACACCGGGGCTGTTTAGATGATCGTTACCGAACATTTTTTTTTCACCTGATGTTAGAAGGATGTTTTTAAATACAGAAACTCAAGGGCATGAAGGGAAAGGTTTTTCTTTTACTTTTGCAAACTTGCAAATAAAATTATGCTGATAAAAAATTTTTTTTTTTTTTTAATACAAGAAAATTGGATATTGGATATTGGATATCGCGATATATTTTTCCTGATATTTCTGTTTGGAAAAAAAATGGATATATCCTTCTTTTTTTTTTCCATAAAAAAAAGTGATGTCATGACGATGATGTTGGATATGGCGATAAATTTTTCCCGATATTTCGGTTTGGACAAAAATGGATATTGAACAAGCTTAGTCAGCGTTTCGTGTTGGCCTTTCGTCAAAGTCGGTTTTCATTATATGTGTTTTTGCAAAAATGATTATTGTTGGGCTCTCTGTCTTTGGTGTTTCTGTGTCTCTATAAATTAAATTACATGTTTTGTCATTTTGGTTTGCCGTGAAAGTGAAATTGAAATTGAAGGTATCTGGGACGAGCTGTCTCACCTTTCTCTTGTTCAAAATATCCAGGCAACTTTTGTTGTATTTTGCGGAGATACAATAGTTTGGTTTTGACTTGTTTTATGCAAAACATGAAGTAATTCGCACCTAGTTGTTGTTTGATTTTAATTTGATTTAGTACGTGTGAAAATCTACAATCTGCATTCTGATAAATTTTTTATATTGCTGGAAAAGTGGCAACTTTTTTTGGAAGATAAACAAAAGAAGCAAGCTGGTCTTGATTGATTTAAGAATGAAAAAACACATCGCCAAAGATAATATCAGTCCGAAAATTGAGAAAAATAAATAGTGTTAACTTGAGTGTACATGTACCTTAATGCCTCGCAATTATAAGATATACTCCACTTAAGCACTGGAAATCAATCTTGGAGTAGAATTCCCCCCTCCAAAAAAAATAAAAAAAACCAAAGCAATTCAAAGAGTGGGCTTCGACATGCCGTTAATGGATGCTGTGTTCCTGTACCGCGAAGCTTTCAAGATTGCCGCTTCGTGTGATTATCGCTTGAAGCTAAATGAGCCGTCATTAGCAGCCCTGGTCGGTGCTTGGAGCAATCAGGATTTCTATCAGAGAACTCTCATCCTGTCCTGCGGTGCGTGACTTTTCTAAATTGCTGCAGTTAATTGTAACAATCATTCACTGAGTCATATCCGTGTTGGGGGCTAATTGTATCGCTGTGCTACAATGTAGTATCAATTTCACTCACAGTATTGTCTGTGTTTTTTTAAGTGTCACCCCGAAAAATAGATTTTTAAATATTTTTATAACTGTTATTTTTCTGACATCATAAAAGTTATTTATGGAATAATTACCTCTCAAATTTTTGAATTTGTGGCCCAACAATAATCCATTTCTTGCAGGGTGGACTGATTCCTGCCTCCTATCATGCCCATCAGCATTGATAGACTGGGAACCAGTCTGCTCGCATGGCAGGTCTGTTAGTGAGCAAGTAAGCTCAAATAAAGGCCCGATAGAGTTGCTGCCGTCTTGCTTAAAATGGAAATAATCATGACAGTAAAACGAGGGGGAAAATTTGTTTACATGTAGATGTACAAGCTCTGCAAATACATGTACATGTTAGTATTTCTGGCTTTTCAAATTGTGAGCAACTTTTGATCTACATGTAGGCCCTATGGCATGTATGGATTCTAATACTGTTCAGATATGTGTACCACAAATACTAGTCTGCATAAATTAAGATTTTCTTGGTATTTCTTCTTTTCAAAAAACAGTGAATCAGTAATCAAAAGTCATAATTTTTATTCATTATCATCATGGAAAGTTATAAGGTTACTCGCATTACAGTGGTTACTCGCATTACCGGTTACTCGCATTACCGGTTACTCGCATTTCAATTTTTGACACCTCCTGATGACATCATGATTGGTATCATTTTCATTTCTTTTACCCGTTCAATAGTTGTTACTAAGGGAAGAAAGAAATATGAAATGGCAAAGACAGGATCTATTTCATTCAGCTGCAGTATCAAAAACTTTATCTTTTGGTTACTCGCATTACATACCCAAACCAATGCAACAAAATTGCATCCTCACTGCTATACAAGGAGCCATGGTCCAAAATTTGTTAATGTTTTGAGAAGATCTGAAGTCAAAGTAAAGTATAGTTTTAATAAGGCTAATTCTGTGTCAAAAGAACCAACCATGTAAAATTTGAATATTGAAAAGTCGATTTTTTTCCAACCAGAAAACACCTTTAGTAATCTGATTTTTTTTCACTTAAAATGATGAAGGATTGGCTAAAAAAGTTTATATCCTGATCCTTACATGTGTTCGCAATAACTTAAAAGTAAAAAGCAAGCTCAGGAATGAATTTCATTTTTGGGGGTCATGTCTGTTTGCTTGGAATCGCTCAGAAGCATATTGGTACCTCTGATATATACCGTACTTGTATGTACATGTACAATGTATATGATGTCCTGCAGATATCCATGTATTAAAATTACAAACGAAAGATTATGAAGAATCAAGAAATGCTTTCCCTCGATAAACATGGCACATACCGGAAGCACATTTGTTTTTTTAGCCAAGGGTATGCACAGTGGGACAACCTGTTTACAATGTCCATTATATTCTAACGGTTTTTGAAACCTATTTTTTGGGAATCACCCTGTACTGTCATTCCTTTGTCCTATTCCCAGATGAAGCTTAGATTTCAAGCCAGAAATGTATACTTCGTATGGTGTACTATAACAATACTGCGGCAAATTGATAAGCCAATGTTTCCACCCCCCCCCCCTCCCAACCTATGTGCATATTTACTTCATGCTGTCATACATGAATAATGAGATTCGTGCGCTGGGCTTCCTTACCTCGGGCAGTTTTCATTTACATGTATGTATCAAGCTTAAGAAAAAAAAGCCGACTTACGGACCATATTGTTTCCAGACACATGCATATTCACTGACATTCATTTTGCAATTTGGGAGCCGGTGTGAAAAACTGGACCAGACAAAACAAAATTTAGTAGCCTGGTACATGTTCCAGTATAACATAGTTTAGGAAAGATGTTGTCACATTTTAGGAGACCAATATAGACCAGCTTATCATTACGGTATGTCAGAATGAAATGTTGTAACTTAAAAGGCAAAACAAAAGTCAAATACTAAAATAATACAGTGATACACCAAAGCACACTATTTTAGAGGGATTTAAAACTGTGCAAACTTTTTAATGACGTTTGTGCCAGAGTCCTGTTGGGGCCCAGAATGTTGTTTATTTTACTTGTTGATAGTATGCATGTGCATACAATGTACACTCTTGTTTTACCATACTCTCGAGGACAATGCTTTGTATTTCCCTTTGTCCCGAGGACTGAAGGATCTCCCTTTGTGTGTCGGTTCTCTGGGGGTTATGTAGAACACGTACAATTATAGTATATTACCATCACTTCCAACCTTGTTTTAAGGGTAAATCTTGAATCTTTTGCGGTTGCTGGCCATGTACATGTGTACCTGTTAGGGTAAGAATTGGTCAAAGGAATGTTGGGACAACCAAATAATGCAGGGAGCTTATAGACACGCACTCCCTGTGGAGTCCCAGTACATGTCTCATCCCATCAATCACATGAAGTGTGTTATGATTTCACCTGTGATCAGATGACCTATGAGTGTCACTATCCTTCACATGTACTCCGCATCATACCAAATTTCTTCTTGACAATGCGTATCACATTCCATTGGGCAACCTGTTTTGAATCTGCTCGATCCCCCTCTGTCTTTAAAACAAATCCGGAAAATTTATGGTACAGAAAATCCGACTTGGCTCCACAGCGTGCAACATCCATCCTGTTTTCTTGTGCCAAGTCGCAGTAAAAATCCCTGCAAAATGCCCCCCACATATAACCAAAAACAAACGGGAAATTCCCAACCTGTTGACGGGCATGTACATGTAGCTGTTCAATCCGCAGGTAGTCATATCGTGCCCATATGTGGGTTAGACAAACAGATGGGTATTATTGGCATTTTGTCAGCCAAAGACTCCCCCCCCCCCTACCCCTCCAATGGTTGTCTGGAAATCAATCGACACCCCACGCAGAATGTACCACCGCTGTACCAAGTTGTTTTCCCCCTCTGTGACATTTGCCGTTTCCAAAGGGAAGGATATTGATTACTTTCTAAGGTAATGTCGGGGGCGATAAAGCAATCAAATCTTGGGGGGGGGGGGGGATAATGCATAGAGAGGTGTTAAGATGACACCAAGGGTGACAATTAGATTCAAATTACTCGCCAAGTCTGTAAGTGCCTCCAGCAAGGTCTTTATTTGAAACAGTGAGAACTGAGAGGGAAAGGCGATGTCAGTCCAGCTCTAGAGTAAAATTTAAAAAATCTATTCTGCTTTTTACCTGCGGATAGCAGCTCTACATGTACATGTACTCGTGACTCTCTGTAGCCCCAACATTTCACATGACCAAACTGGGGTCAAAAATCATCATGGGGTCAAGGTTAAAATAACGTCAAATTTCAAGAAGCTCAGATAAGCTCAAATAAGCTCAAATAAGCTCAAATGACAAAAGTAGCATTACAAAATGTCCGTGGTGACCTTTTTCATCTTACCTATCTTTGAGACTCTCTATGGCCTCAGAAACGGATTGCAAACCAATGCAAATTTGAAAATACAACATATTTGCCTATTTTTTACAGTGTACCGGTAGGCCTATAGTACAGTATACATGTAGCCGGTACGTTGTATGTTGTAGCATAGAGCTAGGACCCATAGCTCTTTGGTTGTAACATTACAGCATGCATCTAGATGAAGATCTGAATTTGTACATTTGTGACATACATTTGTACATTGTAGTTGCATCATTGAGCATGCTTCATTTGTGTACTCAAACATGGTACGTGTGTTGTTTCTGGAATAATGTCTACCGTGTTACAAAGAGAATGCCGTAACTTAAATCAAAAATGTCCATCTGTGATACAATGCGTCGAATTACATGTACATGTTCCACACAGAGTTGATATACATACATGTACATGTACACACAAGTTCCTTATGCGCCTGCAAAGTACTTAAGTAAGGGAATTAATATGTGCTGGGAGGTTTAAAAACTCTGTTTAGGACCGGTTGGAGTCTGGATGCTGATACCCGAGCCAAAGGCATTAATTGCATTTATCAGATAGAATTAAAGCAGTGCGCAATTAACATCAAGCTAGTGTATTAATTTACTCTCTCTAGCATCATTAGATTACATGTACATGAGTGCGTGTATATTACCTTACAGGCTATTCATACAGTTAAACCGTCTTATGCGCAAATTCTGCAAATTTTCACTTTGAGTTTGCAATTCAGGCATGTATATTTTCACAACAAAAAGTTCTCAGAGTATACAGTGCTTATGGGCTCTGTGCGACAATAAGAGAGGGTGCTTTTTTAACCACTTCTGAGAGCCTGTGGAAGGGGCACACCGCGGGTGTATACTAGTTTGCGCGTGTGGGGTGCTGTGGTCCAGTGGTTACGGTGTTCGACTCGTGTGCCGTGGTACATGGGTTCGAATCATGACACATGGTGCTTGCTCTTGAGCAAGGCACTTTACCATTATTCACTCTCTTCACACTTCCGCCATGGGCATGTAGAGCCTCGATCTGGTTTCTTTACACAATAAAAATAGCCGGTTCAGTGATTCCCGTGTCACTGAACCGGCTATTTTTATTGTGTAAAGTTGCCAGATCGAGGCTCTGTATGCCCAATGGCGGAGTGTGAAAATTGATTCGTCCTTCGGATGGGTCGCAAACCTGTAGGTCCCGTGTGTTGTGTAATGCACGTTAAAGAACCCAGTAACACTTATCGCTAAAGAGAAGGGGTTTGCCCCGGTGTTTCTGGCAGTGGCTGCAATATGCGCTGCAGCACCTTGTAAACCCTTATAAGGTGCAACATAGTGGGTCTAATATTTCTCATAAACTTTATTTACCTGTCTTTAATAATAGACTTAATTTTCAGCGCCTTCAGTACCTAATTGTTGGTACATGTACCGGAACATGTAGACCTATGAGCGCTATATAAGACTCTGGTGTTTAGCACAAAGCGCGTACGATTATCATATTCTAAATATGCGCAAATTTAAGATGTAGCGGGTTTGCGTGAGCGTCAGGCGTCATCGGCAATATGTTCAACCGTCTCTCCCTAATATGGTAATGTATTTTTTGTTTTGGTTTTTTTTTTCTAGGAGTGCGTATGTTGGATGGAGATGTAACAGATGCAGTAGAGGCAAGATCCTTAAGTCATCGCCCGGACCATGTAGATATCTACAGTGCCAGCTGGGGGCCTGACGATGACGGCAAGACAGTAGACGGGCCGGGCCCGTTGGCCAAAAAGGCATTCTGTGATGGGATCACTAAGGTAATTTTAGGCAGCACGCATGCTTTCATGATTTGGTCTTATGGTGCCGTGTACGTGCATGCGTGTTATTCATTTACCATAGAGGGTATTGGGTCATTTCATCAATTTGGGGTTCAATTTTTTTATGCCCCTTTTACATCTGATTATAAGATTTTGTAAATTCAGGACACATTCTCTAATGCCTTCTATCTCTAAGAGTGATTATGTATTCATAAATACCTAAGACAGTTTACGCATTCCTTTTGGTCGAGAGCCCGTCACCTGGCCGGTCTTAAACGGATGATAAAGACATGGCTAGCTGGTCTTAAACACTTTTCCAGAGTCACAATAAAATGTAGACTCCTAAAAATCCAGTGCCTCTTATCGTTTCATTGGTTGAACGTTCACAATCCTCACGTAGGCATGCGCAACACTACCAGGGAGTCAGAATTTTATAGTTCTAAATTCAAAACGCAACGCGCCAGGTGCGTTCTGCGCGACATCGCACAGAACATGATACGCGTGCGTCAATCTCCATAAAAGGGTTGTTTACATCTTACTCGCCAGCTGAACACTCCATTATTTTTGCAAGAGGGATGTTTCAAAAAGCATAAAGTGAATTTGTTAAACAAAATCGGGATGTTTTGAACGAATTATATGATTTTTTTTTACCGAAAAGGTATTTATGAATGGGAATAAATATGTGCTCCGTCGGTATTTATCACTCTGTTTAAGACCACTTAGAGTCTGGGTGCTGATAATTACCCTCGCCTCCGGCTCGGGTAATTATCAGCACCCAGACTCTAAGTGGTCTTAAACAGAGTGATAAAAACCTCCGGAGCACACATTTATTCCCTTATTAAAGCGAAGCACATGTACATATACCTGTCAAATGAATACAATGGACTGCAGATTGAGTTTTAAATGATATGGCCTTTACATGAGATCTTGAACAAAAAAACAAAAAGGGCAGGGAGGCAAAAGCAAATTTGGAAGAAGTAGTTTTGAGAAGACATTAGGGAAGTTTTCTGAAATTTAGGTGAATTCCTCAGAAAGTATTCAGTTAAAAAAAAAAAAAAACACAAAGGGAAACTGACTTGGTGCATCGTAATAATTGTAAAGTTGAACAAAGAAATTGACTTGAGCAGGGTTTGAATCTGCGACCTCCGGATTGCCGCGCCGGTGCTCTACTTACTGGGAACTGTGAATATAAGGCTGGATAGCTCAGTTGGTAGAGCACTGGAACGGTTATCCGGAGGTCGCAGGTTAAAAACCAACTCCAGTCAAGTTCTTTCTTCAACTTAAAAAAAAAATAAACAAAAAGGGTTATTTTTGTGAGGAGGTTGGAGTGGAGTGAGCTTAAATAAGTTAAGTTTCCATTTAGCCTTTTAATGCACATGTTCAGCGTACAGACTACTTGTTTCTCCAAGGGGGAAAAAGGACCAGGCGAAAATCACTGAGCAGATGTGCTGTTTGCTCTTCGCAGTGTTGTTTCCAATGAGGACAGTATTGCTTGCAAGATAATCGCACTGGCAACAAATGCAGGCGAGGATGAGCACAGTTTCCTGAATCATGAACTGCTGTGGGTTGATAATCTATTGATGGTCCTATCGCAGCTTGGACCGAGGAAATACAATCCTGGCAGGGTTACGTTAATTTTCCCCAAATGTATGCAAACTTCACGGTCATTATGGCACATGGAACAGTCCTATAGGATCTTGTGCTTGCTTTTCAGCATTCACGGCGTGTACTGCCAGTGTCAGATCCGGGATGTCGTGAAGGAGGGATACCGGTACATACACGGTAAATTAGGTGTTGGAGTAGAAAAGAGAGGGGGCGGGGAAGAGACTGGGGTGTTGATGTCACACATTCACGTGCCCTTTTACACGTTAATTGTTCTGGGCAGCAGTCCCATTTCTCAAAGGACCTGGCAAATTTTTCTCTTTGTAGACGTACCTTTTCTCTCTGCATTTTGCATATTTCCCATTCGTGTTTTGACAGTTGATACAAGTTTATCTTACACTACAGGGCTGGAAATACGCGGTAGCCCGCTAGCCAAGTGCTAGTCAAAACAGCGGCGGGCTAGTCAAACTATTCCTTAAGTAGCCCGGCTGGCGAGGCAAAAAATTATTGGGATCAAAGATGAAAGGACAGGAAGAAATAAATCATGAAATTTAGAAAGCAAACCTGTATTAATTTTATCAACTGTTTTAAAGGGTTACATTATTAGATCTGTTTATTAAAAACACTGGCAAGATTGCCTCAGAATGGATCAGAAATCAGTTGGAAATGGAAAAAAATGAATTTCACTTTGTTACGACCTATTTTCGTTTCAGGGTCGCCCTTATGGATCACGTCTGTTTTCACATCACATACTTGCGTGAGAACGAAAATTATAACAACGCGAAAATTTACCTGCGTACGTCCCATGGATTCTAGATTTACTCAGGCTCGTTTGGATCACGTTTTAATACAGTTTTATCATCGAACATTTTAAATGTATTTGTATTTTTTTTTAAATGTCCGTCCCAAAAGCCATTTGAGTCTCCTGTTCAAGTTTAGGGGCCATATCATAATGTCCGACGCCTCATAGGTCCGATGCCTCATAAGCCAAAAAATTCGGACTTATGAGGCGTCGGACCTATGAGGCATCGGACTTATAGTGGACCCTAAGTTTGATATAAGTTTTTACCCAATGACCGCCACAAAATTATTTCAAAAATTGTCATGCTTGATTGAACAAGTGATTGAGTTCCACGAGTCCACACGGAAGGTTCCGGAAGTGAGAGGTAGATTTTTGGTACGATATTTCTCTTTCCCGTCATGCGAAGTTTTAGTTTCCATAAAATGCCGAGGGTAATTTTCTGAAGAAATCAATATACCAAAACTAATTTCAAAAGCTCTGACTTTTACACGTTAATATTCCTTTTTGAGGGGCCCTGAAGGGCGCCACCAGGGGTCAACTTTCAGGATCTATACACGTTTCACATGTGCACATTGTTGTTTATGAGACATTCTATAAAAGGAAAAAAAAAATTTGGCTAGTGAAAATGTCTGCGGGCTAGTTAAGAGCCTGTTTCAGTAGCCCGGCTGGCTAGTGAACAAAAAAGTTAAGGTCGAACCCTGCACTATAACAGATACTTTACTGAAGGTCTTCCATTTCTGCTGTCTTAACACTCCCCCTCTCTTCCCTTCCGTAGAAAAAAAGAAAGGAGTTCTCTTTGCACTCATTTGAAAAAAACTATTACAATTGTCGGAGAGCAAATGTTGTCTCCCGTGGGAGAAATCCCTCATTTGCATTACTTAATTTTTATGACATTTTGTGTGAATTTTCTAAGGATGCTTGTCCAGATTGCAGTGTAGGTGTTTCATTTGCATACAAAAAGTCTATGGGGATTTGCACTGATTATTTTTGTTTACTGAATTTCATTTGAAAAACAAAAATGGACATTTTCTGGCATGCAAACTGTGGGTACTTCCAATATTACCACACACACACACAAAATCGGCCCAATTATTTTGGTAATCCCAGCTTCTCAACGATGGGATTTCACAGTATCACGACTGGATTTTATCCAATTTGCTGGCATTATAACAATCCTGTGCATTATAGGCTTTTTCCTAGTGGGGGGGGGGGGGTGATTTGTGTGGAGTTACTTAAAGGGACTGTCTGTATTACTGTGGAATTGTGGTGTCGAAATGAGGAATCTTAACCATGATGAAGAACTAGTGTACCATTGTGTGTGTTCTTTTGTTCTGATGGGGCCTACATGTACACGTACACTAGGGGAGCTCGTCATAATTAATTCTGTGGCTACCATTGTGGGACTGCTGTTCATGCATTTTAATGTTTGAAACGGATGCACCTCGCAAAACACAGCAACATTTAATGCAAATTTAATGCAGTATTAAACATGTTATGGATCATCAGCATATTAGAATTAACATTTTTATCATTCCCTTACACTATCTAGTTGTAACAGTTACTAGCAAGCACGCAATTGACATTTTGAGTCAGGTTTCGAAATGTAATATCGTACAAATTTGTACGATCGATGGTTAAAGGGTATTTGCCACATTTTCATCGTAATATTATGTTTTTAGTAATAGCGATGCATTTTAGAGTGTTTTCATAGAGATCATGTTGTAATACGGTATTTAATTATTCAAAGTCTGAAAGAATCAAATTTGCCAAAAAGCCAAACAAAACAATCAAATCATTTTTTGCAAGTGCCAACCATGACTTCAGAGGACAGTGAAATTGGAGCATTAACCAAGCCTTTCCGTTAAATGTTGCATTTTGTGCTTGCGAACACTCTTTAGGCCTTTTACAAAAAACATGACACACAGACAGACATCAGACACCGTATGATTTTTTAATAACTAGGATATAAGGATGAACTTTTAAACATTTAGAAATTTCCCGATGAACAGTGCATTAGCCTGAACATCTTTCGCGATGTCGCTTTTAACATGTTTAACGTGTTGACCGTGTGCATTACTCATATGTGTGTGTGGAAGATCAGAGGGTGAATTTAGAGACAAAAACCTGCTTAAACGAAATGAACAATCACAAAAAAATGATCAGCTGTCAAAAGCAAAGTTTCAAATTCTTTCCCTAATAGCTTGCGGGTACAATGCAAAATTTGACCGAGCATGTCCATCATTGTTCAGACAGATTTAGTGAATGGCCTGAGAATGTTCAATGTCCACTCAGATTTCGCTCTCTGAACATGCTGAAGATGTAATAATTTGGGAGGCTAATCATCCTTACTCGCAGCTGGTATGCTGAATTGCGAAGGACGCGGCTACGACGTGGTCGGGCCACTGGCACGTAAAGGTGCCTATGGCTGCCGGCCACATCAACCCATATATGACCACGGAGCACAGCCTGAGATCGAAAGTGTTTGATTTTCCCTGAGGGAGGAAAACCGGAGGGCCCAGAGAAAAACCCTTGTGGCACAGGAGAGAACCAACGTACAACTCTACTCACATGTGATCCGTGGCCAGGATTCGAACCGTGGTCACTTTGGTGAGAGGCGAGCGCTTAAAGCACAAGCCACCCATGCCACCTTGAGTTGTCACTTTGTACAAACACAAAAGGACATGCGTGCCAGGATTCTAGCAAACATTGGTGTTCTCGTATCCATGATTTTTACATTCTCATTTTGTTGATTTGTCATCTTTGCCAGGGTCGTGGTGGGCTAGGTTCTATCTTTGTCTGGGCCTCGGGTAACGGCGGCCGGTCTAAAGACAGCTGCAACTGTGACGGTTACACCAACTCCATCTACACCATCTCAGTCAGCAGTGTGTCAGAGAGGGGCAACATTCCCTGGTACTCGGAGCCCTGTGCCTCCACTATAGCCACCACCTACAGCAGCGGCAGTACCGGTGAACAAGAAGTTGTAAGTAGAGGCTCACGTGGAATTGCAAATTGAACCCAAGCAATTCAGATGCGGGTTCACGTTCTGAGACGGTTTTTTTTTTATCTGCGCAAGTCCCGGGCCCAGCTTTTGTGGGGAAGAAAATAGTGCAAAAGCTAGTTTCCTTACTAAAAAGAGTCGGCCAATCATGAACAGTATACTAGTAATTCACAATATGGAAAAGCTGTCTTTGCATAGCAAATCTTGCTATACCAGAAGTGTATCGTGCAAAAACAGTTGACATCCATAATATGGTATACATCTATAATGCCGTACGGTGTTCATTTTGCACTCAGCAACAAGATATCTGCTTTTACAATGCAATGATGATGGTTTTAATCGTCTAGGCTGCCACATCCATTTGGTGTTTTTTTTTCAGTGTGGTTCATCACATAAACAATGAAAGACAGGTGATGATTATTGAACAGTTAAAGTTTGTAAGTGGATTCTTTGGGGCAATGCTTTGCAGTGCGCTTTTGAATTTGTACATGTACATATTGTATTTGTGTGCAAAGTTAAGTTTTGCCGGTCATGCCACAGACAAAACTGTCTTGTTGGTGCACCATAAAGTGACATTATACATACATTTTTCCCTCAATGTTCTAGAGTTAGATATTTCTACTGTTTCTACTGATGATTTGAAATTAATGTTGTGCAAACCCGACCTGAAACCAACTTCGGGTCGGGTTGGGTCGGGTCGGTTTGTCCATCATTTTAGTCGGGTCGGGTGGGTTTCGGTTTTGCGTTTGCGATTATTGGGTCGGGTCGGGTCGGTTAAGCCATTTTGGAAAAATGAACCACAACAGAATGGAAAATCACACTATTTAGTGCAGAGTCACTGCGCGTGGTGCGGTTAAAAATGGTTTGCGGTCTGTCTCGATCGGTCTATAATATGTAGGCCCACCAGTAGGTCACGTTGTGAGTGCCGCACTGCATGATTCAGTTACGCGAAGCGGGTTAGTTCAGGTGCAAAAAGCGGACACATTTGCCAAAGCCAAATATTCGGGGGTTTTCGGGTGGGTTCGGTTTCAGGTGACTCGGTTTTCTTTGAATTGTTGTCTGGTCGGGTCGGTTTGAGGTAGTCCAGTTCGGTTTTGGTTCGGATTCAGTTTATAAAATTAATGTCTCGGGTCGGTTCAGCCTCGTCAACCCGACCTGATACACATCACTATTTGAAATGTAGTGAATGTAGTGAATTCCACACTTGAGTCATGCAGGGAGTGTCGCTTGTTCACCTAATATCAGGCCATATTTAGGTGTCTATGAGAGTATCATTGTTAGTAATGTTGTTGACCGTTTTGATTGCAGATAACGACTGATCTGAATCTGGGCTGCACTGACAAACACAGTGGTACCTCCGCCTCTGCCCCACTAGCTGCGGGCATGTGTGCCTTGGCACTCCAAGCAAAGTAAGACAGGTTTTCATGACTGTTAGGGGTATTCGGGTTTATGCAACTTTATATTAGCACACTTGGTACTTTCTGAGTGTTTGTGCCAAATACATGTAATATCAAGCTTGCGTTCTATTGGTTTTTCCTCTTCACCAATGCAATGATATAAACAATGTTTACTCATTGCCGTCCGAGAGCTTGTGCTATGCAAGCTTGTTGATGTGAATAGAACCCCACAACCTCTTGCTTACTAGTGCCGATGTCTTACCACCCAGCCACTAAGCTTGCCGGGGTTGGGCTGCCCAGCTCAACATTGATTTAACATTTGGTAATGCAATTAGTGCCTTGTAAAAAAGGCCTAACATACCACCAAAGGAAGAAAAAATATTCAGTCAAATTTTATGCAGTAGTGTTGACGTTGCGTTCCCCCTGCTGTTCAGCAAATTTGAATTTCATTAATATTTTTCCAACTAGTATGTTTTATTCCAAGCAAAAACCTCCTTTTTTGGGTTTTTTTTTGACAAACTTCTGGGAAAAAAAAGGTTTTTGTTTTGGGCACAAACAGATCCGGTTTGCCCAAACAAACCAGCTTACCCCATGCCAACAGGAACTATTGTCTGGCAGCCAATAAGTCAAAATAACTAAACATGGGCTGATTTTTTCTTCCATTGTCTCGTTGAAAAGAGAATAACTGTTATACCGTACCGGTATTTCCTGAATTATAGCAATTTAGAAAAGGAATCTATTTTTCGGGATGAAACGCGAAAAAAGCATTGGGACTGCATATTTAAATAAATGCGCTTTTGTCATGTTATTTTTCTCATTTAGTAAACAGTTTGTGTCCATTTACATTGACCAGCTGTTTTCACAACAATAGACGAAAGCTGTGCGGTGGAGGGATTACTTTTTCTAAACATCCTGGATAACATGTATATTCCATTTTATTGCATCCTGTTTCATCAACACGCCTACAGTCACGCGTCTTCACGGTTTCCAAACCACAGTGCATATTTGCACCATCGAGTGCCGTTTGAGCATACTGCGACATGTTGTATTGCCTCTGGCAATGTGGACAAAGAATTTTATTGAATTAAAAACAGAAGAGAAAAATGTGCATCCATGGGGACACTGCATTATGAATGCAGAATTCATTATGTATTGCAATGCAGTACTTAAATTATGTACTTAAACTGAGGATGTTAAATATGGCAGTGTACATTGTACACGCACATTGGCTTGTGTATCATATGGCTCTATGACTTTTCTGGCTGAATTTGTCACTTGGGAATATTAAATGTTCAATATTTTAAAGTGTGTTCAATTTCACATGTTAATTCACTGACTTGAATTAATAATTTGCAATATTGCAAGGCATTTATTACTGCATGATGTTGTATACGTAACATTTCTAATCAAAACTTTAGTGGATTTGAATTACTATTGTAATATTCATATCAAATCCAACTTTTTCTTTCAATATTTTGGACCATACATGTACATGTGCAAGGCGGTCTTTTGTGTTGCACTGTTGATACAAACTGCATCTAGCATGTTTAGGATATTACATGTACTTTTTTAAAATGTAAGTTGACAAAGAAGCCATTACAGTCCATATTTAAAGATCTTTATACAAAAAATGTATATTTGAAAAACATAAATGGCCAGTCTCCTGATGATGACTAGAGCAGCCTAGTCAAAACATTGAGACCAAAGACAAGTTCTTTTAGAACTATTAAAACCCTTCTAAGAAAACAGGCATTCTGAGCCATGTTATTACTTGGGTCAATATTGTCGCAGAATTCAAGCTAATGACCCCTGAATTTATACACATAGCACTCTACTCATGGAACTAGCCATATTCATGGTGATGGTCTCGCAGGTTGTCATTTTGCTGTTCCTTGAGCTACACGAATGACCACACAACATGAACTTACATGTAAGAGTGTCATGGTGTCTTAGAGTGCTCTGAGAATTAAGATATAGGCATTTATTGAGAGGCCTCAATAAAAATGTATTGGCTAGCCGTGATAAAGTAACAGTACAGCACTCTATGGTCCAAGGTTCAGATTCTGATTTTGTTAGTTCGCTTTATTAAATTAAAACTTTTACTGCAACAACCTAAAGTGTTGCCAGCTCCCCTCACTGGTTTGTTTGACCATTTTTTTTTTTTAAAGTATACAGAGCACTGGTATGGCATTCTGAAGGCAGTAGTCTCTGCTCGGCTACGAATCAATCCTCTTAGACTTCCATCTGTTATGTTATTTTCCTTGTTGTTTTGCAATGCCTAGTCCGCATCTGACGTGGAGAGATCTACAGCACATCATTGTCCTAACGTCCAGATCCGAACACCTGAATGCACCAGACTGGATGACCAACGGCGTCGGTCGTAAAGGTACGGGTCAAAATGTATTTATATTTTGGTCTTATATGAATGGTTAGCTGGCTAAGATTATGCATCTTTGCATGACAAAAGGGATGTTACCGGTACAAATGTGGAATATGTTGCTTTCTCTGAGCATGTGTGTATTTCATCAGTCTTTTCACACATTGCAAAAGAATCATTTGCTGAAAGCAGATTTCCTCGTTTTTTTCTTTTTTTACTTCTCATGAATGCCATTACAAATTGAAAACACTGTACAAAGTCTTGCTTGTTTGAAATTTCCTCGTTTTTTCTAAATTTCCAATTGCGTGCCTTACTACACCATCCAATTTTGTAAAAAATAAAAAAAGGTCACATGATCTATAAATACTAGTTTTACTTCTAGAAGTGTTTGATGCTTTGTCTACTCAACTACATGTATTTTTCGTGCCACGAAACCCAATGTTCTTAGGTAGTTTCTAAGACATTCAGGATAATATGTAAATTATAAGAACAGAGAATGAAATGCAAATCACAATACTTAAAATGCGTAGTAATTACCCAAATGGGCATTTAGAATTAGCCAATCCGTATCAGATGTAAGAACAGGATAGTTTCTACAGTCAGAGATACAATGTCAAATGTATTAGCGTATCTTGTATTTTGTCATCTCACAGTGAGCCATTCCTATGGTTACGGATTGATGGATGCTGACGCCATGGTAACCAGGGCCAAGATATGGAATCGCGTGCCGGAGCAGCATATATGCACTGAGAATGCCCTGCCTGTACCAAGGTAAGTACATGTAATATGTCACGATAGCAACAATCCAGTGGCAGTTTGTTTTGGCTTTACTTCAAAATTACTGGCTCTACATGACTATCTGAAACATTGAAATGTAGATGCAACTTTGTGTGGTTTCTGGGCAACTGTGTGTGCTGCAATGTAGCGTTCTGGTCTGGCAATCCAACAGTAAGTATTAACTAATTTTGATCAGGTGACTTTCGGTTAGGTGACCATAGTAGCTTGGTCATATTCGTCTCAACCACTATGCCCAAATCGGGAACTGTCCGCTGCTGCAGTGGTGTAGCAAGGTCATTTTTATTAGGGAGGGGGGGGGGGTAGACCTGTTGAAAAGACAGGGTTTGTTCACCATAGACATCATCTTCCTATGTAGGGACTGTTCAAACTGGACAATCATGGGTGCTATAGAACAATAGGTCAACACTATTACTGACGTTTGCGCAAAATTCCAAAAATGGCACTCGTTAAAAAATATTGAGGGGGTTGGGGTTAACTGCTGGTGAAAAAGGGTACTTGTTTACAAAAGTTTGTGGTGGGGAGTAACAGGCAGAATGGTTTGGGGTGCTACAATGAGTAACAGGCAGGGCGGTTTGGGGCAGTACAGGGAGTAACAGGCAGGGCGGTTTGGGGCGGTACAGGGAGTAACAGGCAAGGCAGTTTGGGGCGGTTCAGGGAGTAGCAAGCAGGGTCGTTTGGGGCGGTACAGGAAGTAACAGGCAGGGTAGTTTGGGTCGATACAGGAAGTAACAGGCAGGGTGGTTTGCGTCATTACTGGGAGTAACAGGCAGGGTAGTTTGGGTCGATACAGGAAGTAACAGGCAGGGTGGTTTGCGTCATTACTGGGAGTAACAGGCAGGGTAGTTTGGGGTACAGGGAGTAACAGGCAGGGTAGTTTGGGGCGGTACGGGGAGTAACAGGCAGGGTGGTTTGGGGCAGTACAGGTGGTAACAGGCAGGGTGGTTTGGGGCAGTTCAGGTGGTAACAGGCAGGGTGGTTCGGGGCGATACAGGGTCTAATTGGTTAAACTGTTTACTTGAAATGTTGACTTTTTTTCTATTCTCTCAGGGACATCCCGGCCAGTGGCAAGCTGATCATCCACTTCAACACCACGGGCTGCCACGGAACATCCAGCTATGTCCAGCATCTAGAGCACGTCCACGCCCGCATCACACTAACCTTCGGCAAACGGGGGGCCCTGACTATCAAACTGACCTCTCCGTTGGGTACAGAGGCCACCCTGCTGCCCCCCAGACAAAGGGATTCCTCCAGGGATGGGTTCACGGACTGGGACTTCATGAGCATCCATTCCTGGGGGGAGAAGCCTGAGGGGATCTGGACTTTGGTCATACAGAACACTGGGGGGTTCTCGTACACTGGTAAGTGATGTTGGTTAGGTAGATGAGGGGGCAGGACCAGTGTTGTGGTCCTGCTTCGCCATTTGTGTCTTTGCCAACTATGGACTCATCAGGAACAACATGTAGCTCACAGGAGCTCCATTATATGAGACTTGCCACTTAACCACAAAAACCTTTAAAATTGCGGGTTTGTGAGATTCTTGCTCTGTCCTGTTAATGTAACTTCCTAAAGGCCAGTTGATCCTCGGTGTGAATGCGAACCCGAATGCGAAGTCGTGTCGTCACTGCAAGAATCTGCCTGCAAAATCTCCAAAGCTGAATACATTTCAACTCCTGGCAAATTTCGCAGCAAAACGATTCTTGATGTTATATTCGCTTTGCATTCGCATTTGCGTGAAGTGTAAATGGGCCTTAAAGGGAATGTATAACATTTGCTTTTGCTGCAATTTTCAGATTTAATGGATTTGGAGGATTAGTATGTTATAGAAAATATTGTTAAACTGACTTGTTTCATGTTTTGGGCTTGTAGATGCTGGAGAAACCAAGAAAACCAATCATGTTCTTGTAATCTGGTTCCCTGACCCCACTTAAGATGAAACGGAGCAATTTATTGATTTTGGGGAATTGCAAGGTCAGAGAATCAGTTCAGCAGGCTTGTACCACCTCCCAGGTGTGTAATTAATTGCAAAGAAAATGCGGAATAACTAAATATGAAAATTTACGACCACTTTTTGAAAAAGCCTACTTTCTCCGATGCTGGTTGGCTGACCAGCGTTGGCAAAATACAAGTTTTCTTGAAAATGTCAGCACACCAGGGCCCATGATTTAACAGGATGCTTGAGACTGTCATTCCCTAACAATCCAGTAAGGTATTTCATGATACTAGATCATTTCCTTTTTTGATGTTTGCAAATGTTGTATCTTCCCTTTAAGAATTTCCGGCAGGGTAATGCCAAACAAAGACCAACTTGTTGCTTACCATGCTTACCATAATTCCATTTGTGTGCGCACGCCACAAGAACCCCACATATAGCCTTCCGCAAGAACATGTTCATGCGCTTACACTGTACGTTGCAGTGTCCATGCTAATTAATTTCATCCGGTTGTGCACAGCGGCAGTGGCATTTGAAGTCTTGAAAAATCAGTATCTCTTTCGATGAGGTGAAGAGGTATTGTGCTGAGAGTTCATAGTTGACAAAAGGCTATTATCTGATGACCTTACAGATTTCTGATGACCTTACAGATCTTTTGCACCAATTTGAAGATTGGTTTTGCATCACAAAGTTTTTTAGCGCTGATGTAAGCATGCTCTTCAATATTGGGTTTTTCTGTTCACCGACGTTTTTTTATTTTTCATAAACACTGTATAATCAGTGTTATCCCGAGTGATTGTGTACAACACTGAGTATACAGTGTGTATAAAATAAATACGTCAATGAAAGGCTAAACCCAATATTGAATTTTACATCTACCCAACGCAAATTCCATCTTTTGAAAAGCATGTTCTTAGTCAAGTTAAACAGCTTTTCCTTTAATACATGTACATTCTTCCTCATTTTTGCTCAGAGCTTTAGTTTTCATTTCTAGGGCATGGGACCAATTTCCAAACGCATCCCCATTTTACCAAAGTTTGCTTTCAGCTCCCTACCTCTTGCGATATTTTGATCTCTTTTGCAAGGTTTGAAAATGTTTTTCCAAGTGCCAGAAAAAAAAATATGAATCTAAAGTAGCTTTCTTGAAACAATTTTTGGTTTTTTTGGTTTTCATTCCTTGTGCTGAGCATTTTGATTTTCCGTTTGCATGATCGGAGGTTTCATGCAAGAAAATTAAACTTTCAGGAAGGATTTATGTTTTCTTAGAAGTCTCCCAAAACAGTGCAACAACGTCAAATCTTTTTTGCAAATTTTGCTTCATGTTCCTGCACAATTGCTTCAACTGCTAAAAAAGAAGAAGATTGGACATTGTTGTACTGAAATAAAGGCATGGAGTGCATGCTTGCTTGGTACGGACTTGTGTATAATTTCCTTCTTGCCTAGGTTCTGTCGTTAACTGCTCTCTTGTTCTATACGGCACTGAGCATGATCCGCTGGCCCCCCGCCATGGCCCCTCTCACTGCTCCTCTGACTACCACCTGTCTGTGCACGGTACCCCACAACTAGGGCTGTACGGGAATTGTGTGCGCTCGGACTGTGTGTCCAGCTCTTGCAGGACTTGCCCCCAGGCCCAATCCGCTGCGCACCAAGGCTTGTACAGCCCAGAGGCCCGTGTTGTCGAGACGCTGCTAAGCCTGTTGCTTACCACCGCTCTCCTTTGCCGCTAGGTACGCTCAAGCACTGGGCACTGGTGATGTACGGCACGGAGGTGCATCCCCTGGAGGACCACGTGGGCCCCAACAACTGCCCCATGGGGGAGTACCTGGTCACCGCAGTCCATACTGACAACACCACCGAGAACAACACCAGTATCGTACACACCTGCCTGCCCTGCCATCACACCTGCGAGACCTGCTTCGGGCCTGGTGACGAGCAGTGCCTGACTTGCCCGTACAGCTACATCAAGCGGGACGTGTACTGTATAACCGTGCAGCCGTATGACGGGAAGATCTTGCTCAGCATGGTGTTCATGTGTGCGATCCTCCTCGGGCTGTTCCTCCTGTTCTTCCTGATCCTGCAAGCGCACAGCCAGGGATTCTGCCGCAGCTGGACAAGTACCGGCATGTCCAAAGAGAACGGCTGTGATTACGAATACCAGGAACTAACAAAGGCCTTTGACGACTCTGGTGATGAGGCTGAGGCCGATGGAAATGTTTTATACACTGAGAAACCTATACCCCCTAACTCCTACATTTGAAGCATCATAATGTTATCTTAACTGCGGTGTGTACTTAGAAATACAATGTAAGTTGTGTGATTTAAAAGAAAATTAAATATATCGTATATTTAGCCTTTGGAAATTGGGTCAATATTGTGTTTATACTAGATAGTTGTTGATCATTTATGGGCACTTTTGGTGTGACTACTTACACTGCTTTTAGTGCTTTTTGCCAATCAGTTATGTTTTCTACCGTCCTTGTATTTAGTTGTAATGTAACTCTAGATCAAATAATTTGACACTGAATGAAGAAAAGTCTGTCTTTTGATTGATTGTGGTGCATGTCTGTGTCATGTATGCGTAGCGGATCGCAAGTTGCGTATGACGTCACATGACCACATACGCGTAAAGTTATGACCCATCCAGTGCGCTAATCGTATCCGTTCGCGTGCAGAACCTCTCTATTGCATGAAAGTCCTGTTGAGGTACACAAATTGTCGACTCGACCAAAATTGTGAAGGGGTTCGTTCCCCGGTTGTAGTCGGACCATCACAAGTCAATCAAAAGTCAATCAAAAGTCAAATCTCAAGTAGAACAAACAATGACACAGGAATTACTCTGTCATATAGGTAATTTGTCGTACTGGATGACGTGTGATTAGCCTGTGATGTCTTGCGATTGACATAGTCAAAATTTTGACCCCCAAAATTTGTTCTCACAATAGCACAGAAATGGCCAATTTTCAAAGGATGGTTGTGTGGACGTTTATGTATCCTACTTTTAAATGCTCTTTCCAATTAATATTATTTCATTTAAAATGCGTTTTGTAGCCCAATAGAGCGCTTTCCAGGATGCAGTGTCCCTTTACTTTATATTTATGTCCATATTATTATTTTGTAATTGGTTAACATGTAAATTTCTTAGTCTAGTGTTTTGGGTTTAATTTTGATCAAATGGGGCTACCACTAACACGTAAGTCTTCCCAAAAGGCAGGAGAAAATATTTGGTTCGTTTGTTTAGCAATGCGATCCTTTCACAGCGGTACTCGGACAACAAATGTGGTATCACATGCAGCATTTGTGTACCGCCTAACCAAATAATTTCACCCATATTCACAAAAACCTATAGGTCTCTCTCAAAGATGGCCATCTCTGTAGGAGAAGCGCTTGTTGCTCGAAATGTGTTCGAAATGCGACGCTGCCGATGCGCGTTATGCAAGTTGACGCCCAAAATGCTGATGCACGTGGCTGGTCTGTAGGAAATGATGTCATTTGAGAGCGACCTACATGTACCCCCGGTATACTGGTACATTGTACATTGTAAACGTACTTGTGAGAGTTAGCCCCATTCGGTAACACTATAGCTTTTTTAAGAGGCACGCTTTTTTAGAATCTACATGTACTTCCTATTCTTACACAGAATCCTTTGCCAGATGTACACACACATTGTATCTGAAAATTTAATATGTACACGACATGATGCTGTTTCCCACTAATGCACATCTTGCACAAGTTCTTGGACAATTATTGATAATAAGGTGTGTTTAACCTGAATTGTCATATACAGGGTGCCCCCCCCCAAAAAAAATGGAACAGCATACTTCCACTACCTTGAGACTCAAACTACCTGTACCAATGGATGGAGAATCCTTTTAGAAGAATTATGATACCAAGATCTCCCGATTCAGTCCAGTAGTTTTTTGCTGCAGAGCTATTTTGTGAAGCACACATCTTTCATGTGGGTATTATTATGTAACAATTAACCCCTCTATCCATTTGAGGAAATCATCGAGACAATGACTCCCAAGTTTTTTTTACCAAAATAGGCTCTAGAACAAAAATACTGGACCGAATCGGATGATCTTAGTATCATTTCTCTTTTAACAGAATTCCCCATGCATTGGTATAGGCTGTTTGAATTTCAGGGTAGCGTTTCGTTTTTGGGGGAGCCACCCTGTATAGATAAATCTGGGCACATGATTAGGCCCCCTTCAATGGAGAAACCATTGTGCATGCTATTGTACAAAGCAACTGCCCTGTGATGGATTATCTGAACAATAGCTAGCACAATGCTTTCGCCATTGAAGGGGGCCTTCGTGATAGCGCGGGCAGATTGTTCAGTAGATCTAAGATTTAATTACATGACGTTGTGTTTATAGTGTCCATCGTATCTTAGAATGTAAACCAGTTGTGTTGGATTGCTGGATGCTGAAATTATACAATGTAGCTCTTCCTCCGGTGATGACGCGAATAGAATATTTAAGTTTGAAATGTACCAAATGTCACTCAGAGTTGAATGGGAACAACCTGTGTACATGTGTGTTGTACTCAAATCAGTATTTTTGTAAATAAGACTGTTAACCGCAGTGTGCCTTTTGATAAAAAAAAATGGAATCATATATACATGGAATAGTATTTTTATTATAGCCTAAGTAACAAATGGTACATGTAGTTGGTAAGCTTGGGGTTTGTGATGAAAATTGTTGCTTTTTATTATTAGGTGGATTTGTGTCTTTATACCGGTATATGTACATGTACGTGCATGCAAAAGAGACTATGTTAAAAAAAAAACACATTAATGCGGAACAAAAACAAGTTTAGCCCAACCTGGCAATTTGTTTCATGGCGGGGGAAAAAAATAGAAATGACTTTTTTGATCAGATAGTGAATGCTAGGGTTGGGCCAACATGTAGTTGTACATGTACCGGTATGTTTATGTATTTTTTTGTTTTGTTTAAGTATTTAATTATATGTTTGGTTTTCACTTAGTTTCAATTGATATGCTTGCATTGCACTGCCTGGATGTCTGTTCTTGTTCATTACATGTCTTCTGTGCATCCACAAACCGGTCAGCAAGGTTGTCTACTTGTTTGTTGCTCGCCTCCCTAACCCATCGTGGTTGGTCAAATGTACTTGTTGCACAAGCCCACTACTTAGCTGCAGCAAACTGCATACAAGTATGCTAAATTCGGTGACAGATGGCCTGTTCCATTCCATGAGGCTTCGCCTCAAGGAATGGAACATTCATGAAAGTATTCTTACCACTGCACTCACACAAACATTCATTTTTTGTATATTGCACAACGCCTGAATACATCTTGTAAATCGCCGTCATCTGACTGGTGGGTTGCTGATCACATGTCATTGAATTATTGTCCGAACCCACGGCCCGGCCGCACCGCAAAATGAGAAGTTCTATTCCATGGTAAATAGAAGTTCCATTGCACAGTCACATGATTGGTGGCTCTGACCAATCAGATGCCGAGAATTTATTCAAGTGTTGTACAAAACAAATATTCACATTCACACAATGGAAAGAATTTTATTCGGTGACAGATGGAATATTCCATTCCATGATTCCACTCGGTTTCGCCTCATGGAATGGAACATTCCATCTGTCACCTTATGAAATTATTCTTACCATTGCACTCACAAACATTCATTATTTGTATACTATTCCACCTCTCATCCCATGTACTTTCATGTGGTTTGACTATTTTTATCATAAAGAGTTCTTTGCATTGTATAGACCAATCTTAGGTTGCTCACTTTCTTTTTAATACTGGGTTGGCTTTCCTCCATTACTGGAACGCTCCAAAGCTCGCTACAGTATTTCACACAATTCACTCTTCTTTAGCGATGTTCAGAGCTGCTGTGCATACAAAACGCACATGTGATGGGCATTCAGGTGTGGAAGGAATGACAGATGGAATATTCCATTCCATGATTCCACTCGGTTTCGCCTCATGGAATGGAACATTCCATCTGTCACCTTATGAAATTATTCTTACCATTGCACTCAAAAACATTCATTATTTGTATACTATTCCACCTCTCTTCCCTTGTACTTGCATGTGGTTTGACTATTTTTTATCCTAGAGAGTTCTTTGCATTGTATAGACCAATCTTAGGTTGCTCACTTTTTCTTCAATACTGGGTTGGCTTTCCTCCATTACTGGAACGCTCCAAAGTTCGCTACAGTATTTCACACTATTCACTCTTCTTTAGCGATGTTCAGAGCTACTGTGCATACAAAACGCACATGTAATGGGCATTCAGGTGTGGAAGCATCCCAGTAAAGGCTTGGATTGGTATATACTCGTATGTACATTGCACTCTTTATGTAATAAGAGAACTTACATGCAAATGTATTAAAGGGATTCATTGGCATTGTTAAAATCAATTTTGATCTCGGCATTTAAAAACTCTCTCTCCTTCCCTCAGTTGCCTTGGCAAGTACACATTGATGTATTTGCATTTTAACTGCTTCAAAATACCTCAGAAAAAAAAACTTAACTTGCACAGTTTGTGTGTACCCAAGTTAAAACAAAGCATTGTACACGATCAAATTTAGAAATGCATTATTACTTTAGAATTTTTGTGCAGTGCATAAAACATAAACTGTTTTTTTATACTGAATATGACAATGGGTGTTACACTTAACAAGCGCTGTTACAAAAGAATCACAAAAATGTAGTTTTTTTAGTCCATAATGGAATCACTATGTAGAATTTAGCTAATTCAGTGCATTCCGCTGAACCGAGTTATTGTACATGTAATCTGAAAGATGCTTTAGATATTGTAGATTTGAAATAAAGAGCTTATTTTAATGATAATAAAACTGCTTTTAAAGCCAAAAAAAATCCTTGATTTATTGTTTGTTTTTCTGTCATTGAAGTTGAACAAGTCAATTTGGTGAAGTAATTAATTTCGAACAATAATGGCTCCATACCCTTTTCGTCTTCCCTCTCCATTTTTTTGTCTTTTTCAACAAATTGTCTATTTTATATCTGCACGGTAAAGCTTTTATCAAGAGTATGCAAAAGCTATAAAAACTTCTCTCATTTACATGCAGTCATAATTATACAGTGTGAGTAAAAATAAAAACTGCAATAATGCAAAGGAGAGATTTTTTTTTTCAATACCAAGTTGAAGTTTTGAACTTTTGAAACCGTGTAAGAATGACAAAGTGAAGTTAATCACATTTACCACTTGATTGTTTGTGAACCTTTTTACTGCGGTACCCGATTCACGTTTTTGTCCACGTGGCATCTAAAAATTGCATAAGAACACAGAACGTGTCCCCAGTGATGTGCTTTCCATGAGGTCTAGAACTGAGACATGCATTGCCTTGCAGGGTTGCCAAGTAGAGGGCAGAGCTGCAATTGTGTGAACAATGAAGGACACAGTAACTACAGTATAGCCCAGAGAAACGTTGCATAAACATTAAGAAGTGAAACAGAAAAATAGAGCATGAGCTAAGGTTCAGTCAGTTTTAAATCTGTGTTGTCTATGATGTCTTTTTTGTACCGTTTTTGCTCTTATGCAAAATTCTGATGCCTCGTGGACAAAAGCGTAAATTGGGTACTGCAGCAAAAAGGTTCACAAAAGACAAACTTCATTTTTTCCACACAAGGTTTATGTACTAACGAATTTGTCATTATTATGTTTTCCCCTTCACAGACGTATAAACACTGTATACTCGGTGTGTTACCTCCCGAGTGAAAGTTGGAAAAAAATCACTCGGGTGGGACTATTTTCCCAACTTTCACTCCGGAGGTAACACACCGAGCATACAGTGTTTATACATCGGTGAAGGGTAAAAACATAATATTGACATCAATATTGAATAGTTAATTGCGGCACCTGCTGCTACATGTACAGATTTGAATATGTCATTCTTACAAGGTGTAAAAAGTTCAAAACTTCAACTTAGTTTTGAAAAAAGATGGCTCCTTTGCATTAGGCCCAAAAAAATAATACTCGGTCTCTGGTCAGCGCGCGTCGATTTTAATCATGCGCGTCAACTTTTTTTTCTTCAAATTAACACGGAAGCTACAACAGCGCCCTCTATTGCCGCGCCTCCTCAAATTTTTGTACCAAGGAGCACCAAGGAATGGGAAAATTGCACCAAGGCAAATGATAAAGGGCACCAAGGCAAACTATGGAGGACACCAATGTATAATGAGGACACAAAAAAGCAAAATAGTACCCACCTTGTCTGTACAATACAAGCTTGAAAAAAAAAAAAAAGCCACAAAAAAAAAAAAAACCTGCGTCGCCGCATCAATCCTGGAACTTCGGTCTGACCAGAGACCGACTATTTTTTTGTGTGTGGCCTAAATGCAGTTGTTTCGACTCGCCCTGTACATTAGCATGTGCCGAGAGCTCATCCTTTCCAGACCAACTGCATGACAAACATTCCCCAAGCAATCTCGATTTTTGAAATAAAAGGCCAAGTATTACACTCTTGTCAGAGTGTGGACATAACAAATACTTGATGTACCAGTAGTGCTGTCACATGGTTTGTGTATTAGTCTTGGTATCCCCAAGAAGCATACCCAAATTCTTGTAAGAAGGGTCAAGGTAACAGATTTCTCAGGCTGATAACAGAATAGTTTTGCACCATTCTGTGCATCTATTAACTTGCATTACAGTTACCGGTACATGATCTACATGTAGTTTCTTGATTTGTGTCTGCATAACACATGTACAATGTTCCTGAAATTTCACAACAAAACAGCAGGACGTTTCTGTTCAAAATTCCAGATGGCTTTTACACCGGTTTTCAGAATTTAAGAATAGCATGTAAAAGTGTAGTTTTATCTGTTAAAATTCATATTAGCAGCTAAGCAAAGTTCCCCAGTGCTACGGATATCTTCTTATACATGTGAGTGCAGTAGGGATAGCGTGCGCATCTTAGAAAAGCGCGATATGGATCGTGATTTACGGGATACTACCGCACTGTTGGTAGATTGACCAATCAGGATCGAGATTCAAGTTTGCTTAAAGATAAACATATGTACATACATGTTGTCGGGTGGACCACAATGTAATAACAAAAAAATAGTTTCCAAGCACCACAAAATGATGCATACATGTATGTCATCAAATTTGTGCACATTATATGCGACCTTGTGCTGCAGCAACTATCCTTGTTATACCTCTGTCTTAAATCAGGGGTGTGAGTGACCACTGATAAAAATAGCTGAAAGCAGCTGAAAAAAGGTGTAAAACAGCTGAACTTTGGAAATCTCCTATACTTTTGTACACAGCAAGTGAGGGAAAAAGCTGAAAAAAGCTGAAATCCAAAAAAAAAAAGAAGCTGAAATCAGCTTTAAAGCTGAGATTTCACACCCCTGTTAAATACTGTATTTTCATTGGCATAGAACGATCAAGTGTTAAGTTTATAAAAAGTCATAGCACACTCCCTGTGGGATATCACGTACGTGATATCCCTTTGTGCTATGACTTTGTACGTACGGTGTAAAACGCTTGTATCATTGGTACCCACACTATTTTCACCATGTTTTCACACATGAGTGGGAGCAGCGAACTAGCAGACGATCAGCTGTTTCGAGCACGCGACATGCATGTGAGTTGACGTTCGATTGTCATGATTGTTGTGTTTACTGCTGTGTGTTTTCGTGATTTTTACATCAAAATTGAAAGAATCCAAGACAGAGGTATAACAAATTCGCCTCGGGCGCTTTGCGCACCTCCGGTGTTCAAAACGTCATATCTCACATCGCAGCAGTCAACAACTGTTAAATATTACGTCACTAATGATGACGTATGTTGTATATACAGAGCCTTTTCATTTGTACACTGCAACAAAGGGCAAGTTCGCACAGGAACTACTGTTGACTATTGGTTAACCATAGTTTGACTAAAGTTAGCCAGAACTCTGTCTAGTCGACTGTGGTTGACTACGCTAGTCGACTATTTGGAACCAATCTACTGGGGCTGGTTGCATCGCTGGTAACCAATAGCCATGCGCATTCATAAGGTACAGCAGAGAGCCAGGATCCAGATGTTTTGCGATTACATTGTAACCAGCGTTTGACTAGAGACGTTCGCACGTTGCTATTAGTGCGCAGGCGTAAGGTACGTCACAAATCAACCACTAGTCGACCAATGGTTCTTGCCCGAACTCGGCCAAGTTTGCAACCTTATATTTCTGTTGGTTTTGTCACGGTGCAAGAGCGCCCTCTGCCTGACTGTAGTACTTATTGAAGTCCAGTCGTAGTAAGAGCTGGCTGAGGTAAGGGCTGGCCTGGTGGTGACTGCGTACGCTGGATAGGATCTTGAACAGGAGAGAAGACTGCCGATTGAAACCCTGCCACAGAAAGGAGTAGGATCATTTGCATTTATTGAAAAAAATAACCCACCGAATTATCAAAAAGCTTACTTAATTGAAAGATCTGACTGATACTAAACACCCCCTGAAATTACTCCATCTTGCTCGCTGTCATTTAGAAGAAATCAAGAAATAAAGATGATTTCCATAGAGCTATATTAAATTACTAGAGCGCTAACTCTTCATTCTTGTGCGCGAAGATGCTTAGAAGCCGCCCTGGGCGCAGACATTTTGAATTTATGTGCGTGTTTGCAGAACACAATCAAAATACAAATGTAGATGGATTGAATTCTGAAAGTGTACTCTAAATGCAACGCGCAAGTAGAAGATACGCAAACAACTTAAGCGTGTCATGACAGTTCAAAAAACGTCACGGCGTAAAGCATCTGCAGCGGAGGGACGCGCGCACTTGCGCTGTTTGCATAGAGCAAAATGACATGCTCATTTGCTGATCGTGCGTTTTGGTTTTGGGCGTATCGGCTTTGATGACGCACCGGTATGAAATACAAATGCAGATATGCAAATAGACATACAAAATAAATACAAATTTCTAGTTCTCCATAGGTTTGTGCACAAACAAGGATGCGCCCATCAGGCATCACTTTGTACATGAGTTAGCATTCTAGTAATTTAATATAGCTCTATGGTTATTTCCAACAATCGGTCAACTGAGTTGAACAAAAATGGATGTGCTAAAAACTATTGTACCGTACCAACATTCTAGGTAAATGAAGGAACGAAACATGATACATGTAAAAGTTCCAACATGACTGCTTGATCCCTTCATCCAATGCAGTTTTTGTGTCTACTTTCACCCTAGGATTTCATCCAAAAATACCTGGAGGCTAATTTTGATGCAACAGTCAAGTTCAGAATAACAGCATGCATGGCATATGGAATACTTTTACAAGGTGTTGGTATTTTGGTGTAGCCTAGCCACTTATGCAACAGGATCACACTATCTGTAGCACAGCTGACAAGTCGCTAGAGCTAACAGACCTACCGGTAACTAACCCATGATGTCCTTCTTTCTTTTGACTAATTTACCTGTGACAACTTGTCCATATGAGCCACCTCTCTGTCTGTCATGCTGGCTGCGTGTGTGATCAGCAAGACGGCAAATGAGTGACAAAGCTCCATGATTTCATTCAGGCAATGGCTCACCTAAAATGAAAGTGGAAAATCACAGCAGAGGGATAATAATGTAATAATGTGTTGCTTTATACATTGTACAGTATGTCCCCCAAAAATGGCCGCCTGACTATTTTTGCAGATACTCCTAAGCCTTGGCCATCAACCTCTGTGCGTTTCATTCCTTGCCTTATTCAATTTCAGTACCGTGTTAAGTAAGCTGTGTAAAATCCTTCATGTTGTGAAAAAGGCTGCAGTTGGGATTGGAATCATTTGCCTGGCTATCAGTCATCATGGCAAGACCTCAGTTTAAAGCTCAAAGGCAAATGATTCCTACCCCAAACCACATCAGCCTTTTTTAACACGCATGATTTACACAGCTTACATAACATAGCACTGAAGTTGATTAAGGCATGGAACTTGGTCACAGTGTCCACAAATGTTGTTGTGATCAATTGACAATTGTGCAGTGATGCATGACTGAAATTAAATGAAACTCATAGGGGTGGAGGCCAAGGCTTGGGAGTATCTACACACCCAAACATTTTCAAAATTGACCTCATGGTTTTGTAGTTATTTTAAAAAAAGGTCAGACGGACACTCCTGGGTGGAGAGAGGCAATTCTAGTAAAGTGTCTTGCCCAAGAACACAAGCACCATGTTCCTTGTCAGGATACATACCCAGTTACCATCGCACATGAGTCAGACCCATAACTATTGGACCAAGGCACTCCACACATAAATCCATGGATTGAAGTGTAGATTCTGACATTTCCCTAGGACCAGGAACCTTGTTCATGTAACGTTCAGCTACCCTGTCATCAGCAACTTACCGGTTTCATGAGCAGAAAGCACTGGCCAAGTAGTGATGTCAGGAACTGGTCGTGTGCCAGCCGTACAGCCTCAAAGTCTCTGGTACTGTTGATCCTATCAATCAGCTGATGGAACTGGGTCTCTAGAACATCCACCTGATACAATGGATCAATTAATCTTGAACAATCAAAGTGATACACATATAGGGGGTTTACACTGCACACTTCTTTGAGGGGTGTGCTTGTGTTTCACAGTATACACACGAGAAGACATCTTGTTTGAACACAACATTAATGACAGTGATGTAGTCGAGTCCACCTCATCCGAGTCCACAAAGGCTCGAGTTCGCGCGAAGTCTGAGTCCAGTCACGAAAAGGTTTTTATAGCAGAACACGTGCCTGCATGAGTACACTGAGAATACAGTGACTGTCAAATTGGTCTCTTGCGTTTATTCTAGAGCCTACTGGAGTATTTCAAGTTTTTCCCTTACAGGGAGGGGGCCGGGGGGGGGGAGGGGGGGAGAGGAAGGAATGGGTACATGTAGGAGGGACATATTTTAACCGATGTATATTTATTATAAAAGTATGTATTTTTAATAACAGTCAGACAGTTCTTTTAAACCGATGACAATGTCAAAGAAAGGCTTTCTTGGGAATCTTTCTTACATTCTACGGCCAGCATTAAAAGAACCCACAGAATTCAGGGAGAGCCTATTTTGAAAGCAAGGATTGTTGAAGACAAGTCCACTGGTGTACTTACAAAGCAAACACACAAAAAGTCAGCGTGGAAGATACAGTATCGGTATGTTTAATACAATTACAGCCTTTGAATAAACATAGTAAGCTTCTTTTTGTTTTTACATAAACAACAGTCAGTTCTATTTATATATACAGTGTACTTTACAGAATGCTGAAAACAATTTCCATTTGACATCTGTTGACTTGTGGAAATCAAAAATGTGGTGGTAGACAGAGTTTTATTATTTTTTTTAAAATAAAGTAAACCATGGTTCCCAAACAAAACTGAAGTGCTGTGGATAAAAATTTGTCTAAAAGCTTTAGAAACGACAGATTGATAAATTACTTTGGAACTTTTGGAAGTAATAGAAACTCTTGGAAGAGAGGATTGCATTTTTTTCTGTCCTTTTCCTTTTTTACTGGGGGGGGGGAGGGATTTTGCTTGTGGATCTTATGATCTGATCCTATCAGCAGGATCTGCTCTTGGTAATGTCTGCAGAGGGATATTGATCGTTGGTACATGTACTTGCTGCCTCTTTCCGCAGCAGAAGGCTTGCTTAAAGGCCTTCCTGTACCTTCCACTACCAGCATTGAATATGACTGAATTAATGGAAGAGTTGATGACTCTGAGGCAAGCAGTCATCAGAAGCAATGCCCTTTTAACATCTGCAGATAAATTCACTTCATCCAAGCTTTGCGATAAAATGAGCAATAAGGCAGTTACAACTTGGGGTAGAAAACAGACAAATACCACGGCTGTGTTGATGCCAAGTATCAGAGTCACTCTTCCTAGATGTTTTGACGGACCTTGGATCTGATCACCAGTTGGATTTGGTGCATGCAGTCCCTTAATAAGGAGGATATTGAAAGTGCAAGTGAGGATCAAACTCAACATGTACGTACAGAGTACCATGTAACGAATCACCTGAAAGCAAGTCACAACTGTTTCATCATTATTAGATAACATCTGCACATTACCTGATAGATGTTTATACTTTTCTTCCTTTGGCCAAACAAGACATTTGATTGCTGGTGCATTTAGGCTCTGAAACTTAGTCCACAAAAAAAGAACATTTACAGACAAGGACAGCAGCCATATGCAAACTGCTGCTCGTATTGCCCGTCGCTTCAGATTGAGATTACGGTATTTGAGAGGATGACAAATGGCAAAATATCTATCATAGGATAGCACAATAACAAATGCTAGAGATGAAAAGCCACCGACATTGGCGAAGTAGATTAAAACACTAACAACTGCTTGGATTGATCCACCAAAATATGGGATATCTAATCTGTTTTGTGTAGTCAAGACCGCACATTGATGATATGTGGCACCTGAAATCAAAACTATCAGATCTGCAACACCCAAATTAGTCAGGTAGAAATTAGTGACATTACGCATGGAGGGAACTCTGAGAAGGGTGAAGAAAAAAGACAGAATGGATAGGATGCCTAGTAGTTTGAGGACAGGCAGGGCAAAACCATACAATACAGTCTCTGTGTTGGAATACACATACTTGTCAGCCTCTGCCGGGTTGTCTAAGCCAAGGAGTTCTAACAAGTGGTTGAACAGTTTGTACGTCTCGTTGCTTTGTGCATTGTAGGACTCGTTCATCGGTGCCCCAGGGGCTGGTCCCCTGGCATCCCAGATCAGTAGATGGTCATACTGGGGTAGGGAATAGGCCACGGAGCAGTTGTCGCTGTTGTTCTGGAAGACACAGGTGAAGAAGGTACAGACCAGAATGTCCAGCTGAGCAAGGGACATTGTAGCTTGGGCATAGACGGTGACATTTGCGTTGTACGACCACATGATTGACACAGAGTCTTCTTGCTGGTGTATATTTCATGCAGTGTCTATAACAGTAGATGTGATTGTTCAGTGTCTTGTACAGAGCCGTGGGGTGGAGAAACACAGCAGAAGTTTGCTCACAGAATGGTGAACTGAAGAAAAGCGTGATTCACAGATGACGACAAAATCAAGCAAGACAAGTTTTACCGGTGAGGATATAACTGCAGCTTTGTTCACATGAAGTTGCAAAAATAGCAAACTAAAAGTTTGCCTCTCAAATAGTACACAGGACACAAAGATTTGAACAAGTACATGAAGGACAATCTGAAATACCCGGTAGCAGTTGCTGTTCCACTTGGGTACAGTTTCCAACCAACAGCCTTTTGTAGCCAGTGTTTTATGTATTTCACCACTGCCAAGTTTTGAGTCTGTACAAGAACTATCTGTCCTGAGTGTCCTCTTACGTCAAGTTACAGCCAATGTGACACCAAATTGTCATCCGTTCGTGTTTTTGAAGTAGGCAACAGCAAGGGCTGTCTGTCCATAGTATGTGCAGCCAATTTTCCACAGAGAACTGATGGCCCTGTTAACTGGATGGCTTGGGATGAGAAATGATGTCAAGTTGGCATTTGCGTTACAGGCTCAAGGTGCAGTGAACTCCATGCATTAACAACGACATGATATGGTTGCTAAGAAAATGCAAAATGATCTTCAAGAGGAAGTGTTGTACTTATAAATACTTTCGTTAGTGGATCACATCGAAACTGACTCGCTTAATTGTGGCCACTTTCACCCTGCAAAAATGACCTTGAAGATAGAGTGCGCTAGTTAAAAACTGCAAATGACCAAATGGCACATCAAAACTGACAAAGTACATGTAACTCTCAGTCTCAGCATCACTCACATGATGATGGGTGGTTTCCCTTTTGGTTTTCAAGCTCGCAGCTTCCTTGTTTCGTTTTCTTACAGTTAATTTTCTAAATTTATCTTCCAAAACCGATAGCACATGACATATTCACAAATATAAGTCTTTATATAAAAAATATTGAATGTACACAAATAGCAATGCCTGCTGAAACTCTGGTAAAGGCTGCAAACTCTCAGCAAACTCGGCAGCAAACAATCAGTTCCTACCCCAAAGTAAGTTATGACAAATTTGGTGCTTTGCATTTAAACTTGAGCTTTTTGGAGGGAGGGCATAAGGAGTTTTAAAAAAACAAAAATCAACTTCATTTCTCACTACATTTGGGATTTTTGTTTGCAACTAAACAGGCCTGAGATAAAACTTAAATCAAACCATGCCATGCTTTCATTGGTTCAAATAGTGAACACATAAGAATATTAACAAGTTATTAAAACTAAAAAGACTATTAAAGATTTACAGTGCTTGCAGTTATTTCATTCATAGGTTTAACTCCACACACCAGGGGCCTTGTACTTGGCAATAGATTTGAAGAAGGGTCTTCAAAAACATTTCTATGACATTTGCAACAGTAAACATATTGTTACTGAAATGAAACAATCTTTCTCAGTGTGTCAGTTAAATGAACACTAGCATCAGCTAAACAAACCAGTTCAGTATCTCGATGAAGTAGTCAAGGTCAGAGGTTATTTGAGATAAAGTGGAGGTGTCTTGTAATCACGATGTTATGCGCATGCCTATTCTGCTGTTAATTAACGGGTGAACGTTGTGCAACCGTCTCCTTTCATGCTCATGCGCAGTTGAAGTACCAAACTGGCTTACTGGAACTGAGGCTTATGAATATATCAAGGTACATGTACATTGAATTTACCATTCATAAATACCTAAGACAGTTTACGCATTCCTATTGGTCGAGAGCCTGTCACATGGCCGGTCTTAAACGGATGACAAAGACATGGCTAGCTGGTCTTAAACACTTTTCCAGTGTCACAATAAAATGTGGACTCCTAAAAATCCAGTGCCTCTTATCGTTTCATTGGTTGAAGGTTCACAATCCTCACGTAGGCATGCGCAACACTACCAGGGAGTCAGAATTGTATAGTTCTAAATTGAAAACGCAACGCGCCAGGTGCGTTCTGCGCGACATCGCGCAGAATATGATGCCCGCGCGTCAATCTCCATAAAAGGGTTGTTTACATCTTACTCGCCAGCTGAACACTCCATTATTTTGCAAGAGGGATGTTTCAAAAAGCATAAAGTGAATTTGTTGAACAAAATCGGGATGTTTTGAACGAATTATATGATTTTTTTTTACCGAAAAGGTATTAATGAATGGGAATAAATATGTGCTCCGTCGGTATTTATCACTCTGTTTAAGACCACTTAGAGTCTGGGTGCTGATAATTACCCTCGCCTCTGGCTCGGGTAGTTATCAGCACCCAGACTCTAAGTGGTCTTAAACAGAGTGATAAAAACCTCCTGAGCACACATTTATTTCCTTATTAACATACTACAGGTAATGAATATATGTGAGGCTTTCTGACAAAAGGAGACAGCACTGGGCAGAAGTCACAATGAGGGTTTCCGGGTAATAGGAAAGAAAATAAAATTTGCCTTACAACAATGCATGTTTGTCGCATTCCAATCGTATTCCAATTCTGTTGATGGGTTATGGCTGTTTAAAGTTCACATTTCGATGACATGTCAAAAAAGTAAAATGCTGAGAAAAATGCCTTTTACGTGTCCATGATGCCAATTATTTGTCCTTAAAAGCACTTTTATTCCCCGATTTTATCGTTTTAAAAGATATTTTCTCAGGTAAGAGTTTAAAGTAATCAGACAACAGACGCAGGACAGATTTAAAAACAATTAAAACAATTTTTTTTCTTCTCAAGTTTAAACACGGTCTTTTAAAATGGACTCGATTCGAGTCCGACAGGTAGTCCGAGTCAGCCACTAGCTGAGTCTTAGCGAACCAATTCCAAAAAGCCACGAGTCCAAGTCGAGTCACGAGTAAAAAAAAATGGACTTGAGTCCTCCATCACTGATTAATGACAGTGTACATCTCTGTTATTGCAAGAAGTGACAATGTTTTTGATTTCTGGACACAAATACATGCTAACGAATTGGGTTGTAAATTGTCAATGGTTGAAGAGTATTGTCTTAGAAACAGGTACCACATTATGAACAATTTGAGAAACAGTAATGCCACTAAAACCAACAGTTAGTTTCAAAATGGATTGAAAATATGCACCTGACCTGCAAGTAGTACTGCAAGTTGTCCACCAGGAATGCCATGTGGGATCGCAGACGCCACTTGCTGGCATCCGATTGGTCCACAGGGGCGTGCTTTCGTTGCATCTGGAGGGCCCAGCATTGCTGGAGTTCCAACTGGACGCGCTTGATGCTCAGTAGGAAACAGAACAAGGTGTTGTACCTAATGGGGGTAGATACATGTACATTGGGGAGTCAGGTTGGCGTAGCGGTACTTTCCTCGCTTTCCACCGCTGTGACCCGGGCTCGAATCCCACCCGGGCCAACATGTGGATTGGGTTTTCAGTCCCTACCTGATTCCGTGGGTTTTCCTCAGAATATTTCTCTGGGCTTTTCCTCCCACCTCTAAAACTGTAATTTCTTCTCATTGCCTTCTCTCTGCAGGTTTCTTCAGGCTTTCGAGCTACAGTGTCTAGGGCACTTATGAGGAATCCTTGGTTTCATTACCAGAAAGAAATAAAATAAAAAATAATAATAACCTATTATTTAAAGTTGGGACCACTTATGCACATTTGGAAATGAAGGTATTGAAAACAAAATAAAAGTTTACACATATTTAGATTTATGATAATAATAATTTGGGAGGCTTATCATCCTGATTCGCAGCTGAGAAGCTAAACTGCGAAGGACACGGCTACTACGTGGTCAAGCCGCAGGCATGTAAAGGTGGCTTTGGCAGCCAGTCATACGACCCATATATGACCACGGAACACAGCCAGAGATCGTAAGTGTTTGACTTTTTTTATGCAAACTATTGATTCTGTGCCATTGCCACTGTATGCCCAGACTCATCAGGCACATCTCTATAATGCAAAGATGCTAAGGTTTTGTGTGTACTCGTTTGAAAAGTAGTTGCACATTGTACTCGGTATTTTACATAAAGTTTCTGCACAGAGAGCATTCTGTCTTGGGAGTGATTCTCTAGGAATAGTGCAAAACAGAATATGTAACAAAAAAGGAACAAAAACGTCAGGCGTTCTGGCAAAATGAGACAGAACTGGTCAGATCAGTGTTTGCGGGTAATAGGAAAGAGAATATAATTGTCCCTACAATACTGTATGGTGCACTTCAATCTGACATTCCGTTGACAAGTTATGGGTGTTTAAAGTTCGCACTGATCAATATGTCAACAAAGTAAAATACTGAGAGAAAGGCCTTTGAACATGTTGAAGTTTCAAGTTTTGTAGTCGTGACAATGACAGATGCCAACTGTTTTCTTAAACGCCTTTATTTCACGATTTTAATACTTTTCTTTAAATATACGTGTAGAAGGACATATATCAAAGATTACACACATCAATAAATTGAAAAATCAAAAAAAAAAATCACCTCCATTCCATTTTTTTTTTTCATTTTCTCCACTGCGGCCTGTGCCCCGAGTTCCATGATTTAAGGACAGCCAGGAATTTGGACCTAGGTCTTTGCTCCTGCAAAGCCACTGATATAGTGCATAACACTCATGTTGTGGTAAAAAATGAGTTTAACAATAACAGTAATATTAATGCAGGTTTTGATAGAGTTTCTCACATACTTCTCCAGAGCTGCTGAATTGAAGAGTGTATGCAGCGGCCACTGTACATTGTATGTCATGCCCAGGCAGTTCCAACCAATATCCCCACTACCTTTAGACTGAGGGGCTGCTTCTACTTCTGTACAGTATCAATATGGGGAAATCAAATGAAAATTTGACAAACGATGTAAATAAAATAAGAATCATTTAATAACTCGTAACAAATAAATGGACACACCAAATTGTCAGAAGTCCTGAGAAACGTTTACGATACAAAAGTTGACTGAACGATTCTTTTTAGCTCAAATACGGTATAAAATGGTCAGACAATGTGGTTTGCCCAACAACACAAAATATGACCAGCAGCTGGATTTGAACCCTTGACCCACCGATTATGAGTCATGAACCCTAACCACTAGGCCACTAGGTACTTCTACACAATGGGAATAATGAAACTGTGTCAAACTTGCAATGACAATACACATGGAGAAGTTACCAGAACTTTTAATTTGTCTACCATTTGTCCATGATCAACTCACTTTTGCCAGCTCCCTTCGCTGGAGTCTTACACGTCACGGTCAGTCGTACTTGGCCTAATGATGTGTCATCCTCAAGGAGAACTTTGTGAGCAGCTTGGCGAAATGCCAAGTTGACATCTGACAACAGAGGGGGGAAAAGGTAAATTATCATATCACAAAACTATGGACTTTTATGCACTGTTGATTTTTCAAAACTGAAAAAAATCAATGCTGTCTTACTGTATCACAAAGCACAATTTTGAGTTGACACGTATGCTAAGATTGAACTCACAGAACAACATTTGTTCAGACAAGCATGGTACGTAGATGGTAGGTAAATGTCCAACGTCTGACATGTCTGACAGTAATGTCACGCTCCGTACAAAATATTAAGGGAAAAAAATGACTCCCCCAACAAAACAAAAGGCTGACTTATTTCCTGTTATTATCAGCAAATAAGCTTGGTAGTCAACTTTGAAATAAACACTGGATCTTAGCTACGATCAAAGAGAAATATTGGGTTTGAATGAGTAACCTTTCAATGATCAAAGTAATTGAAGAAAATAATCTAAAGACAACATACTTGCCAATAGTGTTTGTACGTACCGTGTTCGGTTGTGGATGTGGGTGGAGTCTTTAGCAAGTTCTGGGCGTGGTCAATGAAGGCTAAGAATAACTCCCCTCTCCCTAGCAGAAAGAAATCCTTGAGAGTGTGCAGCTGGCCTACGAGGTCTGACTCTTCAACCACTAGTCTCCATAGGTGCTGTAAATGAGAATCCAAGAACCAAGAATCTCCAGTAAGTTTAAGAACATTTAGTAATTTTAAACCAGGGGTAAGATTGGTGGAGAAAAGAGAAAATAAAATGATGAAATATCCAACAGAGGGTTAATTGGCCAATTGTGCAAAATTTGTGAGGCGTTCTGGCAGAATGAGACAGAACTGGGCAGAGGTCGAAATCAGGGTTTGCGCGCCTTTACGTTTGCGGGTATTGGAAAAGAGAATAACATGCTCCTTACGATACTGTTTGTTGCACCTCAATCGGACATTCCATTGACAAGTTAGGGCTGTTTAAAGTTGGCATTTATCAACATGCCAAAAAAGTAAAAATACTGAGAAAAAGGCCTTTAAAGTTTTGCATTTTGTAGTAGTGAAAATGAAAGATGCCAATTTTTTTCCCCTTATAAATGCTTTTATTCCACAATTTTAAAACTATTTCTTTAAAATGTGTAGTAGACATATCAAGGATTACACATAAATAAATCTGAAAATTGAAGGAAAAAATCACTCCCAGTCGATTTTTTTGCATCTTTCTCCACTGTTGCCTGTGCCCAGTTCCACCACTTTTTCCAGAATGCCTCACATGTGCAATTGCCTAAAAAGGCACTCCCCAAAAAGGTCATTGCTATCCTTGATTATAAACCTATGAACAAAAAAATTGGTGATAAATGTTTCTCATTCAGACTCTTTTTTAAAAATCCGGAATACTTCATGCATAATCACGGTTAAAGGTAATATACAACACTTGCTTTTGCTGTAATTTTCAGAAATGAATGGATTTGGGGGCTGGTATTTTATAGCAAATTTTGTGACACTGGCTTGCACCCGTTCACAGATGTGTAACCAATTGCAAACAAAATGTGGACTAACTAAATTTGGTAAATTGGGGGCAGTATTTGAAAAAAAGTCTGTTTGTCCAACAATGGTCAGCCGACCATCGCTGGAAATTGACACAAAAATTCCACTTTTCTTGAAAATGATGGCACACCAGGTGCCATGATTTCACATGATGCTTGAGACTATTATTCACTTACAGTAATGTAAGATATTTCGAAATAATTTGGTTTTGTTTTTTGATGTTTGCAAATGGTTTTTATAAAATACCTTTAAGATTTATATTAGGTAAAAGTGTGACTTAGTATGCGCCCATATGGACTTTAAGGATGAAAAAAATTCACAGCCAATATAGGGCACTTTTCACGATATGAATGACAGACATATCATCGACTCTTGTCTCGGGCATACAACTGGGAAGTCACAAACAAGAAACGAAAAGCAAGCTTTACAAGACTTTTTGTTATTTCATACAATACTGTTCATGAGACTAGTGAGCACATTTGAAAAGTCTGGGGCTACCTCTGCAACGCAGGAGCGTATCTCATCAATGGCATCTTCACAGTTCTTGATGGAGAAGAGCGGTTCCTGCCTCAGCTGATGGAATCTAGCTGCAAACACGTCTTCCTTGTCTCCCAACACAGAGTCTGGAACCAAGCCATGTATTGTCGTAAAAAAGAAAAGACAACTTTTATCTTTGTGAAATGTATAAGGAGTAATTCTATCAATTTAGGGAATAAAGAGTGACCTTTTTCCTGTCCCTGTTACTACGGAACATTGTCATCTGCCATTCAAGCATCATTAAAAATCAATTGATTTTGTATTTGTTAAGTGCGCAGTTCGCGGAAGACAACAGCATTAAAAAATGCATCAGAATTATAAAAACAGGAACAGGAAAAAAGTGGATCTCAAATTTATAGAATGACACATGCATGTAATTGAGTCAAACAAACAAATTGGGTTCTTTTCTTTTTTTAGCAGGGGGGGGGGGGTTGAACCGCCCTCAGGATTAAGACTAATTATTGGGTCTGGATTAGTGTTGGAACAAAAGGGCTGGGAGTTGCAAAACTTGGCTGGAGGCTAGTGGGATTTTGATTTGGTGGTAGATTGCTAATATCATGTGTTGGACACCATTTGATGGGTGACAACCGTTATCATTGAACTAGCCTGCCTAACAAGTTGGCTCTTTGCTCTGAGTTCCTGGGAGGGTTAGCGTTCAGACACCGTTTTAAATTCCCTTAAAACACCGGTTGAACTCGATTCAGTGTAACTTTCTTGCTAAAACGATGTCTGAACACTCTTTTATTTAGACCGAATCGAGTTCAACTCGAAAATAAAACGGCAACTTAAACGCCCTCGGAGGGAGGGTTTAGCAAATAACCAGAACGAGTTTATCTCCTAGTACGATGTCTGAACGGTTTTAGCTAAAACGCTGCCCGTTTTAGCCAGCGCAGTGACCCAAAGTTACGTAACGCCTTCTCCGTGGCGCGCTTTTGTATTAAGCAAACAATGTCCTAATTCTCCTACCGTTAAAAAAATCCAACTTCAAGTCCAATTTCCGCAAGTTTTCTGACCACATGGTCCCAGTTTCATATCGTGCTCACTCGATCGCACACGTACACACGTATGATGCGATGACAAACATGTAGATGCCAACGCAACAACCGTATATTATCGTGTATTTTCACGTGACTGACATATTGTGCCGGCAAGTTGTCAAAGTTGATGCAGTAAACCTTGAGTGCAGTGAAATCTGTTCAATGACGTGTTTATATCTCAATCAACTTTTTAGAAATTTTTTTATGTCTTTTTGCACCACGAAAGGTACAGAAAATAGCCCCGAAATGTAAACACAAATGGTGTAAGGCCGATACAATACAAATGGTGTAAGGCTGATACGGGAAATCGCCGCGGTGGACAAGTGACTGTCGTCATGTTTACCGCGTGCCACGCTACATGACCGGCCAAGGCTGTGATGTCAAACACGGCATGGCAACACACATCACACGGTGAGGGGCTCAGACCACGTGTAGCGAACTGTAAAAATTGAAGAGTGAAGAGGCTCTTTTTAGCGCGCGGTTTTTGCCGAGGCGGATGTTCTACGTGACCTTAGCAACTGAGATAAACTGCTTCGAGTTGAACTTGATGTCTGGACGCTCGGTAGTTTTATTTTTACGATGGGCCTCCCGTGGCGAGCGACCGTTTTAACTTTTACCGTTTTAGCTAACACGGTGTCTGAACATGGCCCTTGTGTGAGGGTTATTGGGATTGCGTAGTACAACCTGTGTTGACGCTTAATCTGTGTGAGGGTTACTGGAATAACCCAATCTGCGTGAGGATTATTAGAATAACTTAATCTGTGTGAGGGTTTTTTATTGGAATAACTTAATCCGTGTGAGGGTTATTTGAATAACTTCATCTGTGTGGAGGTTATTGGACTCATTTAATCTGCGTGAGGATTATTGGAATAACTTAATCTGTGTGGAGGTTATTGGACTCATTTAATTTGCGTGAGGATTATTGGAATAACTTAATCTGTGTGAGGGCTATTGGAATAATAATCAACGTGGGGTTATTGGAATAATTTAATCCGTGTGAGGGTTATTGCCTGTAAGGATTATATTGTGCAAGTTAAGTCAAGTTATCATAATTAAGTGGTGCAGTTGACCACGTGAGGATTATTGAAAGCCAAGATCGTTATAAGGGGCACAGTTGACCCTTGTTATAATAAGTGAGGGTTATCACAAGTGAGAATTATTAGTTTATAAAATTGATTGATTGTATATAAAGATTATAATTGAAGCGTGGATAGAGAATAATAAGACCAATTACTGATCGTCCTTGGAACACTTGTCACTGTAAGGATTATTTGGGTCACTGTGAAGGTTATTAGGATTAATAAGTGCTCTGTTTACATTCAAGTAATAACAAAATCACAGAACGGTGGAAAATTTCCACCAAGCGAACAGCCCCTAGGCAAAATCTGCCGTTCGTTAATTGTCCCCCCTTGTCTAACCGCTCATCCTTGCACGAGGCTAATGAATATTTTTGTGGGATAATAGGTGTTGGTTAGAGTCCTTCGATAAATAAGACCAGTCCCCTTAGGTTTCTCCCAGCGCCAAGTCCGCCACAATATCTACCCATATGTATGGAGCTATATTCCAAAAATATTAAATTTTTCATTTTAGGGACATTTTTCTGAGTGTATACTTCTTTTTAATACACCCTGTAGACTACTTCTAGTGCAGGAACACAATACCCTCACAGAGCCTGTAGTAATTCAAGAGTATCACGCTAGCTACATTAATTTTCAGAATAATCTTAAACAGGCATAATTAGCTGGTATGACACCTGACTCAACATGATATTTTGCTCAGAAAAGTTCACATAATGCTGATGAATTCAAACAAAGCTCTCCCAAATAGGTTTTTTTTAAATTGATTTTAACAATTTAAATTTCTTTTTCAATACAATTCATATTAGTTTTTGCTTACATATAATTCCAACATTTTTTTAAGGGCCGAAGATAATATTCAGCAAATAGGGAGGGCGTACTTGTGACTTTTATTTTCCAAAATTGATATTCCAACCTGAGTATTTGGAAGCAATGTTCTGTTTCCGATTCTCAAACATCTGGACGGATTCACCAACAAACAGGATCTTCTCAGCGACTCGGACTGGGATGTAGCTGGGCAGCATGGAGGGCCTGATGGCAAAATGGGTGTGGGCGGGGCGCTCAGGGAGTCTACCTTCTTCATTCAGTTGCTGCAAAATAACATAAAAGAATTGGCCAAATTAGGGGAGACACCAAGAACATTCAGATAACAGAAATACGAAATCTGATTTAAGGTCTGTTAGGGGTATCTACTGTACTGTCCGGATACCCGCTACCTGATTGAAAATGTTGCGTACCCAGAACTCTGCAGATTCTGAATGAAAGTACAACTTTTTATCGATAGTCACAGATTAATTACACTAAAACTTTGTTTTTTGGGGGGTCTAAAAAAATACTTTCTTGAAGTTCAGTTGCTGATCATTTGTGACGATCAGATTGCTGTTGACAGCGTTGTATTTGCAGCAGCATAGTCCTTGAGGGCAGTTTGCAGGGAATCATCACACACTGATGAAGGCTTTACTTCTAGTAATTTTAAAGTCCAACGTTTGCATTAACTCTACACCCATCTACTGTCAGATTGCAGATTATTCTACAGTACCTACATGCATACGCTTTTGTACAATGTAGACTTGTCGGCTGCATTAACCCCAAGTAATGTTTGTGGAATCCCGACACGCCCATGTTCAGTTGCAATACCGAACTGGCCTACTTTAATATCAGTACACATCCTCTAAACCATAGAGCAAATCCTTGCTCTACGTCTAAATCACCTCCATCATGTCCATTTCTGTTATGTCAAACTGTTAGGCCAATTAAAAAAAGAAACCTAGTTTCTCGTCCAGGATTTTTTATAAAACAAAGAAGAGGGCTCTTTTTAACCCTAAGACCAAAATTGTTGATAACGTGGTTTTCAAGTTACGGAAATGAGTGTCAGTTCGTGGTGCCGATGATAATATGTTTGTAACATATATTACAAATGTTTGATTAAAAAAAAAGGAGGTGGGCGGTAAAAAGAAAGCGGGTGGGGACGAGAAACTGGTTTATTTTTTAATTGTATCAAACTGAGAGGGTCACTTAGTACACTGGCAGCACGAAGGTTCAATTATCGTGATGATTACAATTACCATGACTTCTCTCATCTGCCTGCCAGTCACGCCACCAATGCCCAGATCATCGTCATCATACTGCCTCTCTGCCAGGCTAGCCATGGCCGACTTGTGGATGAAGAATTCACCATGATTGTCCAGGAGCATGCCGTGAAGCAGCCAGGCTGTGACCTGACGATACATGACGCTGTGGCATACAAACAGAATCCTGCAGAGGTGAAAACAAATACAAGCAGCATTCAACAATGATGTTTCAAATGGACGTTTGCATCCAGAGAGGTTCAATGTATGGGCTTTATCCTTCATTCAACTTACTTTGTAAATCATATTCCATATAAAAGTTGTAAATTATAAAGGTTTGGGTTTTTAATTTAATTTAAAAAAAAAAACAGGTTTTTTTAATTTTTACCTAACACAACACTGATGGTAATAAGGTATTTTGTTCTTTGAAATGATGGACAAAATCTGGCAATTTTTGCCATATCAATAAGACTAATAGAGAGGTTAATTAAGACTTCTTGGCAAATAACATTTGCCTGATATTACTCTCACCCCCTAGGCCCTTGTTGCTTACAACCATCCTCAATCCTCCAAAATCCTCCAAAATTTTGCAACTCCGCCTAAATTTTTCAAAATTGTCAGACAGTCCTGCCTCAAAATGCATTCCTCAATCCTTCAAAATCCTCCTCATCCCAAAACTTTGCACTCGTGTTTAAATGAAGGATAACCAACGCCAAATCCTTCAAAATCATCAGACAGTGCTGCCTCAAAATGCATTCATCCTCAATCCTCCAAAATCCTCTTGTGCTTCAATCACCATTCATCCTCAATCCTCCAAAATCCTCATTTGATTCAATCACCATTCATCCTCAATCCTCCAGAATCCTCATTTGATTCAATCACCATTCATCCTCAATCCTCCAGAATCCTCATTTGATTCAATCATCATTCATCCTCAATCCTCTAGAATCCTCCAAAACCGCCAGGAGGATTTTGGAGGAGTGAGGTGGGTTAGGGTTAATAATAATAATAACTTTATTTATTTATTTATTGATGGTAGCCATGTCACCTCGGGGATGATTTTCAATTATTAATAATAATAACTTTATTTATTGATGGTAGCCATGTCACTTCGGGATGATTTTCAATGGGCCATCATCAAACAATCAGTATAAAAATACATGGAAACATTTACAATACAGTATACATCAAATAAATCAATAAATAAATAAATAAACTATACACGAGGCTTAAAAAAACTATAAAATACAAGGCCAAAAATTCAACACTCTCGGAGACCCAGACCAGTCCACACTCCCAGAACATACAGGCCGGAGAGACGGAGAGACAAATGGACAGGACACAAGAATCACTGACTATCAAAGACCGCCAACATAATGACATCCGAGACATTCAAAAATTGAGGACAATAAAAACCAAGAACATCATAAGTCCCTAAATTGGGTTGGAAAATACCATTTACGTAAAGACTTCCACAAAGCTACAATCCCGGCCAAAATGGTTGGGACACTTCCTGAGCCTGCCACGGTCACCAACTCCCCCGCTCCCCCGGTCAATGTTGTTCTCTTCAGCTGATAGAGCACACACCGCGCAATGAGAGACAACATTGAGCGGGGGCCGGGGGGTTGGGGGCCCAGCGAGATTTGGCCAGTATTGTAGGTTAAACAAAACATCAACATACTTCTGAAAGGCATCTTTCACCATTGGTTTGCCACAGTTACAGTGCTGATGCACTATCTGTAAGATGTGGCCTCCGTGGCCCCTCTGGTACTGGATCTGCTCTATAACCGCCCACAGGTCTGGGAACAGCAGCTGGTATGGCTCCAGTACCTCCTGGATGTGGCATGGTGTCAGGTGAGGGTCAGAGAGAATCTGAAAAATTACAAAGTTTCGACATCGTAAACATAATTTCTACTTTTTTTTCTCAAAACATGTGGTTCATTACGGATTTTTTAATGTCAACATGCACAATGTTGAAGTAGAATACCCGCTGAAACAGATTATCAATAAACACCATACATTGTACTATGCACTGAGACATACACATATTATTTTTATATCCGAAAAACAGTCAATTCAAAACATGTCTTTCATCTTATTAACATTTTCAACATTAGAAACTGGAAATATATGTTAAGTTCATATGATGAGGCAGGAGAACCATTTTCTAACCCTCCTACTATTTAAGAGGTCACAATTGGTCAAAATTTTCTTCCTCACCTCCTGGCATGATTATGAATTGAAATAAATAAAACCACATGAGACCATCACTACTAATGCAAAAAGAGATGATAAACTACACATATTTATTTCATCGTTCCTTAACAAGTGTTTTGCAAGGTTTGTGCAAAAGCAAAACCCCCAAAAACTACATGTAATTTTTAGAAGACCAACCCCTGTATCTTTTAAAATGAAGCAGATAAGTATAGGCCTATGGGATGAAAATAAATTACATCAGTGCTCACCAGGAACATTGGAGCTGAATTTTCGGCCTGACTAAACCTTCATCGGAGCTCCGATGAAGGCCTGCTCAGGCCGAAAATTCAGCTCCATTCAGCTCCAATATTCCTGGTCAGCACTGCTTCAACTTATTTTCACCCCATATCAGTTACCTCTTGTTCTAACTGAAGTAACACTTGTCTGTATGGATCCAGCACTCCATCCAGACCAGCACAGAAGGCACGTAGGTACAGCCCATCCTTAAGCTTCAGCAGATCTTTTGAAATTGAAAAAAAAACAAATGAAGGCTATCTCACGTTCATTTTCTCGATACAATATATAAATTACTCCAATAAATAAAAACAGAACAGGGTTATAATGTATAGCAATCTCTGCAATTGCACGAGTCTCATATTTCCTGAACAAGTCTTAACAATTCCACCCCCTCCCCCCAAGAAAAATCTCTGTCAGCACACCTGAATGATAAAACATTATTGTTCAAATGAAGCAGTGCCACAGTAGTCTGGGCAAAGTAAATAATTTTTATGGAATATCTCCCAGCATTCAAGGAAGTCAGATCATACCTTTTGGTGCATTTTTGGCAGATTCAAGGGAGCTACTTGGAGAGCCAGTGTATTCCTTGATAAATTCTCGGAAGCGTTTGTAGTGTGTACCAAGTATGCATAGCCTGTTTAGAATGTACACCTCACTACAGTGGAGAAATGGTAAATCTGGAACGACCTATCATCAGAAAACAAAAGGTTTCAATTATTACAAATCATAAAATGAGAAACAGAAAAACAACACGTGCCCTACATGTAGTTCCAACACATTTAATTAAGTGTATCATCTAAATGTTCCTAATATTTAAGTCGTTTCTATTTTTGATGAAAATCAAACCGTTGCGCATGTCTCAGTTGTCACCAAGTGGTTCTCGGATTTAAATTCCCTTCAAAGTAGGGCCTACCATCCATGAATCAGAAAGAAACTTAAATCTGCTTCAATAATGGAATAAATTAAGAAGTAAGATTTGATTTAAAACAATACAATTTTGAATTTACTAGTGCATAAATGCACTGTAACGGCAATTGTGTAGAGTAGGGCCCTGTTCCTAGTCATAAGAGAAAATAATCTGTTTTTAGTTTGACATACAAAACTTGGCGACATTAAGACAAACAGGTATGTCGTAGATAGAGGGCAGGGTTTTGAACTTTTGAGAGGAGTTTTGGAGTAAAATGAGGAAGACGACAATCACAACATGAAAATAAAGATCGCGATCACCACGATGTACCGTGAATGTACAATCCCGCACTGAATCGATCGCATGGCACCAACGCTCACAAAAATCACAACTTCTAAATTACCAAAAAAGGAGTAATTGCAGAATACCCCACCACGCGAAAATTACCCCCTAAAAGCTACGCAGTCGGAAAATGTTGCAGAAATGTCCAAAGTACATGTAGATGTCGGGAAGTGGATACGCGGATACAATATATACGGGGTGGATTTGAGCGCTGGAGGGTCTAAAGAGGGCGCTATTTCCCTGTATTATTTATGAGAACGAAGCATCCATCCATGTTGGAAAATAACGAAGGCAGAGACAACGTGATTTGAATGGGGAGCAGGGGAAAAACGTCCAAGTCCAAAGTAGGTGCCGGGAAGTGGATACGCGGATACGGGGTAGCACACACGTGTGGTTTTGGGGGAAAACGTTTAAGTCCAAAGTACGTGCCGGGAAGTGGATACGCAGATACGGGGATACGGGGTGGCACACGCGTGTGGTTTTGGTTGAGCATCCAAGCGTGACTCCTTATCCGCGTATCCGGATACGAGGTGGGATAGGTGAGTGGCGGGGTATTCTGCAATTGTGCCCCAAAAAAGGTGCTATTTGTGAGACAAGTCTTCCTTGGGTTCAAAAAGTCATTTTGGAATGATAAAAATTGTTCTTAATTTCACTCTAATTTGACCAAAACTAAAAATGGGGGCCCTATTCCCGAACAAAGTAAAAATCAATACGTTAGCAACTTAGACCTATCTGTCATTGTCTGTACACACTCGTAATAATTAAAATACAAAGTATTAAAAGGGAAGTTTAGTAATATGGATTGTGTTAAATCTAAATCTGTAAACATTCCTCAAAATTCAAAGTCGAAACGAAATTTTCAACTTCGAAGTTCTACGTTCACGTTAGCTTCGAGTTCGTGCAGTGCCAGTGGTGTCGACAATAAACGCCCTACAGGCAGACAACGCATGGCAACTAAAGTTGCATTGATGGAGTGATTTGCAGGAGCTAAGTTAAAACAACACAGAATAAAAGTGAAATTTAACCTTTATAGCACCCTTTTCTCCTTCAACAAATATGCTTCCCGTGTATCCACTCAAAGAGAGAAGCAACTCGTGCAACATCTTGACATTTTCTAAAGTTTAGCAGCGTTGAGATCATCCTTCGCGGTCGTCGTCTGCTGTTAAAAATGGCGGCTCGACATGACGTCATTTCTTTTGGCCAATCAACAGGGACCTCTCATAAACGTTGACCTCAGGGTTGTGTTTGTAAACAAATCCCACGTGGGAAAGAATGTTGCAACCTGACGCCACTTTTTTCTTCATATAACATCTCAATAAGGCTCAGTCATTGTAAAAATGTGCATTAGACATAAATCTGGGACTGACAAACATTTCAAATTTTGTTAGGAAATACTTAGACAAATACTGATAAATTCAGCTTTGCCGCACAACACTCAGAAAGCAAGGATTAATTCGCAAATCAATAAATATGATTTTGGTTATTTCACATGCATTTCATTTTACCTTGACCGATGCGTCCTTGATAATGCAAAAACAAAAACAAAACGATCAAAATACAGCACAATGCCACACACAAGGAATCATGGTCATTTTAGGTCTATAATTTATTTCAATCGTGCACACAATTATAACAGTAAAAGTTACAATCTAGCCATTACAGAAATATGTATATAACCTAAAACACGTTGCAGTATTTAGGTTGCTAAGGACTGAAATGAGCAGCCTACATATCTAAAGGTACATGCATGAATTCATTGTACTTCATATCCTAGTACTGACAAAAAATGAGCCACGTTCACGGCACTGAAAGAAAAAAAAGACAATAAAATTTGCTGAACAAAAATAGCTTATCATAAAAAATATCACAAAATAGATATTGGATGTGGTTGGTTCTCAGCTGATCTTCATGGCTTCCCATGTAAATTTGAGTCCCCGTCTCTTTTGGAGTGTGGCACCCCCCCCCCCCTCCCCAACCCTAATTACTTATTTTTTTTATTTTTATAATTGGCTTGTTCATGAGTTGTTAGCATTACAAAAGGTATGAACTTTCCAATGAGACATTGAACAAAAAAATTGGTCCATGCTACGTTATCACTTTATTTTCAATTCAGCTTTGAATTAGGAGCTAGACTTGACTCAAGTCAGACTTATATAGGGGTAAATACAGTATGGAAGACTGTACCTGTGCATGTACACCAGACTTGTGCCAAGTCTAGCTCGAGCGTGAAATGAGCATAATATACAAAGCTCTTTTTTTTTCAAAGGAATCATTGCCCCTCAATGTAAAACATAAAAACCACTGCTCTTTGTACTCATGCTTGTGAGTTGTTGAGGGTACCTGCCCCGCGGATTAATTTTCTAAACGCGATTGCTCTTTACATAAAACTAACAAACAACTAGACAACAGTGCCCTTAGCTACACATGTAGCTATACACGTAACTGGGGATATCATAAGCCAGGTACTGCTTGTGCGTTAAAGCTGACCCGCATAAATAAATGTAAGCCTTAAGGGATCACAACATTATTATTTTACTGTGCAATAATAAACATCCTCAATGTGTGACAAAAATAATGACATTGTCCTAATACATCAGCTTTAGTAAAAATGAAAGACATTTTCGTTGGAAAATGAATCTTTACATACTTTTGAATAGCAAATTTAATATCGATTTGATTTGTGTACGAGTGGAATTTGCAGCTGCCAAAAAAAAATGGAAGATGAATTCAAACTAATTTGAATTTGTGTATTTTATCAAGGTATATATTAAAACTTTGTAATAATACACAATTATCTGAACCAACTGTTAAATGAAATTCAAATTCAAATTAATGAGACATTAAAATTTTCAGAAACACCCTGAAAAGGAAATGATTTTGAAAATTCCATAATCTACATTTGTGAATTTGACTAAAGTTTACTCAGGCTTTTTACATTTGCATTGATCACTGCAGATTTTGATTTATATTTAAACACAAAAGGCGACACCCAGAATACATAGAACAAATTACTTAATGTAACATGTGAAAGTTTTAACTACTGTAAATTGCACATGTTAGTCGGCAGTGATCCACAACCTTGGCAAAAAGACATGCACATATAATGACTATATCAGGATCATTTGCTTTTCATGCATTTTGTTCGTTTCCAATAATAGCACCACTCAAAATCCAAAGAAGAATGTTCAAAACCTAACCTGTGGAAGTTTCAACTCGGTGGATATTACACTTTTCAAGAAAGCAGTGAAAACCATGCATAACCATTTGATCACATGAGTTTCTTCAGTAGCACTCTTTATTCCAACAAAAAAAATCAGTCAATTGACTGATCTTTGGAAATCACCTACATATTTCTTGATTTCTCCAAAATGACTTCAAGACAGACTGAATAATTTCACGATGAGTTTAGTACCAGAACGATCTTTAATTCAAGTAAAGTTATTGATAATAATTTGGTATGTTAATTTTGGGATAAATGCAAATGATCCTACAATGTACAGGCCTGTAAAACAAGGCATTTCATCATGGTACATACAGGTAATAGTTACAGATTATTACATTATGTTTCTAAGATACATGTGCAGCCGCACACTATGAAGTAAAATTGTAGGTCATTCGTATTCATTATGCAGCTCAAGGATGAAATATCCCGAGCATGGAGAAATTACACAAACATTTAGATACAATGAGTTGCATTTGTCCTTGATCATGTTGATGGAACAAGCAGGTTTCCCTTACAAGCACTTCACAGCTGGATAAGGTTGTTCAAGATTAAGTGCCCATGCACATGGGTACATGTACATTTACATAATTGTTAACAGACCCACATTAGATAAAATTGGCTTTCCAATTATGTTAATACCAGAACAACCTGTTCTGATGCAACACAGTATAAGATTTCCGACAAAACTCTGCATCTGTGATTAATGGCAAAATTTGTTCTGCATTGTTGTCATGACAACTGAATATTGTGCTGCATCTGATGCTAGGTTGAAGACTTATCGATGATCAACATAATTATGCATGAGATTTCCTGTTTTCTTGGAAACTAAAGTATGATATTGCTTTAAAAAAAAAACCTGTCTTTCATGAGATTTTGAATACTCTCTTGCTTGGAATATAAACCCCCCAAAAAATATTATTTCGTCATGGCTTTTAAAAAATTGTGTACAAGTTAATGTATGCATACCTGTACCGATACATATACATTATAAATGAATGTACCTCTGCGATGTGTTTATTTGTGCTTCACACATTTACATGAAATTGTTCAACAACAACTCTCAATTAACAATACAAATAATTATCAAATGCCCTCAGTAAACAACGGAAACTAAAGCACTTAATTAAAAACAATAAAAACAAGACTAAATTTTTACGATTAACTGTAGCAAACCTTCTGACATAAATAATGACTTTAAAACAAATCAGGTTTTACTGGGCAAACCTTTCAAACATTTAATAGTACACTTACCTGTAGGGTTAAAAAAAAAACTGGAAGAGATTTTCTTAAAATTTGGAAACTCCGCAAAATCAAGACTTATACTAAACAGATTAACTAACGAGATAATAGACTACATGCCACTATTGTGAGAATCATTGTAGATTACATGCACTTATAATTTTCTACCTAATAAATATATATATTACTCTTAAATTTGTGCTCACATTTTCTTTTTCTATGTACATTTGCATTGATCACTGAATTTTACTGTCACAAATAGTACTACCATCTTGAATTCATAAAGACAATTAACGCCATTTGGCAGAACACACATCAAATTTGAATCCGAAATAAAGTAGAGTTCATAATGCTGACACTGCGTTTAATATTTCAAAGCTGGGCGAATTCCGTAAAACATGAGGGTGAAACTGCAATTAGTAACCAAAGTTGGAGTTTGTTAGGTTTTGTTTCAATCATGCTTATAGGAACTGAACCAAATATTTTACACTTAATTGAATTCTGCATTTAATAGTTCATGTACAAGGGCAAATCTGTGCACTTTGAACAATGCTAAATTAGAACAAGGGCTTGTTTGTTTGATAAATATAACTATAAAACTTTTCACTTGCTAAGCTAAAGCTAAGTTATGGTGGCAGTGGACAACAATATTTGTGAATCATAAGAACCCACATTGTAAACAAATTAACGAAAAGGTACTAGTACTTTAATACAATAGATTTTTTTTAAAATTAATATATAAAATAAGATGAACCAAACACTTATCAAGGAAGTGTGACTTTGATTCTGCTGTTGTGACTCAAAGCCCAGATGTGACACTTGGCAGTTAGAGGACCTGAATAAAAATATCCTAACACTTGAAAAAAAAATCCTAACTCCAACAATTGTGCTTATGAGCTTCTCTAGTTTGGGGCAAGAATTGGGAATATGATTGAATGCTTGAAAGTTGCAGTGTACAATGCAGGATTTTTTCACACATACAGAAATAAAGCCAGGTTTCCCAATCTACAAAAAAAATAACATTGCCAAAAAAGTTGTTTAAACCTAAACGAAAGAATGACAGCATGGAGTTAAAGGCTTTTTCATCATTCCGTGGAAACATCCACCATCAGGTTTTGAATACACCGCTATCCAGGTCAATTTTTCCTTTCATCATGTTCATCATCAATACCCGATTTGTTGAATATTTCCAACAACACGTTGACAGTAATTTGGTGAGAGTTCTTCAGATAGTATTACACAGATAAGCGCTACAGAATTAACAACTTGAAAAAGGAATGGCAAGTCTTCATTTACTGAAAGTATATGACCCCTGAAAGTGAAACACTACCACCATACCACCTGATTTTTGAGTCAAACTGCAGCAGCACAGGTTCAATCCTTTGGCTTGGCGACAACGCACTTTAGCGTCACGTACGGAATGCCGAAGTTGGTGTAGCGGTCCTTGGGCCAGTAACGCAGCACGGGCCCCATCTCCGGGAACTCATTCATGGCGTCGAAGTAGGCAAAGAGGACCACGGAGCTGTAAGACGCCACCAGGACCAAGATGTGCCAGAAGCAGTGGAGGTAGGGGAAGGAGACGAAGAGCCAGAAGTCACAGAAGGTGCGGTCCATGACCCAGCAGGTGACGGCGATGACCCAGAGAACCATGTTGGTCCGACAGAGTCTGACGACCCGCGGGCAGTGCACCCTGTGGGTAAAGACACTAGTTGTCAATCTATAACTAATCATTTTGAATATCAACTGTTTCAAATTTGGGGAAGTAAAGAAGTGTAAGGCAAACAAATGTATACAAATGTGGAATAAGAAGCAAATTTGATGTCACGAAACGTTTGTCGTGAAATTCCCTGCAGTTAGAATGTGTTTAACTTTTGAATATCTGCGGTGACATCACACATTAGAACAAATCAAATAAGACTTAAAGCCAGAGTCCATCATTTGCAGCTATCCAAAAAGTAACTGGCGTAATTATTATTGAAAAGCATTCTTGGTTGGAAGATAGTAAGGGGACTAAACTCCCTGTGAAATTATTCTTTCTGCCAAGCTGTCATTTTCAAGAAATCAACAAAAGAAGGCCTATCCAACGGTGCTTCTTAAGACGCACCGTAGGAAATTTAAATTAGTAGTTCGTTTTGTTATTCGGCGAAGCGCGCGCAAGCATTGTCACAACGCACACCCGCGCGCAGTTGCTTTAATTCGTCGGATCAGTGCGCGACACCGCGTAGCTGCAATCGGCTCAGTGAAAACATGTATCGGACGCTGAACTCAGGCCCAATTCAAAACATGATTCAGCAACTTTTGATTTGAAATCGAGATCCTAGAATGCTGTTTTTCTCGGATTATACAGCTGAAGCTGAGCTGAAACTTCATCAGTTTAGTTATTCAGCACCCTTCTTTAGAGTTTGAGCACTTTTGTTGCTTCAAATGAACAACATGCGCAAATTACAAATGATGGACTATACCTTTAAGTCAACCTTTTTAACTTAATACAAAGGATCTTTGATCTGGGGCATTCATGCGTGTTAGTGAAAGTGCAGGTATACTGACAAGCTCTTTCCTAACACATTTTCATATCTCACTGCCCGGTGTCACAACATGTACATGTATACCACCACTGCACTATAAAAGGTCTTTCACTACCATTACTTCACGTAATGCTATATTAACATTCACTGCAATTTTTGGATTCCGCTTGTATAATTCAACCAGGCAGGCTTTGAAAGCAAAGTCATCTGAAGTTTTTTTTTTCCAAATTTCTTTTTAAAGGTACAGTCCATCATTTGCAGCTATCTAAAAAGTAACTGACAAAATTATTGTTGAAAAGCATACATGTACTTGGTTTAAAGTAGGTAATGGGAAAACACTCCCTGAGAAATTATTCTTTCTGGCAAGCTGTCATTGTGAAGAAAACAATGAAAGTAGGCCATTTCCAAGGATGCGTCAAAAGACACGTTTTTGGAGATTTCTGTTAGCAGTTCGTTTTTTTTATTCGGCGAAGCAGTGAATGAGTACGTGCAAGCGTTGACCAATCGAACGCGGGCGTGGTTGCTTTAATTCGTCGGTTCAGTGTGCGACATCATGTAACTGCAATCGAATGAATGAGAACATGTCCCGGGCACTGAATTCGTGCGCAATTCAAAACATGACTCTGCAACTTTTGATTTGAAATCAAGATCCTAAATATTGTTTTCTCGGAATATACAGCATTCACTAAGCTACATGTAAAACTTCATCAGGTTAAGTTAGTTGTTCAGCATCCTTCTTTAGATTTTAAGCACTTTTGTTGAGCACTTCAAACGAACATAATGCAAAAATTACAAATGATTATACTTGACCCTTAATGAATAATTCCTAATAAAGAATTCCACTTGTTATATTCTCATTGTCCCACTGTTATCAGTTCAGTTTTTGTCTACATGTACATGTCACTGTCTGTCTGTGAATCTTGTAACTTTTCCTGTCTGTTTGTTGGTCTGTCTGTATTGTCAGCCTTTCTGCCAGGCCTTTTACCCACTCTATGTCATATTTAATTAAAAGTATGGTACTTTACCTGTAGACTGTATTTTCATTCAATATTATTACTCAGCATTTATTCAATTGAAATTTAGTAGGTGAACTGTTTATGTGGTATACACCTATGGAAAGCTTTCATTTTATGTTAATTGCCTTCTTAATTCTTACTTTTGTATCTGTCTTAAGGCCAGTTCATACTTTTCGTGAATGTCAGTGCAAAGTAAATTCGTTAACAACGAACGTCAACGGCAAACGTCACAATGGACTTCAATTGTTGACGTCACAGAACTCGCTTCGTTTTTGTTTTCACGTGAAGTACATGTACAATGGTAAGAACCGGCCTTTATAGTGCAACTATGTATTTATTGAACTGAACTGCAATGGGAAGGAATTAATGACATCGTAAATTTTCCAATTTTTCAGTCTCAGGTTAACAGACATTGAGACAAGCAGTGGAATTGGCAACCCTCCCCCCGAACTGGATATGTCACTGATATATACAAACGTTTGATATATTTCTCTTTCAATCCTAACAGTGGGGTAATATTGTTCCTCATGCGTTTTTCATTCTATGTTAATGTTATTAATTCATAAGATCATTTTCCTGACTGTAGCACTCATTTTTTTTGGTGTGGATATCTGACCACTTCATCCTACCTCTTGAGTTCCAGGTACATAGTGATGATGCCAGGAATGACAAACAGCATCATTAGGAATGAGTTGAGCCATGGATTGATGAAAGCAATCATCGTTCCACCGAGCGTCACTATGGTTACAATGATGCGGAAAAGCTTTCTGAAAAATTAAAGGGCAAAGACTGAAGATTTAATTGGTTTTTTTTTTTTATTAAAACATCTATTCACAAATAGCTTGTAGGTCAGACATATTCTGTAAGTTGCTTGTTTCAGTTTAAAACGTACATATGTTAAAAATTATACAAAAACAAATAATATATATGGTATCAAGATAATATATCTTGTGCAATTTTTAATGCATTATGATACTCGGAGAGGTTTTTAATGTCACTTGTAAGGCTTTGAAAGGAAATACATACAACATTTGCAAACATCAAAAAAAAAAAACTACCAAATTATCACCAAATACCTTACTGAAATGTTAGTGCATGATCAGTCTAAAGCATCCTGTAAAATCTTGGCACCTGGCGTGCTGACATTTTTAAGAAATGTGGTATTTTTGCACCAATTTCCAATGCTGGTCATGATAATTGTTTTTCTTGGTTTTTCCAGCATCTACTGTACGAACCCAAAACGTCAAACAAGTCAGTGTAACAATATCTGCTATAAAATACAACCCCCCCAAATTCCCAAATTCATCCATTTCCGAAAATTACAGCAAAAGCAAATGTTATTATTTTTAAGTACTTCCATGTACACTGTAAGATAACATTGATTGATATTATGGGCGAAAGGCTTTTTGTAGGGGAAGCTTTGCACACTATGCATTGATTCCACCTCTTTAAACATTCTTTATATTCCAGGATAGTGAAAAACAAATCAAGAAATTTCCAAAATGCAATATAGCCATTTCAGAAAACTGAAACAGTTGCACAGTTATCTAAACTTATAGAACATACACAGTATAACAACATTTTTTAAACTTCAGCTTTTTGCTTTGTTGCATTCTTAAATTGTGTTTTAATAACATAACAGCCACTGACTTTGAGAAATAAGGAGAGTGCTGGTAACAAAAGTTTATCGCTTTTGGAAAATAACTCTTTAAAGGGAATATACATCATACTGCTTGCTTTACGCCCCAATTCCTACCGACGGGGACAGCAGCACTTTGCAGAATGACCTGAAACACCTAGAAAACTGGCAAGACACTTGGTTAATGAACTTTAATCCAAGCAAGTGCTGTACCATGACCATAGGCAAGAGAAACCCAACTCAGCATGAATACAAGTTTTGCAATCAAGTTTTGGACAGCGTCTCATCTCAAAAATACCTTGTTCACATATCTAATACCCTCAGCTGGAACATCCATGTTCAGGAGTCCATCAAGAAAGCTCAAAGAGTGCAGAATGTTATCCGCAGGAATTTGTGGAGCTGTAACAGTGAAGTGAAAACAACTGCCTATTTGAGCTTAGTGAGACCACTCTTAGAATATGCTGCATCCGCATGGGACCCCTCAACAAAGCAGAACATTAACCCTTACCCTACTAGACCCTCCAACGCATGCCAATATGTGCCTCAAGAAAATCTCCTATTTTTTTTGCATGGCCCTCCAATATCTGCCATGTCATTTCAAGGGTAACTGGACAGGCACTCCAATACATGCCACAGAGAACAATGAGAGTCCTCTGATAACAATCAAGTGCCCCCAGCTGGTCAGTATCAGGCACCCTCCAGGGCCTCCAACTCCTGCCAATTGGAGCCTTCACTGCTACATCAAAGTATCCTCCAATAAACTGCAGCTGGAGGGCATTGGCATAACCAACTGACATGCAGTAAACTACCCTCAGAGAGTAAGGGTTAACTCACTTGAAAGAGTTCAACGTCAAGCAGCTAGATTTTGCACAGGAAACTACCAAAGGGATACGGGAACTGTTACTAAACTTCTGGATGACTTAGGATGGGACACGCTACAGAACAGAAGAAATCAACAGAAATTATGTATGCTCTACAAGATGAAAAATGGGTTGGTCGACATTCCACTTCACAACTATGTTCAGCCTAATACCAGAGAAACAAGGGGAAACAACCAAAAATTCATTCAAGTCAGTCACAAAGCTAGGGCCTTCAAAGATTCATTCTGCGTATCAACTGTTAAACACTGGAACTCACTCTCCTCGGCTGCTGTGAACAGTGCAACACTAGCTGAATTCAAGGGACACAGTAATATCCACCAGTAGTCTATTTCCACACGCAGTGCGCAAGTTAGCGTTGATGTATCCGGCAGGATATTTTGCTGACTTAAACAATGGAGATGGAGAGATGGAGATTTGCTTTTGCTGTAATTTTCAGAAATGGATGGAATTGGGGGGTTGGAAATATATAGCAAATATAGTTACACTGACTTTTTTGAGGTTTTGGGTTCGAAATTGCTATAAAAACCAAGAAAAACAATCATTTTCCTGTAGTCTGGTTCCCTGACTCCATATAAGAAGAAACAGAGCAGTTTACATACATTGGGGAATTGTAAGGTCAGGGAACCAGTCTAGCTGGCTTGTACCCGTTCATAGGTGTGTAATCGATTGCAAACAAGTGCGATGGTCAATTGGGGCCAGTATTTGAAAAAAAGCCAGTTTTTTTCCAACGCTGGTCGGCCGACCAGTGTTGGAAATTGATACTGTCATTTTCAAGAAAAGTGGTAACTTTTCTTGAAAATGACAGTATACCAGGTGCCATGATTTTGCAGGATGCTTTACACTGTCATTCACTAACAGTTCAGCAAGGTATTTCAAAATGATTTGGTAGTTTTATTTTTTGATGTTTGCAAATGTTGTATTTTCCCTTTAAATGTAGTAAAATTGTGCTTCACTGAACACCACTATAAGAACATTTGGTTATAGCATACAATTGTATCAAGCACCTATTTGTATCCAAAATGTGCTAAAAATTGCTTTAACCATTTAACTTTTACATCGACCAGACTTTTGTGGGCCTCACTAAGTTTGTTATGCCGAAAAAATAGTCTTTAAGGCCAAAAAGGCTTTTTTTTTTTTTTACCTGATTTTTTTGCTTCAAATGTCGGCTGATGACTGCAAATGGTGCCCAACTAAACTTAGTGCAAATATATGGGAGTCCAGAGAGGCCACATAAAGCTTATTCTCGACCATAACCCAATCTAAAAACACGTTAAAATTGTGCAGCAGCAGGATTCCAGTCAAACCAGTGAGTTTGGCGGTTTTGAGACATCATCTTTCATTGAAAAAAAAAACTTTTTCATTTTGCCGACGCGCATGGCGGTTTGGCGGTTTTGAGACATCATCTTTCATTGAAAAAAAAAACCTTTTTCATTTTGCCGACGCGCATGGCTACGGCGACACGCGCGCATACCAGAAACCGGAGACTTTTTTGGGGGGGCCTAAGGTTACGCCCTACAAATTTATCCAGGTAGGTAGGTAGGTAGGAATATAATTTGATTTCGTATTTTGTGTGTGTGTCTGTAGGTGTTTACTTTAGAGTACCTTTAATTGTATTTTGTTTAATTAACCTGTTTAATTTGAAAATATATATGTTTTAATTTGCTTTGGCCCAATGTGGCAATAAAAAATGATGTCAGCAAGTTTGCCGTAAAATTTCCTGGTAGGTCGGTTTAAAGTAAATACACAATTATTTTGGTCTTATTGCAAAATTCTACTGTATGTGGGGAATGACAATTCACAACAGGGTCGCACAGAATGATGAAAATATTGTGCTTTTAATTCTTTTTTACAAACCTGTTTCCGTTTAGAATCCTAGGATAATATCGCCGCGGAAACCACAGGCCCGCCCCACACAACACCACCCAGAGAATGGCCACTTCATCCAACAGCTGGCCAAAGAGACTTAGTGTGCTATGGTAGTAGACAGACGACGCTCCGACTACCATCAATAGCAGCCAGATGAGATTAATGGAAGGGTTGACACGCCGCGCGTACTCCTTGAAGAGGACCCACATCAGGGGCGGGAACACAAAGAAGAGAGCATTGCTGATCTGGAGGGAGAGAAGAGGCAAGACAATGGGTGAAATGACAGGACTGGACAATAAATAAACACATAAATATATTTTTGGGGGGGGGGGCTAATCATCCTAACTCGCAGCAGAAGCTGAAATGGCGAATGACGCAGTTACAATGCCGTTGAACCGAAGGCAAGTACATGTAAAGGCGGCAAGGCGCCTTAGGCAGCCGCCATTCAACCCATGTCTTACCACAGAGCACAGCCAGATCGAAAGTCTATATTTTTGCAAAGGGTGAAAAACCTGAGAACTGGAGGAAAAAAAACCCTTGTGGTACTGAAGAGAATCAACAAACAACTCACATTATGATCAAGCCGGGAATCTATTCTGGGCCCCAGTGTTGAGAGGCGAGTCCTATATTTGCCTATGTGATATGGAGTTTTCTGCTCCGGAACACTTTACGATAAATTCATACAAGGGTAGATCGGGGGGGGGGGGGGGGGATGTGGCTAACCCCCCTCCCCCTTCCCCAACTGACAGATGAACATCGGTAAATAATTAAATATCACGTAAATAGTTAACTCTAATTATTTAAAAAGTTCAGGCCTTTTTTTTATGTGTAACTGCAATGCCTCATCAACCCCCCCCCCCCCTTGAAAAAACTAAAACCACAACATCCTAGCCACCCCCCCCCCCCCCCCCCCCCCCCCCCCCCCCCCCGGAAAATTGTGGGTCTGCCAATGTGAGGCGAAGTAAAAAAAAATAAAACATTCTCGTCCAGGGTTTTTGAAAAAAGGGAGGAAGCGGGGCCTTTTATTTTTTATTTTTTTCAAGATGGCCGCCATTTTAAAATTTCCTGCAACCGTTGGTTGTGACAACTGTTCAAAGAGACTTTTAAAATGAAAGACAAGTTGGACAAGAGAACCGAACATATTTACAGTGTCGGAAAAAATTCGGTACTGGCCACAACTTTTTTTCAATTAATTTTCAAGCGCCAAAAGTTGTATCCTTTGACTTACTTCATCGAGATTCGAACCTCGGACTCTTACTTGAAACACGAGACTCTTAACCGCTAGGCCGCGCACGATCGATGTTGCTATAATCAATCTTTGGACGTATTTGAAGTAGCCATTGAAATAAACTAAATATTCATGAGAAATAAATATTCATAATGACGTATTGCACTATCATTGGCCGGCTCATGCGACGTCATGGTTGTCGATGTCATGGTCATGCGTACCGCTGTCTGTCAGCCACACTTCAATCAGTTTTGACCGGCTGCTTCAACTTAGTTCCGCACGACGTGTGCATCCAAAATGGGCTCTAAAAACACATTTTGCCTAATTTTTTTTCGCATTAACACAGCTTCCTGGATTCCTCTTGGGTGAAATCACAAGGCGAGGTGAAAATTGATGTGTTTAGCGGCAGGTAAAGTCGTGGCCCAGTATGGAATTTTTCCCACAGTGTCATTTAGAGTTGTATTGGTATTGGTATTTATTTTCCGATGAATTTGTGGACTTTTTCGGTGTTTTTTTACTACATTTTTCAAAAATAAAAAATAATAAAAAAATCCAGGCGGCCTCCAAAAAGGAAGCGGGCGGGGACGAGAAACTTGGTTTTTTTTTTACTTCGCCTAACACATGAAGATATACTTCTTGAATATCTTCACTCCAGAACACTCTACCAAGTACTTACTGTGTTGTAGAATTCAGCAATGAATGGAAAGACCGAGTAATTATCCTCGCACCAATCAATTGCAGAACTCCCTGGGCTAAGTTCTTTAAACATGGTGACAGCTCCTCAAATCCCTGAAAATCAATGAGAGGATAAGGTGTGAAAAATACTGTAAAGAAGTATTTTCACAGGAGGTTTATATATTATAGAGAATGTTGCGAAAGAATGTTGCATCCTGACGCCATTTTTTCATTATATATATTAATATTATTATCTCAATGAAGGTCAGTCATTTCAAAAATGTTGAAAAGAGGTGTTAAAATAATAACATTTTGACACTAAAATTTACAGAATGTTTTCATTTAATTTTGCCATTTAAATTGTTCTATCTCCAAAACTCAAGCTCGTATGAAAATGATTTAAAGCATCATTTGCAGCCATCCGAAAAATTATTGTTGAAAAACAAACTTGGCTGAAAGATAGTAAGGGAACTAAACTCCCTGTGAAATTATTCCTTCTGGGAAGTTGTCATTTTGAAGTAATCAACGAAAGAAGGCATTTCCAACGATGATTCTTAAGAAGCACCGTAGGAAAATTTAAATTAGTAGTTTGTTTTGTTATTCAGCGCAGCGCGCACAAGTATTGGAACGACGCACACGCGCGTGCGGTTGTTATAATTCGTCGGATCAGTGCGCTACGTCGCGTATGGCTGCAATTCAAAACAATTCAAAACATGATTCAGTAACTTTTGATTTGAAATTGAGATCTTAGAATGCTGTTTTTCTCAATATGTACAGCTGAAGCTTAGCTGAAACTTCATCAGGTTAGTTGTTCAGTATCCTTCATTAGATTTTGAACCCTTTTGTTGCTTCAAACGAACAAAATGCACCAATTACAAATGATGGACTATAGCTTTAAGATAGCGGATATATTGCCGACGGCAATCCCTATCAACAGAGGGTGCTGTACTCTCTAAGATAGGGCTGAATTATAAGATATATTAAATTACCACCAACTGTTGTGTAGCACCTGTGGCCTAGTGGATAAGCAACGGATCTCATGAGCGGGAAGATCCGGGTTCGATCCCCGCTAGCGAAATTTTTGAGGTTTTTTCCCCCATCCCCCCAACATAAGAATATTCTTCTTTTATTATTGTCATGAATATGTCTCAAAAATTTTATTGCAGAGTACTATTACATTTTCTTTTTCAGATTTGTGGCTCTGGAAGATTTTTTTAAAGGGAAATAAAGTCCGAAATTGTAAAATGGTCCGATTCCCATCTTGTGAAAACGAAGTTACAACGATAAAGATGGCATGGAGCCAGACTAAAATTTGTCACCGGAAAATGTTTAAGTAAAAAAAAACAGTAACTGCGCATGTTCAGTGCATATCCGGCAAACTAACGTTTACTAAAGGTTTGCCCTCTCCGGCTAAATATCTACTGCCTTACATTATTTCAAAAATGTTGAAAAGAAGTGTTAAAATAATAACATTTTCATTTTTGACACTAAAAATTACAGAATGTTTCATTTAATTTTGCCATTTAAATTGTTATAATCTCCAAAATGCATGCTCATATGAAAATGATTTAAATGTAATGATTTCGTCGTATGATTCTCTTTCCAGGGAAACTAAATTTTCTAATTCTAGGGACGGGGTTGTAAGAAAAAATCCAAAACGTGCTGAACTCCCTTAAAATTACAATACACAACAATAGCTCCATCCATGCACAAACATGACAAACAAACACAAACACATGATAAACCATGGATAAACAATGGAGGAATAAGAATAAATCAGGTAACTGGTCAATCAAAAAATCAATACATAAATCAACTGAGTATTATTACACAAATTAAATACTTGCCACGTCGTTGTGCCATGAATTTAAGCCAAGGATGTGGACAGAAATGGATACGAGTGCTTTATTCTCACATGTTTTGCACACACAGTTTATTAATGCAGGTGCCCCGGCCCGCGCGCAGCTGACGTGACATTATGCATGTTCAAAGAGGTCGGTCAACAAACTTTCCCCGGCAGAAGTTTGTTGACCGCAAAATAACATAGTCTGGCTCCCAGACCAAAAGATACGGACTACTCCTGATGGGTCTGGGAACCAGATTAAAAATAATATTCCTGCGGTTTTTGAGCAATTGAGGGCGCTGTAAATACAACCACGCCGACCGGTTCGCTCATTGCAGGGTGCACTGAACCAATTCAAGCCCCATTGAAAACAGTGTAAAATCAACCGACAAAGTTCAGGGCCAAATAACATGCAAGCCGACATCACTGGGGTTTCTCAAACAAAATTTAAATTATTGTCTTGTACTTCATCTTTTCATTTCTTTTCAATTTTGAGTAGATTAGCCGATTACATTTTTAAATATTCACACCAAAACAAAATCACCTCCCGAAAAGTGATAGTTCCCAAGCCTGCATGTAGCCGTTTTACAATTAAGTGGCATCCTTCCACTTTCTCAGGCAAATAGGACCCATTTTCAACCGTAATTTTATCAAGCCTGCCCTCAGATGGAAGCCCCAAAACCAGGGAGTTGATCCTTGGCTATATTTACACAATTCCACCGTTTTTTAAGCCAAATGGTCTCCGTTTTCAAAAGAAACTGTGGGGGGGGGGTTCACTTTTTATGCTAATCAGCTCGCGTAGAAATTCTCACTTGAATTAGTTCACTGCACCCTATAGGGCGGGGGGGGGGGGTACGAGCGAAACCAAATTATCACTGGCAACTAACGTTTTTTGACAAAAATTTATAGAAATAACATGATAACAAGGAAGTAATAATGGTTTCATTTTTTTCGCACGAGACTCGGAGATTGCCTGGAACATATAACTGTGTGGGAATAAATTCGCTCGACCCCCCGCCCTGCAAACAGGAGGGCGCGGGGTACGAGCGAAGGGAATAGACCGCTTGCATAAAGCGCCCTCATATGGACAGGTCTTTGTTCCTCTATTAAAATGCATGATCGAGTAGACCTGTACATAAGACTGTCACTGAATTCGAGACAAATAAAGCCTGTCCGCGTAGCCAGGTTTCTCGTCCTCCCAGCAGGCACCGACCGTCAGACTGACGTTGTATAATGGTTGTTTTATGGTCGCAACGTCGGATCAACCATACATAACCGAAAATCAACGTTGTTTTAGTCGACCAAAAGCCGACGTTGTCATTATAACGTCTGTCAGACGTTGCTTTAGTGTCGACAATTTAACGTCAGAATTTAACGTAACAACAACGTCGAAATATAGTTGGAATTTGGTCGGGAATATTACCAAACGTAATTTCAACCATGGTATGACGTTGTTTTGTCAACGTCTATACAACTGACTGAAAAACAACGTTGTATTATTGTTATTTTTGCGTTTCCCTTCGCGACGTCGCAATTATGTCATGTTTTCAACCAAGATATGACGTTTGCTTTCTAACGTCGTTTCAACAACTCAAAAAACGACGTTGAATTATGGTTGGCCGTCGGTTATAATATCCGACGTCGTACTTATGTCATGTTTTTAACCATTATTTTACGTCCGTTTTCTAACGTCGTGTCAACGAATCAAATAATGACGTTGTTTTCCGGTCGTTTGATGGTTATAATATTTAACGTCATTATTAAGTCACGGTTTTACCCAAACTATAACGTCAGTTCTCTGACGTCTTTTCAGCGACTCAAAAATGACGTTGGATTATGGTCAGCCGCTGGTTATAATATTTGACGTCATTTTTAAGTCATGTTTTCAACCATGATATTACGTTTGTTTTCTAACGTCGTTCCAATGACTCAAAATCGACGTTGTATTGTGGTTGGCTGTTGGTTATAATATCTGACGTCGTATGCTTTCAACCAAAACACAACGTCCATTATCTGACGTCATTTCAACATCTTACAAAGCGACGTTGAATTGTGGTCGGCTGCTGGTTATAATATTTGACGTCGTTATTAGGTCATGTTTTCAACCATAATATTACGTCCGTTTTCTAACGTTATTTCAACGAATCAATTAATTACGTTGATTTTTGGTCAGTGGATGGTTACAATATTTAACGTCATTGTTATGTCATGGTTTTACCTAAAATATAACGTCCGTTTTCTGACGTCTTTTCAGCAACTCAACGTTGAATTGTTGTCGGCTGTTGGTTATTTACATTACGTCGACAGTGTCATGGTTTCGACCAAAATATAACGTCTACTTTTCACTTAATTTATTCAGCAAATAAAAAAAGTCATTAAACCGGAATGCATGTGCAACGTAGTAATTCCCAAACAAAATTATCGGACGCCTTTTTAATTTGAACGACTAAAAATAAGACGTTGAATTATGGTCACCTAGCTGATGGTTATAAATTTGATGTCCAATCGTTATCATCATTGTTTTAACCGAAATATATCGTCCATTTTGAAGATTTTTCCACTTAGCCGCGGCGCGCGCCAATTATAATTGTCTTGGCCCAGAGCCAAGTGCCGCGCGCGCAAAAACCGTATAACCCAAACGTACGTGCACTTAAGCATATGTATGCCCTGTGTGTGACCTCTTGCATTCCAACGAACTCCACTGCTGTACGAGTCTGGCCAGTTTGAATCATCCGTTAAACCAACAGTCACAACTGAAGCAGCTTTGGGAAGAGACATGTTGGCCCAAAATGAACAAGGTTTTTGGCACCTTTTGTGCACAATATTGTCAAGATTCGGTTCTGCGATGGAGTGCAGTTAACATTGGAGATGTTCCCACTCCTGATCTATAAATCCAAGTCAAGATACGACATCAAGATGTATAGGACAAGCACAAGTCAAGATTTCGATTGAACCGCAAGCAAGATGATCTGATTTTGCCATGTCTGAAAATGGTAAGTTTCAAACGCGAATGTTTCCGAGTTAGTGATTTGCAATTTCTTTGAAGGTAAATAGTTTGGAAATTGTATCTTTATTATTATTATATACCCTACTAGTCATGTCAGTTGTAACTTTAAAATTCCATTAAAATACCTTAACTTCATTGTAGAAAGTTATTAATGTTAGACTAGATGTTGGATGTTATTGTCATTCCTTATCTTAAAAAGAAAGTTACACTAACGATGCCCTTTGTTTAAACATTGAAGATGTAGAAAATCCAAACTAATCAGCAGTCATGCTAGTTCTACCTGCTTTCTATCATCACGTCCAATCTTTATTTAGGCCTAGGAAAAATGAGGTCATTCTAAAGCATATCTCATTATGAGACGACTTCCCACACGTACACGTACTGTGTTGATTGAAGATTTAGAATATTAAATTTATTGTGAATTTAACCGCCCCGCAACATATTCCGCATCCATCACTAACTCAAACGATCGAAACGTCTCTTTCATTTTGATGCTGATATTTTGAGACAAATACGTTTTCAATCTAGTTTACGGTGTTCAGAGTTTGGGAATCACGTATAACGATACGTTAATGCCACTTTGTCGTGTACTCTATTTCATGTTGTATTAATACCAGATTTTACTATAAAATTGGTTTGTTGTAGTCTTTGCAAAGCGCTTAGAAACACGGCGTACGACGGCGCTATTAGTGTTAAGTTTTATCCTTGTAAAGAAAGTTACGGTGCTTGCAATTTTAAATTCTTCATTAATTAATTTCAGTAAAATTCGTTTCTTGGAATCGCATGAAATCGCCCATTAGAATTAAAATAGGCCTATGCTTCGACTTGTCTTCTTCATACATGTAAGAATTATTTTTAATACTTTTTTTTGATTTCTAAAAATTAAACTGCTGCTGTAAGTTCAAAGAATCTGTTTTGTTTTAATTATTTACGAGTCACCATTATTTGAAAAATGTGTTGGTATTCAAGAAAATTAACAATGTTGTTCATTTTTCCTCTTTTCCAGCTCTCTGCTTTGGTCAGTTGAGGGAGACGAATACACTACCCAAGCCCTACTTTACGTGGCCCCATGCACCATCAGGATCAACATCAACCGCCTGATGTCTTCTATACCTGCACAAATATTCACAAAAGAGATTAGAGATCATATCTGTGTTGGTTGTGATTCCGCGTGGTAATGAAATCTGATGCGAAATTGATCAGCCTATTAACATTGAACATTTGAAGCGTCTAATTGACATTATTTAAGCCTGTCAGACTGACGCCACTATTTTGAATATTGATTAACGTTGGAAAACTTACTTTTTTTCACTGTTATTTCGGTTGTGTACTATGAGAACCTAGCCAACCAGTTTATTAAAAAAAAATGAACAAGTTGTGTAGTATTATACACAAGTTGTGTAAACAAAGGTTTACACAACAGGTTGCTAGCTTCATATATTACACAACCGTTTGATTTTTACACAACCGAAATAACAGTATTCAATGTCTACAAAAATAACATTTGCAACCATGTACTGACCTAACTTCAATCATGGAATTCAAACATTGAAAGGACGTTATTACGACGGTCAGATAGACGTCAATTTTGACCTCACACAGACGTTATAATTTGGTCATTTTTCGACGTCTAAATAACTTCAACCGCGACGTCCTGTCGACGTCCATTCAACCAGGCAAATCATGGTCAGACTGACGTCATAATTTGACTATATATGGACGTTAGATTTCGGTCAGGTTTTCGACGTCTAAATAACCTACTTTTTCAACCATATTCTGACCTAAATTCAACCAACAATCTGACGTCCTGTAGACGTCCATGTAACCAGTAAATCATGGTCAGACTGACGTCATAATTTGACTATAATCGGACGTTAGTTTTCGGTCATGATTAGCAGTTAATCATGGTCAGACCGACGTCACAATTTTGACCACATATCGACGTTAGAATTTAGTCAGGTTTTCAACGTCTAAAAAACTTACACTCACAACCACTACGGCAACCAAAAAACAACGTCGGAGTTGGTCGGAATCTGACGTCAGATAGACGTTAAAACGACCAAAAATGCCTGCTGGGCTGTGGGAGGGGGAGTGGGGTGGGCTGGATGTACTAATAAGGGTGCGCCAAATTTCATCCAGTGCTGAAAGTAGACAGGTTTTTTTCACCAGACTCCCGGCCTCCATAAATTAAAAAAAGGGGTATGAGGTTGGACATATCGACACCATCTTCAAACGGGGTTGCTGTTCAAAAGCGACATCGTGGTCAATGTCAGACAATAGGTGGTGCTATTCTCTTTCCACGGGACGTTGAAATAAACACTCGCGAAAAACACGATTTTCGTGAGAGCAAAAAAAAAAACCGTGTTGCAAGACTGATCTTGCGTGAATTAAAATCGATCAAAATGATCGCTGCCAGAACTTAAAAATGCGACGCCCGGCCGATGGCACATGTGAAACACCATATTTTTGGTATTTTTTGGGGGACAGACACACAGAGTCTCAGACAGACCAGACCGACCGACCACCAAGTGATAGGCAAGCCCGCTAAATCATGGTAACTTATATAGGAATGTGCGTTTCTATAGTTGCCAACTTTCAAGTGGGGATGGAAGCGACTGGGGGGGGGGGGGCGCCGATTTCTTTTGTTTTAGGGGGGAGGGCGTGCGCCACCTCCCCCCCCCCCTTAGCTACGTCGCTGAGTGGGGGCATGGTTAAAGCGAAATCGTGTTTATTCTGTTTTCAGTGGACGCCTTGTGTTTGTAAGAAAAGGACAAGAAAACAACACATCCTTGTCACTGACGAACTACCGATTGGAATATGGCGGGGTACCGGTACCGGGTTATTATAAGGGAATATTAATAAATTGCTATGCCGTAAATTCCAAATCATCTATGTCAATTGAAATCTTGTTCATACTACTGTAGACCTAACTTAAGTCAGTGTAAAAGTCCCGGAATCCATCCGCAGTCTTCATACCGGTGTAAAAAAAACACAGCCATGTTAACACCGATGGTAATTGTTATCTCATTACACCACCGGTGTAAATCGTGTTTATTCTGTTTTCAGTGGACGCCTTGTGTTTGTAAGAAAAGGACAAGAAAACAACACATCCTTGTCACTGACGAACTACCGATTGGAATATGGCGGGGTACCGGTACCGGGTTATTATAAGGGAATATTAATAAATTGCTATGCCGTAAATTCCAAATCATCTATGTCAATTGAAATCTTGTTCATACTACTGTAGACCTAACTTAAGTCAGTGTAAAAGTCCCGGAATCCATCCGCAGTCTTCATACCGGTGTAAAAAAAAACACAGCCATGTTAACACCGATGGTAATTGTTATCTCATTACACCACCGGTGTAAAATCTGTACTGTACGTGTGTACGTATCGAGATCGGTTCGTCTCTAGCTCTTCGTCGCACGATGGATGGACAAAGCCAACGATAGGGCGCCCTCTCGATTTTGTTTAGACAAGCCGTTCATATATCGCAAAAACGGCTTATAAAAGATGAGTGCCTCGCTGTCTGTCGCTCGTCCAACACATCGTCTGTAGTTCTTGTTGCGGTAGCATCGTGATGCACGTTGGCGACGAAGGTGCATCCGTATAATTCTACCGATTGACTAAAAAAAATGATCGCGTATACTTTCCTTTAATACTCGCAGTCACAATTAATCAGAAATTTATATCGGAAGTCGATCGGCATTTGTTTCGTAATTTGTTCCGACTCTGGGGCCGCACACGGCAATGATGTCACAAACGGCTCCAAGGGCCTACCTTCGGGTTTTGGGACTTGTCGCAGCCCTATCGAGGTCCGATGCTGCAGTCGACTGTAGTTACTCCATTCAAACCACGGAAGGCAATGCCATCATCGGGGCCCCTCTAAACACCGTTCTCACCGGGTTTGTGTACCGTGAGATAGGCGGCATATCCCGTCTGCAATGCGTCGCCTCGTGTGCCAAAGACACACGGCATTGCTACTCCTTCAACTACTGTCATTCGACCAAACTCTGCCAGCTGAACCGTGCCAATCAGGCACGCCAGCCACAGCACTTGACGAAGGGCGAAGGCTGCTCGTATTACGACATCTTTGTTGGTAAGAGAATATTGCTGAGAGCATCAACTTTTGTTTTAGTTTTTCTGCCAATTTAGCAATTCAATTTTCAAATGTTTGTTTTAAGGTAACAGGCCGAACATAACGATTTTGAAAATGTTATATAATTTCGATATTAATACTTTTAGTAGGCCTAGGCCTACTTATTGAATTTTATGCGACCCGGCGCGCCAGCCAATCGAAGCCGCCTTTAGGCCAAAAAAAAAGTCTCCGGTTTCTGGTATGCGCGCGCGTCGCCGTAGCCATGCGCGTCGGCAAAATGAAAACGTTTTTTTTTTTCAATGAAAGATGATGTCTCAAAACCGCCAAATTCACTGGTTTGACTGGAATCATGCTGCTGCACAATTTTAACGTGTTTTTAGATGGGGTTATGGTCGAGAATAAGCTTTATGTGGCTTCTCTGGACTCCCATGTATTTGCACTAAGTCTAGTCGGGCACCATGCATTTGCAGTCATCAGCCGACATTTTAGGCAAAAAAATCAGGTAAAAAAAAAAAAAAGCCGCGTCGCCGCACCACTTTTTGGGCAAGCTTCATACCAGAAACCGGAGACTTATTTTTTTGGCCTTAGAGGTAGTGATATTTGGCCAAAGCTGTTGATCGATCAATAGCTGCCATCTTTTTCTCATATCATCGGGTCGCCAAAGACACGAAAGACGGCGACCGTTCAATGGGCTTATTAACCGTTCGGCCATAGGGCCTATTGAATTTAAAGTGAGGTAAAATCTTCATTTTTAAAATGCGTTCAACTTTCGCGAATTCGCAGCGCGAATACTTGCTGACGTGACGTTGTAAGTTCGCATTCGCTTTCGCGCCGAGTAAATTAAGAACTGGCGTTCACCGACTTACTCTATGACTGACTGACTGACTATTACTTGTGAACCGGGCAGTACTATCATATAGGATAGCCCTGTCATACAATCCGGCCCATTGTGTGGACCAGACGCATGAAAAAACAACGAATAACCCAGTTTGACTCCACTGAATAGAATTTGGTGTGCTCTGTGATCATCTTTACTAGGCTTAGCTAGTCTTGCTAAGGCATTTTTAAAATTGTTACTAGCATCTTAATTTATGGCAACTGAAAAATCGCCTGATTACGTGAAAGAGAAAATCATTATAGTGCCAAAAATTGACCTCTCACTTCCGAAAATCTGAAATGCATGTCGGTAGGCCTACTAGATGAAAAGATGACAATTTATGAAATAATTTTGTGGCGGTCATTGGGCTAAAACTTAACTTTAAATAGGAGACAAAATAATGTCTTTTAGGATATACAATTTTTTTCCCAATGAACTTGAAGGACTCATTAGCATACAGGAAATTCTAAAATTACCAGTGATAAGGACTGCATTCAAGCCAGCCCGACTATTATAAACTTACCCATCGGCTGTCGCGTCGTTATACATTTTCGTTCTCAAGCAAGTAGCCTACGCGATGTGAAACAAAGTACGTAAAGGAACAAGGAGACCTAGGAACGAAAATACCCGATGTCAAAAGTCGTATAAGTGACATTCGTGTTTAGCCCACTGATCTCTGTCAGTATAATAGAGATCAGTGGTTTAGCCATTTCCATGTGATTTCTCATCAATTTTTTTCTTGAGGAATACCAAGATAACATTCCAACATGAAAGTGGGGTGATTACGTTAGAAATCATTTTGTCAAAACTAATGGCAAGAAAAAGGGCAACCTAGCTAGTATAAAATGCCCACAGGCGGGCAGCGCGAGGCCGGGTTCCGGAAGCTCGCCGCGTGATTTTTCAAGCTTTATACCACGGAGACGAATTTCCCGAAACTTGGACGAGTTAAAACACTACATTCGCGAATTACACTGGACCAAACATATGCTTTGGTGTAAGCTCGAAATGGGAATCAACCTGAAGCCCAAAGACTTTCTGGAACGAAAACAAAAATATCTTCATCTCTGGAATAAAAAGACAAGACTTAGTGTAAAAGAAATCCTATGTAGGCCTAACTTTACTGGACGCCAAATACGTCCCTTTCACAAAATGCAAGTGTTGTCCACTACCTACAACACTAAAGTGAAATCGTTCAGCTTCCTGGCAGAAAAGGTCCCCCCCCCCTGCCCCCTCTCCGGATCCATTATTTCCTCTCTTTCCACAATTAACAGTAACCGAGGATGTCTAATGAGGCACTGATGGGGTTCGCCTTGACTACATCCGCACTGAAGAATACGACAAAAGTATCTCAAGAGGTTTTTATCAAGTCTTGTCCACGCTTAATCTCAGACAATGTATCGTTTGATTTATGCCATTAATCGATTTTACATCGCTGCTTTCTCAATTTGTGGACAAATTACTATTAAATGAAAGGTCAATGAAAATTTTGACGAACGTGCATGCTAAAGACGTCCTTCAGCTACTTATTTACCGTAGTTGAAGCATTGCGTAATTGTGTATGGTAATTGACGCACGTGATGAGTTAAACTTTGGGCACAATTAGGATAATTTTGCATTTATTCCAAAAGTAAATTACCGAAATATTATCAAAAAGCTTAATTGGATTAAAGATGGAACTGGTACTAAATACCTTGCTGTCATTAAGACGCAAGAAATGTGGGTGATTTCCAAATGTTGGTGCAATGGTGCATGGTGGGCTCTATACGTGGGCTACTTTTGAATTCTTTTGATAATTTGAACAGGACGGTGCATGCTTACTCATTGGCGGATTCGAATGACAAAACTATGAAGCTGTACGCTCAGGCGAATTTGAATGCTCAAATATGCAAGTTTTATTTAATTGCATAATTTCTCACATTGCATGATTGAAATATGCAATTGCATGATTTTTACATTTAAATTTAACGATTTTTTTTTAAAAGTTAATTGAATGTTGATCTGGACGTGCATTCTACCGTGCGAAAATGGGTGATTCGTCATCCATTTGGATGCCGGGAAAACCTACAAATTGGCATTGGAAAAGAATGCATGAAATGCAGACGATATGCCTTAAAGGGAGCGATTTGGTCCAGAGTGCGCCTTTCAGTTTGTTTGCTCTTAAACGTGCTTGTAATCAGCGCGCAAAGAAATTAGGGTACACAATTTTGGTTCCAAAATATGGAGTCGTTGGAGCACGCATCTTGGCATGTTGCGCCTTCAGGCCCGCAAGTTTCATGATTAAATTTTGAGCCCCCTGACTGGAGACCTTAATATAATACTGGTTAATTTTCTGCTATTTTTTATAAGACACCAAATTATTAGTCTGTGGCACAGCTGTATGATATGCGCGGCAGATTATTCAAAACAACACTGCGTCTTGACCCCTAGATTCTGACCAATTCAGCAGGCACCTTCTGTCGGGTCTTCGGTAACCCGATGTATTACAAAATGGCAGCGAATTAACTAATCAATATAGGCTTAGCTCGAATTTCTGCCTTAAATGACGTCACAACTTCTAAAAGCGCGCTGGTAGCTACCATTTACATGCATCTGGCGGATATACCTGATATGATGTTCATAGTTTGCCTCTGCACACGTGAACATCTGATCTCAGACTACCAAATTATGCCACATAAGGCAAATTGTTAATGTATTTACATTGGGTTCTAATGTGACAGGGTTCTTACGATTTTTTTTGGCTGGAGACAAGACGAAGCCTGCAAGCCCATGTACTATACAAGTATTTTCCTCCCTTTTTTCACCCAGAATGCCAGACGACTACGGACACAAACTACCACAACGTCTACCTGCATGCAGTAGCTAACGTCAAGCGCCTGGAGTTCCAAGTGAAGACTGCCACCAACGCCATCATCGTTCTCAGCCCAGTACTAAAAGATCACAACCCAATGTACGAGATCATCCTGGGGGCTGCAGCCAACAAAGAGGGTGCTATTCGTCGCTGCAAGCAGTGCCCCAACAAACGTACGGTGACCGAGCCGGGTTTGGTCAGTGGCAGCCAGTTTAGGGGGTTCTGGATAACCTTTGACCTTAACACGGGCGAGTTAGCGGTGGGCAGGGCGGGTCAGTTGAAGCCGTTTATGACGTGGGTCGATCCCTCACCCATGGACGTGAAATACGTCGGATTCGCGTCTTATTATAATGATCCCGGAGAGTATCGATACTTCTGCTCGATTTAAACAGATATTCGCTCCGCGTATCCGTACACAGAATCGAGTTTGTCGTGTACAAAACAACGAATACGCCGGGTCCATGGAAGAAGGTCGTGAGAGTGAAAAATGGGTCAAAAGGTAAATTTAGGGTATTTGGGTAATCGATAGAGCATTGAAATGTCTTTCACTTTGCCTCAAAAGGCTACGTCATTCTAATTACGTAATTAACATAATAAGAAAAACGGAAGGTTCATTCTTTTCCCCAGTATGAGGACTTTATCATGTTTTCAATGGCCTATACGACCGTAATAAAACCTGTTCCCTGCGCGTCACGTACATCTCCCTAGCCCGAAGTGCGGAGTTTATTCCCTGCAGAGGATCCAACCACCCGCCTAAGCGCGTAGCCAAGGCAGGAGTAGTTCTCGTCAAAAGGTTGTTCACGTTAAACATGTAAATAACTTAAAAATTAAGTAACCGTATTTTGATTTTAAAAGTGCACCATAGTGTTCTAATTATTAACAAATTCCAGTCAAAAGTTCAGCCTTATGTGATTTGTAGGTTAGAAATGGGAGCGCAACAACTTTTAGAATCGATTATCCTTCTCATTTGCGTCGTTCTTGGAATGTGGCTAAACCTACGATGCACCTACGAATAACAAACAGTGGCCTTTTAGAAATGTCACACACCAGCGACCTTATCCCGTACTCGTAGTGAGCACTGTTGTAATAGCACGTTTTGTGAACAACTTGCAGTTACGCGCGTTTTTCGTTTCTAAGATGGCAAGATTTGTATTCACTAAAAGCAGTCGGATTGGTCTATAACTTTAAAAAATGTTATTCCAAATCTCACAAGAAACGCAAGTTTAAAGGGTTCATGAGATGTTTTTTTTTTTATCTTACAAACACATTTTGTGCAATTTTCTACTCCTCTTAAATGTATAAAAACTGTTTGACATCCCTTTTTAGTTAATTATTGAAAAGTGCACTTCTAAGTTCTGTAAACATTAAAGATGTTCATTTTTATCCCCGTACAACTGAGGGCGCTGTTTCTGTGAGGTCATTACAAGACGGCCCTGTTCAGTTGAGGGGTTTTATGTTCAAATTGTGGACCCAAACATGTTTTCATTGAAAACATTTTGTGAGAAAGTCTGCTCCTCGGCTTACTGCCATGTACTGACATAACAATAAATCAACACAGGAAAACAGTACGACTCACACCAAAATAATCAAAATTCTGGCAACTTTTGGTGCTGAAATAACTGTAACATTTGGGTTTCTGCCTGAAATGACATCCTACTTTTGCTCAAAATTATGAAAATTTGTTTTAGCATGAAAACCGAAAAGGCACTAAAATACCCTTGAAATGGCGAAACGAAAGTATAAAATAAATTGGAATAGGGCACAAATGTGCATTTTCAAGGATTGCATTAAAACAAATTTACATTGCATGGGCCCTTTAAAAGCGTGGGCATTTTCAAGATTTTTTTCGATATCGATAGTATTCTTTAGATTCCTCCAAACGCAAATTGTTTGAAATTTGATAATTGTCTCATGTTGTCTGAGCTGCGGATGTACGGTAGTCTGTAAATTTAAGGTAAATATTTTCACTGTTGTAAAAGAATATATTATTCGAGATGTGTGGTAAAATAGAAGATTTTTTTCAGGATACTATTACTATGAAAGTATTTTTGTAAGCTTAGTTATGCCAACTTTAGAATACTGTCGTACTGTATAGCGAGGAAGGTATATCTCACAACAACATTCTCAATATATGTCTGAAAAGAGCCGAACGGATGATCCATAAATGTACCTCCCTCACCCCTTCAGCGGATATGTTTGCTAGACTAAACTGGGTCCCAATTTCTGAAAAAAAGTTAAGGATAAAAAGGCTATTCTTGTTTTTAAATGTATAAACAAAATACTCCTTTGTACATGACGAATCTTTTCACACCATTTATCATTTACATAGATTCGTGAATCAAGACAAGCAACTGACAAGGCATTGAAAGCCCCTTTTGCCAAAAAATGAATGCTATGCCAAAAGTCTCGCTGACATGTGAGTGGTGCGAATATATGGAATTGTTTGCATGAATAACTCAGAACTATAAATTCCTTAGGTACATTTAAATCTGAACTACGCAAAGCCATCAGTAAGTGGTAGTTCAAAATGCGCTGATCTATGGAGTTATATCCTACTTATAGTTGATTGTTTAAAATGTGTATATTTCTTTAATATTTCTGCGATACTAGTATTTGTAAATATTTATGTTCGTCGTATGTTTCACCAATGCACTTTTCCTTACTTAACATTTAAAAAAATAATTTGAAATATATGCAGGGCCGAGGAAGACCAGTTTCTAACTATTTGGGCATATACCCTGGGTAAAAAACGGAATAAATAAATACTTTACTTAAATTAATTATCAAGATGTAGGCCTCAACCCGTTTTAAAACTAAACTCGTGGATTATGTTCATCATAATTATATAGGTCGATATTACTTTACCAAGCGTCATGGGCGCGTGTGAGGGTTTGTCGAAATTTAAATAATTCTGATCCGGAAATATTGAAAATTTAAGTAATAGACTGTGTCTTTTTAGAACGTGCTGGAAAATAAGTCGATTCCCGATTTTGTTTTTGGGGAAACAGGTGTTGAAACTTAATTAAATACTCAAAAATGTTTGCTCACTCAAAGAACTTGTTTGAAGATTTCTTTCGAGTGAAGTGTCTCTTACGAGGTATAGATTTCGTCACCGACACCACGAACTGAAACCCTCTGCATCACAAATTTTTAAAAATTCAAACTTTCTTTTTTTGCCGATATTAGCAGTTTGTATCATGAAGTTTAACATGACGAAGTTAAAATTGCTGAAATCATCTAAAATAAGCAAATTTTACTAATGAATTTTCAAGAAATTGGTCAATTCTGGTGTTTTTTGTTACCACGAAGTGACACTGCACAGGGTGTCAGTTCGTGAAAACAAAAAATTACGTGTTTTCGGAGAGTGCGCGCATGCAATAGCGTTAGGGAGTGTCAGTTCGTGAAAACGAAAATTGACGTGTTTTTGGAGAGTGCGCGCACGCATGCGCAGTGTGTGCGCGCACTCTCCCAAAACACGTCAATTTTTGTTTTCACGAACTGACACTCCCTAACGCTATTGCATGCGCGCACTCTCCAAAAACACATACATTTTCGTTTTCACGAACTGACACCCGTCTTAATCATTTAATTGCTAATTAACTAAGCATATTTTCACAATATAACGTTTATAATTGAGTAGTTAAAGCATTTTCACGTTAAGTGATACTAAAACCTCTAAGATAGATGGATTATTTTACTGAGTAAATTCGTGTCAAACCTTTAAAAGCGTTTTTCTCCGATTTGTATATCTGCAACGCTGACCACCGGGTGTCAGTTCGTGGTGTCGGTGACGATTTGATTAGTTCTACTTCACAAAGCACGGCCGACTTCGTATGCAGTTTACCTCGTTGGTTATATTCCCAATTTCCCTCAAAAGGGCATACAAAGTTAATCAGTAATTACAAGAAAATTGCCCCAGGAAAATTGTCAAAATACTTATTTTAAGGATTCCACATTTCCATTTTAAATCTCCCCGTTTTAACACACGAAACGACAACAAACTCTATGAAAAAGCTCTTCAATCAAAACAACACCTCCCTATAAAACAAAACAACACACCAGCCAGACCCCATACTCAAGCAAGACGCATATACTAAAATCCAACGAAATTCATATGAAAATTATCCGCCAAATATTCAAGACCCGCGTCACAACATACAGAATAATCAATAGAGAACATCAAGCCAATCTCCCATAGAGCTGCCACAGATTTCGGTTTGTTTTAATTGGACTTATGACAAAAAAGTGTCTACAGAAGAATGCACTCCTCAATATAAAACACCTCTATAAAGCATTGTTGCTTCGAGGAATCAAAAGCTTGTATACAGTAAGTTATATTACGTTGGATCAAAGTTTTGACTCTGAAATGTCCAAGCGGATGATAAAGACTACAGACGGTTTCAAGTGAAATATTTACACGATCGTTCAACTCTGAACAATGTACAATATATCTGAGAAAATCTGCATAAATATTTTGATACGTAATTTCACTACGCGACATTCTTAAAATATTTCAAAATAAGCACAAAATCGTTGATTAAACAGTCAATTGAAGTAACCTTTTGCGCATTCAAATATATTACCTTCATATATCGACTCTCTATAGGATATATACACCACCATTTATGTTTGCAAGAGGAAATGTACATATGCAAGGTTTCAAGTATTTGTCATTAAATCATAGAAAATTTGATTATGCAATTTCATTATAAAAAGATTTTGCTGAGTTTTACTTTATAACAAAAATAATTCCTTAAATTGGACATATGAGCGTGCGGGCATCATTCCAATAAATATGAAATATAATGTTAAAGCAAAGAAAACTGTACAAAATAGCATACATAAAACTTTTTCAAAAAGAAAAATAATTGACTTAATTTATAGGATAAATTATTAGAAACGTCATTGCACAATTGCATGGACACTATGTGTACGTATACTACAAGGTGATATTGTATAGGTTGAAAATAGTTGAAATGTTTTAAAGATGACGCTATAAATAAAGAAAATTAAAATCCAAAAGAAGAAAAAGGAGTTAATTTACAATGCTAAATTATGAGAAACGTCATTGCACAATTGCATGGACACTATATGTTCGTATACTACAAGGTGATATTGTGTTGGTTGAAAATAGTTAAAATGTTTTAAAGAAGATATCAACAACGTAAAATTAAACTCCGAAATACTGTAAATGCTTAAAAGATGCAAATAAGTTAAAACACAGAGCTGCAAAATGAAATAAATAAATATATATAATTAATTTTTCTTTAAAGTATTGGCTAAAATTTTTAAAAGACAACTATACATGTATAGAATTTGAGTGCATATATGCATCAAGGCAACAAATTAAAAATTCATGATTTTGTTTACAGTAACAAGATAAAAATTTGTTGTTTAGCTTTAAACATTTCATTGTCTTAAATACTATGGAAATCATATATGTATACAATCCATCTCGACCCAATCTATATACATGTACATAGAGATATATATAACGTTCGTTGCAATCCAAACAGGTTGGCTCAATTTAAATGGTGACATCGCATGTCAATGACCAAGAGAAAAATATAATTAAATAATTCTGGAAACGAATTCCACGATTTTTGGCAAGATTACTCAATTATAGCGAAGCGTTAATGAATAGAAATTAAATAACAGATTCCTCCCTGGTCAGCGCCATGTTATTCATTTTTGTTAAGAATGTATACTGATTCATAGATTTCACACACAATTGTATTGATTAAACTTCAAACGGTTTTCATATCATGCAGCATAATGTACGCCGAAAGCTGTGTTCACCTCGTCTTTTTTAGAGACCATTTTGCTATACACTGTTTCTTTTCTTTGTGAAGCTGTTATTTTTGTACGAGGGCTCGTGCATATGTAAGATTGTTTTTCTTTTCAAAACTGTTCTAATTTTGTCCTTTTTGGGGGTAAATCTAAAAGAAGGGTATAAGTAGGTATTATGGATTGTAGTATTTCTGTCCTAGTCTTTAATCGTGATATTAGACCTACTTGTACATTTACATCACCAGATTTTTGTTGAAATGTGACTCCATCTTATCTGCTCAGATCCAATCACTGAATTCAAACCAAGACAGTATTTTCTAGCCACCAAAAAATTAAGAGGCTAACATCACAACCATTGTCCACTCCTTACAAAATATGTTAGCCTAATGTATAATAAAAATATTTACATCTACTCGCTTTAAGATTTCAAACGGAGTTTATGTCCAGCCTGAATGAGAATCTCCCCCCCCCCCCAAAAAAAAAACACCAAACACCTTAAACACATTTTTTACCGGTATTTTAAAAACACACTCGAAAAGGAGAACATCTGGCCGTTTATAAAGATATCGGTTATATCAGGAGATTACTGCCAAATGACCAAAACATCAATTTGTATAATCCTGGGTTTTGTCCAACTTTATCTGAAAAATATATCTAGCACACATCTGGATTGCCAAGCATTGCAATATTGCACCATAGGGCTCCCTGTAAATCCAGATTTACTTTTGTTACCTTCAAAATATCAATATACTCCCAGATATCCATATGTTTAATGCTGAGGTTGGCTTGGGGACTAATGCGAAATGCTCATCCCTTAAGCATAATTGCATGCTGACGGTATAAATAGGCATGCTGTGATAAGAGTGAGCACTTGTTATAAATGCTTGTTTTTACAAATTGTGAATGTTCTAGGCCTGACAATAAAAGAGGAAATGTACATATGCAAGGGTAGAAGCACAAACACAGTCGAGGGTAATAACAAACTTAAATACGTGACAACATTGGAAAATATAGGTAGTCATTTTTATAAATGTTTACAAGCACACTTGAAATGTAAAGGAATGGGGAGACAGGACAGCTATATTGTGCATGTACCTCCAACCCTGGGCGGAGTGACCTGATGCCCCTGGGGGCATCAGGTGACCGAATTTTTTGAATAAAAAAAAAATGAGGGCCAATGACGGTCACCTCCTATCTAATCCTCATTCAACCCTTGCCAAATCAGCTGGTTCAATGAACTTTGCAGCCAGGGCTACACCCAGGCCGTGTCAACAAACTTTCGACCAGGCCTCCTGCCAAGTCTCATTGAAACATCAACAAAGACCTGTAACTTGACACAGCCATCTCCCTTCATAACTGCATACCACAGCCACCAGTCAATTATCTTTCCAGCGCACTGTCTGGCAACTGTCTGGACACTGTCTGGCACGTGGCTTTTTGTTGTATTGCTATGAATAAGGTCTTGCGTAGTGCGGGAAAGTACCTGCTGCCCAGAGGGCCCCCCTCGACGAGTTGTTGTATAGTTTTTTACGCTGGGCAAGGTTAAAACCTTCAGTAGTTGCCCACTCTAAGAAACTTGACGGTCGATTCTACATACAGGATATATTCATTCATGGATTTTACCTTGGGTATGTAGCGTCTTCAAATCAACTAGTGGACTGAATGGTGTTGGTGTTAACGCTAACAACAGAATCAGGAAATTGAAAAGATTTTACGTAGTATCTATGAACAGTTATTCAATTTGACCAGCAAATTGATTGATAAAAATCTAACAAACAAAAAAAATTGCTTGTGACACCACTCATAATGTATTGAGTATACATGTAGTTTATATATTATTTTGGAGTCAAACTTTGATCTGCAAGTAATTTCTAAGAGATTTCAATGATAAGATTTCTCACTTGATCACAGTTGAATAATTAAAAACAAAACAAACATCAATTTTAATGTCACAGGTATAAATACTGGGGCAGAATTCAGCTACCCCTTACATTTTTTTCCTGACATGACAGCCGTGCAACATTTTCTTCTCAAGCCCAGCTTTCCAGTTTTTTCAACTGAGGGCCTGCGAATATTTTGATTATCGTGAGAGGAGGGATTTAGCCACAACTCTGAATGAAGAGGTCATGACGACCTCGCGAGCTACGTCACGCTTAACAAAATCAGACTCTGAAAAGTAACTAATATTTCTATATTTTGATTCCAATTTCATAAAATTTCAGATTTTGAATAAAGAGTTGTGTAAAAAGGTTAAGTTCTTTCATTTACCGTGGCTGGGTAAAGTGCTGATCTAGGGGACAAAACTTGATGATAAACTAGTAAGAATGGATGTCTCTACATGCATACCCAAAGTTCAGTAACCCCAACAGTCCCGAATCCTTGATTTTTAATATATTTTTCACACAGCCTAATTAGGGTTAAGATCAGTCATGGCATAGCCAATGCCCAGGATGCCCCTTGACTGTTACAAGGACATTAGGTTAACAGACCTGATACGTTAATAGACCTGAACAAAAAAAGACAGACCAATATACATGTAAATGTAATATTTCAAAAAATCGAACAATCAAACAATATCATACACCTCAAGTTTGCTCAGCTTATGTCTTCTAACCTATACTGTTTCGACACCAACTACCTGCAACAATTGGTAACATTAATAAAGTCGACTCTCTCATTTCAACTCTCTGTTTTTTTGCAAATATCTCAGAAACACACCTTGGAAACGTGTAAAAATATATCAAAATGTCCAATTCATCTCTTTTTTCTTTATTTTTTTTTTTTTAAGCTTGTGCACTTTGACAAGGTATTATTGCAGCATCGCTCGCTTATTTTGTTATGCCGGCTTAATATAAATGTTTAAATGTAATTGGCACTTTCAGTAAAACTGCATTCATCAAGGTACGTGTCGGTTATTTGCACCGTTTTCCATCTATTACCTGATCTGATATCTACTCGACTTTCACACATCAACCGTGTAACTGACTCTACCAAACACAATCATTCCATGATTAACAGGCTTTAAAATCCATTTGCTTATAATCATCACCTGGTGATCTCCTGAACTCTGGAACCATTTCAAAAATGCTTTATATCTTCTTTCACAAGTAACCTTGCATTTCACTTTCTTGTATTTACACTGGCACGGTGACCTTGCCTGGAACTTGTATCAGAACTTGGTCTCGGAACTTGAGCTAGGAACCACAACCTGCACAATGGCTGGAACTTCATTCCATTAAATGACCGTCGGTCCACAAACACGAGAAAAACCAACAACGTCACGATACCGGAATCAATCTCTCACTCCAAAAGGACCCTCGCATTGCACATTCATGTACTCACACCCGCATGATGAACTTGTCTGGAACGTCGCCCAGGAGTAGGAACCAGAACTTGCCTCACGGCCACAAGTTAATTTAGTACATTTACAAGGTATAACGACAGAAAAAACTAGAAAAATGCACGAAACCTGAACCACAACCTGAGCTACAACCTGGAGCAGACCAAGATAAAAAACAAACAAACAAACACAAACACAAACACAAATACAAACAACAACAAAAAACTAGAGCCTAAACCACTTTCTTCCCACAGCATAAACTGCCATAGGAGTAGGGATGACACGTCAACACTCTCCAGTACTGAATCCGAAAGGAGACCAAAACCAAAACAAGAATTCGTAAAGTAAACAAAACTTTTTCTGTCCCCCAAATTATAAGCTACTCCGAGTGATTTATTAATTTTTCTCCAAACAAATCTTTATCAGATTCTGGTAACATCTTTCAAAAACTATAATTGTATGTAGTACAACACATTTACCCTATTTAAACAGACCCTATCCTTTCCGCTCACAATCCGTCATCACTTGCTGTTCAGCTGACAAACTCGTCCGCTTACCACCACATGAGAAAAAAACAAAACAGGCCATTGGCTTTGGATGATCAATTCAAACCACCAAAAAGCAGATTCCTGATCCAAACAGCATCCAACCAGAGGTTTGCAACCACTTGGAGGAGGTCGACCAACAAATCCACCAATCCCTTAATCTCTTGATCCTATTAATCCATCCACTTATCTCCATTAATCCATCCACTTATCGCCAAAGATGCTTGAAGGTAGTCAAGCAGGCCAGATTGGCCATCATCACTTCTGCCATCCGCAACTGGCATGGACGTCCAACTAACGTCTGGATCCACGTATCTTTCGTCGGATCTCTCAATCCACTAATCCTCTTTCAGTCCACTAATCCCCTTCAGATGCTTGAAGACACTCTTGTGGATTGGCGGGGCTCAATCTCCAAGGATAAGGCATACAGCTCGTCATCATCCATGACCAAGTTGGTATCCAACAGGTAGTTTGCAACCTACATCCAAAAAATCCAATATATTAAACAAGGGCAGTGAAATGGGCTACTGCCTACATTTTCTTCACCTGAAATTGGTCAATATTTCATCATAACTTGATTTCTTTTTTAAAATCCCCTAGGAATGCCTCTTCAAGCAAAACACTAGACCCTTTCTGAAACTTGTTGCTGATTTATTTTCTTCAACTTTCAACAAGTAACTTCTTGTTGCATAATAATTCTCAAATTTTGAAATTTTAGTCGCTTTCCTTCATCTCTTTTGCTTGAATCACACCAGACGCTTTCTAAAACATTTCTCAGAGTCCAAAAAAGGATTCTTAAGAAAAGGAGCTTGTCAAGAAGAAAGCATAGGCATGGGTGTCAACTAGAGAGGGGGTGTTGGGTGAGTATGTAAACACCGGCAATCGTGGACCTAGGACAACAGGGTTAGGGCACAAACTATATGCCACGATTGACCGAATGTCCACGATTGAAATTCGTGTACAAAACCAATGAGATGCTGCTAAGAGTACAAACAAAGGAATGAGTATTACCACCAATGGGGGGTCCAGCATTGCCGGTGTTTACGAAGATGGGTGTTTGTGACACCCACCCATGAATACTTTTTGTTGGCAAAATTGTCCTGTCGACAAAATCATGTGTCGATCGGCAGATGTGCTAGGATGAAGAGCGCCACCTAATGTCCGATAATGTCCCTGATTGTCCACTTTGAATAGTGCTCCCTATAGGAAGATGGTGTCCAGTCCAGCCCCTCCCCCCCCCCCCCCCCGGATGGCTGACCGTTAAGAAATCTGTTGTCGCTGAACCACCCCCCCTTCCTTCAAAGTAGTCTAGCATAGGCATCATATTGTGTTCAATTTTGTATACAGAGTGGGTATAACTGGCACATGTTAAAAAAATAGGTAATGCCAAAATCAAAAAGGTTGTCCTTGAAAAATATCACGAAAGGATGGAAATACAGTGGATATACATGCATGTACGTAATCATACCCGTTTGTCCAATTCAATGGTGTAGCAGGTCTTCTGGAAATGGCGAATCTCACGAATCACGTGAGCAATCTGAAAGGGCAACCAGCAACAAGACAATCTTAAAATGTACGACACTTTTAAATTATACAGAAACAATAAGAGACAGTGGAATAATGGAGAAATGTACTACACAAGAGAAATTAGACAAAACTCCTCAAAGAGGAATCAAGGAATGCTCTAAAGACAAAAACAAACGAAGACTGAAAGATTTGCTGAAAAATCTTGGAAACAGACAAATAGCAGATGTGCTGACCATTCTCATCTTGGAGAAGTTAATGAGACCATCATCCGTGACGTTGGGAGTCCCATCCTCAATAAATGCCAAGTCTGTCAGATAGAAGCCCAGGTAGGGCACGGCGGGAGGGTCAATCCTGAAAACCAAAAAGAAAAGACTCCTTTTCTTAAGTACCTATTTTTCTAGAAATGAAAAATTTATTCACTTTTGAATGACACATTGACCGAAAAAAAATTGGATCATATTTAGTTATTGAATTTTTATAAATTTCGAATTGTTGGCTGCCAGACAATAAATCCCCGTTATCGCAGGAGATGCTGGTTCTCATCCCACAATCAGTATTGATAATGTGCAGATCAGGAACCAGTCTTCTCACAAAGCAAATTTTTGAGTGCCCAAAACAAAACAAATATCTTCAGAAAAGTATGCAGATGACCTAAAAAGAAAAAAATATACTAGGTGAAAATTTATTTATAGAAAAAAAAATTGGATTTGTTGAAGAGCACAGGGACTGCAACTTTAAATACAGTCATGACAGTGTTCCAATGAACAAGAGCATACACTTTTAGCGGGAAAGAAGATTGCAGAAATGCAACTTCAGTTGTGTCAAAGCAGAAAGGCCAATCAGCGTGTAGCAGCCAGTCCGGATTGTATAGAGGTCTGTGGTACCTCCACATTGGCTCTTGAGCAGGCTGCACGGCCCCTGGCACTGCTCCTGCACCGAGTCCCTAGCATCAAAGCAAGAACCATATTTTACCTGTGCAGTGCCTCTCTCATGTTTTTGAATCGTCCATCTGATGATACAAGCACTTGCAGTTTCTCCAGCGTACTCTTAGTCTTCAAAAGACAAACGAATTATAGGATTAACAAGAAGCAAAGAACAATGTCCCCTTCAATGATTTATTACAGTGTAATAGCTGACGTAAAGTTGATGTTGAAATACTTTTCAAGCCGCAATATAGCTAAATATATAACTTGTCTATTAACTTTTTCATGTGAAGATTAAAGTGCAAAAAGGTGATATGAAAGTATGGCTCCCAAAAACAGTGCCAGCCCCTTAGATATGGGCTCCGTGCACAAGTACCTCATCAACGGCCAAAGAAGGAGAGTTGGGGGTGACCCAGACTGGTTTCCAGTCAATCCACTGCGGACTTGTAATGTATCCAAAGTTAATGGGGTCGGGGGTTAGTCTCGGAGACCATTGCAGGTTTCATTGGAAAGTATTTGCACGCCGGCGACGCCTGATGCTCACGCACGAAGCGCTGTAGCTTGGCTTTGTGCACATTCAGGATAAAAGCAAGTCGTGTGTACAGTGCACACACGCGGTGTCCCATCCAAGGGGCTCTCAGAAATGGAAAAAGCGCGCCCTCTTTTGTTGCAGGCATGCAACTGGGAATTTAGAAAAAACAAGGAAATTCCAAACCACACAAGACTTTGTACAGTGTTTTTCAATTTGTAATGGCATTCAAGAGAAGTAAAAAACGAGGAACTCAGCGGATCCGAGGAAAAGTTGCATGCCTGTTTGTTGGCGCACGGTGCCCATAGAGTAAGCCTGAACAAAGCTGCAGTATCTCACACTCAGGTGAAGAGTCTGTGAACATACAGCACATCGTTGTCACAATGACCGGTACGACCAGTAATGACCAGCTTTGCTAGACATAAAAATTGCCCAGCACTGTCCTGCAGCCTACCTGTTTAGGCACCTTGTCCCAGACTTTCTTGAGGCGATAGACGGAGCTGTTCATCAGTGCCGATGTGATCTCCAGCACGCTGTTGTAGTTGTGCATACAGCGACAGATGTCTGCCACCGCGGCCCATTTCTCAATGGCCGCCGCCCGTCCGGCCACTGTGCCCTGTCGTAGGATCTCTGAGGCTACTAATTTACTGACCTGAAAAGCGAACGATACGTAGAAAAATGCGATTCCATTGACGAGTGGTTGGGGCAAATTTGTTTTACGATGCTTTAAAAATTAAATAATGTTTTAAAAAAAGACAAACAAGTGGGACTATCCTTACTCTCTAGGGTATATTTTGGCTAGAAACTCTGCCAAAAGCAGTAACATACAACACTTGTCAAACTCATAAGCCTGTCTAACTGTTTGAAATGGCCCAAACGCTGTTATCCATACGTAAATTACATGCTCATCTGCAAATAGCGCCCCTTAGCATAAAGAAATGTATGTCTGCAAATAGCGCCTCCAGCATATAACACCCCACTCCTCCGCTTTTTGACGGAGCAACGACCTTTACTTTTCAAAGATGGAGAACAATGCCTTCCAACTTAGCGCGCTTGGTTCAGATACCTTCTGGGCTAAAAAACGGATTGCGTTTTTCAGTTCCTACCTGTTTGCTTGGGTTTTACGTGTTTATCTGAGCTCTCATGCCATCCATGCAAAAATTAAGTTTGTCTTTGTAGACCAACAAACCCAAAAACTCATTAATATCCTAACAAACTGTACAGCCTGTGGTATCACCTTCCAAAAGAATCAACTGGGTATCGTTTCATAACCTCAAAAGCTTTAGTTAATAGACAGGATAGAATTGTTGTACCTCATTGAATCTCTTGGTGACATCAAGAATGTGCGGTGCCCTGATCGCCTTGCTCTGCTTCATCCAACACTGGTTCAAAAACTCCCTGCAAAGCCAAAAGATTGACAGGTAGGACAGTTTCAATCAACCCCTGCCTTTGTCAGATCAAACTGTAAACATCTCGTGAACCTTACAGCCGCTTGAGACTACTCACATGCACCATGTCTAATAACATTTTCCTAAAATGACAACTGCATGAAAATTGAACCACTTAGTGTCTTTTTTGTCCGGGGGGGAGGGGGGGGGGGGTGTTACATACCAAGGTGGGACAGCCCTGAGGATCTTGTGCTCAACGTAGGTCAGTTGCTCGGCAAGTTCCAAGACATTGAAGACTTCAAAGGAGGTATCTGAGGTAGGATGGCTAGGAGTGAAACCAATCAGCTCCTCAACGGTTGGGGAGATGGTGGACTCCTCTGACATCAGCTGTCTGTGGGACAGGCAACCAGACAATGTACGTCAATAGCGATGTGGTCTGACAAAACATGGCATATTTTTCTTTCTCCAGTAATTAGAAGGGTCTTACAGTTTGCTGGACATAGTTTGAAAAAATGTATGCATACAGACCTTCAAGATAATAAACGAAGTGGTCACCACAAACAATTGTTTGTTACAGCCGGTGTTCTTTACAGCTATATTTGGATGTCTATGCTCAATATAACTGTACATAAATGTTCATTGTAGCAACGTTCTACTGTTGTTGGCAGTTATGTTTTTCACGTGTATTAAAGAAATTCTGGTCGATGAATTTACTGCCGATGATTTATGATCAAGTGGGTAGGCTTAGATGACTCGAGGTCGGAATGCATTAACCCTCCTATGCAAACCTATATTCTGTGACAAGTTGTCCTTTCAGTCAAAACCAATCAAGTGACTGTTTTCAACAGTTAAGAGCTCCCAGCCTACATAAAGCAGGATTGACTGGCTGGGACTGTTTGTGTAACTTGATAAAGCTATGCTTTGACTGTAGGTGACTGATAAGCCAACTGTACCTACCATTTGCCTGTTTTTGTCTGTTGACTGAATTTGACTGGTCACATTGCTTGCTTAAAATATGATCTGACTGTTGGTGACTAGCCTGTGTAAAAGGCATGGCAGGGGCAGAGGATTGATTTTTTGACTGTCTGTGACTGTTTAGATAGCAGGAGGGTTAAGACATCTCGGTTAAGATGTCTGCACTAGTAAGCAGGAGATTGTTGGTTTGAGTCCGCCTGAGCAAACTTGTGATTTTTTTCTTACAAGCTCTCAAGACAGTACTGACAGTGAAAGCGTTTGCCAAGTGTTTGGGAAGATCTGAATCAAGACATTTCCAATGTCCAACCTGAGGATATTGGCTGCTCCTTTGTGTTCCGTTGGCAGGAGGTTGGTGTTGGACACAATCTCCTCCAAGAATTCTACGATTGCATTCCGGAGCTCACTCTTTGACTCAAAATCCTGAACACAAAAAAAATAAACAAACCCTGTAAACCACTACAGTCATAAAGACTTGAGCAAAGACATTGGCAATTTGGGAGACTGCCAACATATAGAGTGAACGTAACTCGGTTGGTAGAGTGCAGATGTGGTGTTCTGTTGGTTGTAGATTCAAATCCGACTCCAGTCTAATCCTTTATTTTATTTAACACACAAGAATAATGAATTAGCCTTCGGAATAGGGTGTGCATTTACGGGTAGTACGGGGACCAGGTACCTGATTGAAAAAGACATAGGTACCTAGGTACCCGTTGATTATTCAAATCTGGGAAGTTGCTGTTCAGGTTGTTCATAAAGGTGGGACAATAACAATACTACATGAACATCGGTGCATCAACACATCAAGGTATATGTACAGTGAGTTTTACAGCGTTACGGAGTAAACTGCAACTTTCGCAAGCGTCATAAGCGTGAAATATGTTTAGTTTTCCCATGTGGCCTGGTTTTCTTTTTGAAAATTTCCCACAAATGACTTTCAAAACCGTTCCCTTTCATTGTCAGAGAATTTATTAAGTAATTTGTAAAGTTGGTTACAGGTACCCTATCCCGTAATCTGGAGCCGGTTCCTGACACCAACGGTTCCGATGCAAAGCCCTATTTTGGAATCTTCCAGCAGTATATATTAATAACATTGGTTTGGCAATCACCATATAAACAGCACCACTTCATTTATAGGTTGTACACATGTTCTGCATGTTCAATGGGTTTTATTTTTCATGGGCCTCATCAGGAGTCTTGAACAGGCTAGGAATTTGGACATAAGATCAAGAATGTACACAAGTCAAAGAGACAAAGGCTATTTGCTGTCAGCCAATCGTCACATGATCATCACATGATACTCACCTGACTGAACTTGGAGACCCAGTGCCGGATGACGTTGATGACCCTGACTGTAGCCGCTGAGCTGATGACTTCCTTGCTCAGACAGCTCTGCAGTTTGCCTCCTGGCCAAGACGAAAGAGAACAATCATAATATCAGGATGCTTCCAGACATGCCAGAAGTGTTGCAGATAAAGCTACTCCTGTTTCACCTGTTCTACGTTGTGTTACTTTGTATTTTGCTTCCAGGTGAATCCATAAAAATACAGTGCTGGGGCAGTTTTGGGCGGAAAAGAACCGATCCACGTTGCCCACTGTTACTGGTCTGGCTTTCCACCATTACTGGGACATTCCAAATCTGGCTTTGGTATCTCGCACAATGCACTCGTCTTTAGTGACGTGCTCAGAGGTTTACAAAAGGCACTTGCAGATGGTAGTGTCCCAGAAGGGTTACCACAACCATCACCATTGTTTCAAAATCAGATTAGTGTTTTGGGAGTAACAGGCAAGGCAATTTTGGGTGGTACAGAAATAGTTAAACCACAACCCTCCTGCAGCCAATTTCACGAAACAGTCATAACTTACGCCATGCATAGGACTTATTGCACAGCTGCGCAATAAACTTATGATCAATTTCACGAAGCTCTGCGCAACGTTTAAAATAATCTAAGCTCTTGGACGAGGAAAATAACAGCATTTACGACGGCTGTTTGTGTATGATTTTGTTCATTCATGAAACAGTCGTTGAATCACCTCAGCCCACCATTTTGAAAACAATGTTGTCCGACTTTCTTTGGAATCCTGTGGCAACTCTAAAAACTCTGTCACAAGTAAACTAGCAATTCATTTACTTCGAACACAAAGCTGTGAGTGTCTTGTATTAACCTAGATAAGTTGTGCAATGACAGGCTTCACCACGACCACGGTTTGCTGGTAAAATATGTCATTTTCAGTAGCTACGCCACAACTTACGACATAATTTATTGCCCAAGTTGCTGACTTACGCATAATGAAACTTTCGTGAATGTGTCATAACTGAAATATTGCGCAGTGTGTAATGTCGCGCAACTTAACGCAATAAATTGTGGCGCAAGCAGAGTTGCGTACAGTTTCGTGAAATCAGCTGCTGGATTCTTCAAAATCAACTTCTAGATTTGTAAGAGTTTGCATGATTTGGAAAGGAGCCCAACCACATGGGCTAGCTTCCCCTTGAGAGTATAAATACAAACAATAACCCATCAGTTCCCTGCACAGCAAAGGATTCAAGAAGATGTAAACACAAGTCTTGTCACAAGGAACAGGGACTGAACAGTGCAATTGCAACGTAATCTCTTGGTCACTATTCAAGTTTCCTAATGACAATCAAAGCAGTGTTCTTCCCAGAAACACATGTCTCAGGTTTGCACTTTCAAACAAGCAAAGCCTAAAACCGTTTTTTTTTTAAAGCTTGTCATCTGACTTGAAACACGGCTTGTGATGATTTGATTTTGACTCTTGACTTACTCCTTAATGCTCTAGTCCGTCTTTCTCTGGATTTGTCTTCCATGATCACGTCCTTAGGGTTGCTGCACCCAGCGGTGGCTGCAGCGAAGGCCGCGCTGGCCGAAGAGGAGCTTGACCGGCGAGTGGACTGGCGCGATGAGGTCACCACCACGCCGGCTGAGACTGTGTTGCTGGGCGGCGAGCTGCTGAACTGGAAATGGGAACCCACGGAGCTGCGGGGAGAGGTTGGGACGGACACCTCGGCTGTGTGCAAACAGAGGGAAAAAAGTAGATAAGGGGGGACAGTCAGGGTCAACGAAAGGCGACACAGTGCGTCTCATCTGTGGCCATCTATGTTTGTAACATAGAAAGACATATCTCCTTATTTGTCTGTATTGTAAATTACTTCAGTTGTACAATGTGCACCCACAAGGAACTGTTAAGGTCCTTTTACACTATCCAGTACTCCATGTTGGACCTACGTCAAACCCCGAGATTTCGGGAACCCCTTTCGAACTAGGAAGAATCCAATATGGCTTCTACACGAGCCTGGCTCCCTGCACAGTTAAAATCCAACCCTGGTCAATTAAGAGGCTCTATCTGGGAAGAAAAATCCCGGTGTAAGTGGAATGGAATGCCTTGTTGAACTGTGCTTCAATCAGACACTTGTTGATTTCAACATGGTTAGGAGGCATGACTCCGTGAGAAGGTTTATAGCCTACCTGATTTGATGCCTTTTGCCAGAGCCGCTATGTTGGGTGCAGAATGGCTAGTGGACAACATCCGCTTGGGAGACAGCCCTCTGGTTGTCGGCTCCATGATGCGTGGACTGGTGGGTGGGGTCAGGGCGTTAGTGAAGGGCGGGGAGGCCGGGGGTGTGGTCAGGTCTGTGGTTGGGGTGTCACTCTCCTGACTGGACTTTTCTGATGCTGTGGAAACAGAGACATTGAGTATAACACACTGCAAGTGGGTAATAATAATATCGGAGTCTTATATAGCGCACGTATCTACCAACTATTAGGTACTCAAGGCGCTGGAGATATGTCTATTATTAAAGAAAGGTAAATAAAGTTTATGAGAAAATATGAGACCCATTATGTAGCACCTTATAAGGGTTTACAAGGTGCTGCGGCGCATATTGCAGCCACTGCCAGAAACACCGGGGCAAACCCCTTCTCTTAGCGATAAGTGTTACTGGGTTCTTTAACGTGCATTACTCAACACACGGGACTTACGGCTTTAAGTCCCATCCAAAGGACGAAGCAATAATGGTAAAGTGCCTTGCTCAAGAGCACAAGCACCATGTTCCCACGGTCAGGATTCGAACCCATGTACCACGGCACACGAGTCAAACACCGTAACCATTGGACCACAGCACCCCACTAGAGTGCTCAGGGAAACGTAAGACATCTTCTAATTTTTCTATTGTTTAGACAACAAAATTTAGTTAAAAAAGAAAATAGCTTCCAAACTTTGGCAAGCCACTTAACCCAAAATATCCAGGAGTACAAATATGGGGCTTAAGATGGGGAGCGACTAGCATTTGAAAGGTATCCCATCCACGAACAGAAATGTTACTAGTTGTTTCATGCCAAGGAAACAAGCAGCAATACACACGCCTGGTATGCTTTACTAAAGCCCTACCCTTTTTGAAGCTCCTTCGGAAAGGGTGCATTCGTGCATTGGTGGTGGTGTCCATAAACTCCCTATTAGTGCACGTCCCGTCGACGGCAGTGACTGGTGAGGTGACGGTGATACTGTGCCTGGTGGACCGAGCCACACTGGGGCTGACCGGCGGTGGGCTACTGGCTGGCTGGCTAGTGTCCATCAGCTTAGGGCTGGATGGCGGATTCACACTAAAAATAACAAGGATTTCATCATGTTCAATTTCACATTTCTCAATATTCTTCTTCACCAGTATATTGAAACTATTTGCTGCTAAGTCATTGATAGTTTTGTTGAATACATTTAACTATATACCTAGAGTTGAACTCTATCAGAGTTAAAGTCCATATCTTATTTATATCAAATGTTATTGGTCTGACTTAAGGTCGGCCCCAATACTGTTTGATTATCCGCAACTCTGGAATGCCAATCTGAAACAGGTCTCGGAGTCTATGGCTGCACACGCCAACAGGATACAACTGTTTGACGGGACTAGCGACCATTGTCTCAGAATTATTGGCAGTTCAAGCTCTTGTGTTAATGACCCCATGCAACCATTTCCCAAAGACCTTCACACCTGTTGCATTCTGCTGCGCCTCGGAGGCCGCTCAAGGGTAAAAGTCTTCTAAACGATTCTGAAGCCAGAAATGAAGCTAAAAACCAGAGATAAAGCTGTGGTTATGAAGACTCTCCCTATAACCTGCCCAAGTCCACTGGGTTGGGTTTTCAGTCTCAACCCGATTCCATGGGTTTCCCCAGAACATTCTCTTCGGTTTCCTCCCACCTCTACAACAAAACATTGCTTAAATTGTCTCCCAACAGGTGTATTCAAGCTTGCAAGCTACAGCACCTACAGCAACTTTAAGGAATCCTTTGTTTTATTAACAGAAATAAATGATAATATTAATACAGTTACTCACTTTAAGAGGCTCTCGACAGTGTCTGGGTTGCGATACACCCGTTTGAGAGTGTCCAGTATATCCTGCCAGGAGGTGAAGACGGCGTAGGTCAGCAGGAATGTGTTGAGGAAGTCGATGCTCAGGAACCGCAGGTCTGTCAGTCGCTCAAGAAGACGCTCCAGGGTGGCGTAGCGGATCTGCGGCACCTTGCAAGAGTTCAGGATCTTGCTGAAGCGGATGTCGTGGTCATCCTTGAAGAGACGAGAATCAGACCTGAGATGCCAAACAGATAAAAAGTTTGATTATCTCCAGTATTTCTTTTGCAGAGCAATTGGAATAATGGTATTGTTAGCCTTGATTGATTGGCAATTTCTAATTTCTGAATGTTAGAAATTGACGAGATGATGATAAGACCCAGCGACCAATTCCATGGAGCTGCAGCTAAGCTGAAAAAACTGCTTGATGACAAATTTATTTGCTTACCAAAAACCAGGGCCCAATTTCATAGCAATGCTTAGCAACCGAGTTTGTGCTTACCAAGCCTCCATCTATTTCATAGAGACCATACTCAGTAAGCACAGCAAAAGCACACTTAACCCCGGCGCAAAAAAGTTGCTTAAATCAGCGACGAAACAATATTAACCTCCATGCTAGGGCAACCATTAGCACATCCACGCCAAGAAATAGCTAGTGCTTAAGCAGTAGCGTGATTTTTTTCTATAGTAAGCACCACTTTTCTGCTAACTGCTAAGCAGCGCTACGAAATTGGGCCAAGATGGGAACCAGTCACATGTTATACATGTATATTATATGGCATTTTTGGCTGGTGACCTGTTTTGGCTGAGAAAATATTTCTATGCTTAACAGCTTCATCCAGCTGGCACCAGGAAAATGTTGGTACAAACTTTTGTGTCAATATAGTCCATTGTCCATTGCCAAAGAAAACTGACATCCCAAACAACCATTTACAGTGAATTGCAACTACAGAACCTTATTCCAAAGATGCCACAGCCTACATGTGCACCATGTTTGCCACCACTAAGTGTGCCACCATTGGTAATGTTGACTGGATGCTATGCACCGCTGCAATTATGTAGCTTTATGCTTTATGGATGCAATGCTATCAAATGGCAAAAATTAAGCACAATATATGGTCCGCGAATGTGTGACAAGATTGCCTACCAAAAATAACCGACAATATAAGGCAATTGTAATTAAAACTCAAAAGAGTTTATAGGTCCAAGACACCCACCGGTATAGTATAAATTGTATAAATAATTCTTGTGTTCATTACTTTCTGGTTATCACCCTCCATATATTTTCCAATAATTTCCATCTAGCGATCATTATTTCTGCTAATGGGCAATGAATTTCTGACGGACTACAGACTATGATTTTGTACAACTCAACACCTCATTTCTGGAGTAATCCAAAGAAACGATGAGCAATTCCACATAAATGTATGAACTTTGTTTTCATTCATGAACATCCACAGAGCATGTTAAAACAACCGTTATCACACACGGAGGGAAAGACCCAAGGACATTCTTTCTGGTCAAGTGAAGCCCACAATCCCCATAAGACTACAGTCCAACAACTCAGCCCCGATTCAGACGGTCTGGTGTTCTAGAGTCACGCCAAGCCAAATTAAAGTCAAGATTTGAACTATTAGATGAACAGTCTGACTGACGTCTGAAACAATAAGAAGTGACGCGTCAGATGGCGAAAGATCGACTGACAGAGTTATTCAGAACGACTCAGGAGCGACTTGATTTCAGATGTCGCTCTAGTCATGAGCCGAACTCAATGCAAATGTATGTAAACACTGCAAATAAGTAGTGGCAATACAATTTATCTCACAATTCAACCATCAAAACAATTTGTGGGGTTTTTTTTAGCATGTGCTTTTATTAGTAACACATGCTTTTATTTGTTCAGTATTTTGTTCCTCCTCACAACACCACAGTTGGCAAGATGTTCTGTAGTGTCCTTTTCTTCTTTTCGGCCATAATTTGGAATTAGGATTTGTCTGTTGACCTTCATGGGTTAGAAATTGCTCCGAAGAAATTATGTCAGATACGGTGGTACTGTTCGAAAATATTAAAAACCATGGTCAGCCGACCATTGTTGGAAATTGATACAAAATTTCCACTTTTCTTGAAAATGACAGCACACCATGTGCCATGATTTCACAGGATGCTTGAGACTATTATTCACTAACAGTCAAGTAAGGTAAGTAAAATAGCAATTTGTTATTTTGTTTTTTGATGTCTGCAAATGTTGTATATTACCATGATTACCTTTAACTCAAAAGTCGGCAAATCACTGACACAATTACACAAAGTAAATAAGTGCAAAACTGCAGAGATACCATTAAATACTAAAAAGCAATGACCCAGCTTTTGTGCATTTTGGATAGCCCTTTAATCGTTTTTTTTTAAAGAAAGATTCTAAGCACCATGCAACAAGAAGCAAGGCACCATGATTCCCAGGTAGTTCCATGGAGGAAGGAATAGACAGTGTTGTAGTACTCAGTTTATACTCGCATTGGAGCCCTTTTATGTTCCCATTACGTGATCAAAATGCACTTGAATAAGACATAAGCATTAGGCCAAAAAAAAAAAAGGCTCTGGTTTCTGGTATGCGCGGGCATCACTGTAATCATGCGCGTCGGCAATATTAAACTTTTTTTTTTCAATGTAAGATGATGTCTCAAAACAGCCAAACTCACTGGTTTGACTGGAATCTTGATGTTGCACAATTTTAACGTGTTTTTAGATGGGGTTACGATCGAGTATAAGCTTTATGTGGCCTCTCTGAGCTCCCATATATTTTGACTAAATTTAGTCGGGCACCATTTGCGGTCATCAGCCAACATTTGAAGGGAAAAAAAGTAAAACAAAAACAAAAACAAACAAGCGCATCGCGCACCACTTTTTGGGGCAAGCTCCATACCAGAAACCGAAGACTTTTTTTGGGGGGGGGGGGCCTAAAAACAACTACTTGGACTCATTATTGAGTGTTTCTTCAATACTCATTCTGTAACAGTCGACTACAACACTGGCCAGAATGCACATGCATAGAGGAAAGACACAACCCAAACCTTTATGAAGCAAAAAATTGGAGGTTTTTTTTTTCATTTTCATCTGTTGAGACCATGTTTAAACTGGGGAATGTTTTAACTGAGGAAAATTGGTTTCAAAGGTAAAAAAAAAATATTTGTGTCACAGAGACACCAGAACCCACTCTGAAAAGATTTTTGAGTGCATGCTGCTTTGGCCTGTTCAGCCTCACTAACTGCAATTATCTCTTCACTCGACAAACTGCTTAAATAGAACTGTCATAGTTTTTGTGTCCTTTTCCAAACGAAGTCACAAGCAGAAAGATCCATTTCCACAAAAGGCTCCAGTATTAGCAACGAAGTTAGAAACAATCTAGAACTTCTAGAGAGAGAGAGAGAGAGAGTGAAGCCCAAACACATCTGGTGTAAATTCCACAGAGCATCAATCCCAAATATCCTACTCACAATTTGCAAACGGCAGATTTTTTTTCAGTTGATATGGGCCTTGTAACTGCAGATTATCATAGGGAACCAACAATTCAGAGCAGTTTAATGGTGCTTGTGCACTGCTGCACGCGCCAGGTGTCAAGCTACCGGTACATGTACTTGCAGGAAAGGTTGCAATTTATGTAAGTACCGGTATGAACTGGTCTTAATGTGCATCATATTCTGTATTTGTGTTTATAGGTAGAGTAGATCATTTGTCATTTGTGCATTCGTTTCTTGAAGCAACAAAAGTGCTCAAAATCCGAAGACAGGTGCTTAACAACTAACCGGGTGGAGTTTTAGCTCTGTGAATGCCGAACATATTCCGAGAAACCAATACTCTAGGATCTTGATTTAATTCAAAAGTTGCCGAAGCATGTTTTGAATTGCAATCAGTCGATTGCAGCTACGCGATTTCACTCACTGATCCGACGAATCATAGCAACCGCGCGCGCACATGTGCATTGTGTCAACGATTGCGCGCAGCCATACACGGATTCGCCGAATTACAAACCAACTACAAACTAATTTCCAAAAATGTGTCACTTGACTCATCTTTGGAAATGACCTTTTCTTGTTTTTTTTCAAAATGATAGCATGCCGGAAGGAATAATTTCACAGGGATTTTAAAACCATTTCTATCTTCAAACCAAACTGCTTTTTTCACAATAATTTGGTCAGTTACGTTTTGGATAGCTGCAAATGATCTACTCTACCTTTAAGGAATGCACAATCTTGATTGAAAATTTCCCTCATACTAAATTTGCATTTCTTCCAACAATACAAACCTCGAAGAGGGGCATATAGCTTGAAAACAGTGGCATTTGTAGATTTCACAAGAATCACCAGTACTTTACACCAGAAGCTAGGGCTTGAGAGAAAGTTGATCGATAATATGCATGGCATGCTGAACCAAAATCCCATGGCCCATGCAAAAAAAGAAACCACAAAAATTAATAAATGAAAGATAAATAACTACAATGCCCAAGAGTCTGATAGGAAATGTTGTACCTCGTGCATGTAGCAGTACATGGGCTGCTTTGTGAATTGTGGCGGCCTGTACTATTTATTGCATGAAAAAAAAAAGGAACAAAATCTTGCAGTTAATGGGTTTCATTATTACATGTAGTTTTTTACCACCCAGTCTAAAAATCATTTACCTCCTAAACGTAGATCCAAGAATGTATTTTTCATTTGTTCACTTCTCTTTCAAGACGGCTTGAACAAACAATACTTACTTTGCCATCTTTTGTCTTTATGGGGTCCCTCTATTTCTAGAGCCCCATGGATGGGACGCACTGCGTGCATGTACTGTTTCGTGCGTGCATGGCGCGAAGTACGCACGACTGTGCACTGACTGAAAGCCATCTTCGCGTGGGCATCAGGCGTCATTGGCAATGCTTTCAAAAGTCTCTCCCAGTGGTCTCCCCCAACTCTCCTCTTCTTACTGCTGAGGGGGTACTTGCACACGGAGCCCATAGTCACACAGCTCAACACCTGTTGATCCTATATGTGTCTTGACTCTAAAGCTTATCATGAAATTGTTTTGCATTGGCTATTAACCCCTTGAGGACGGGGTGTAATGGGGGCATTCCTCCATACATGGAGGAATTGACCCGCATGACTGCACAGCCTTTGTGTGGTAGCGGGACTGCACAAAAGCAGCAGCTGTGGAACTACCCACTAGCCGTGTGCCACGGCATACCACAGCTGGCAACTGCATTCCAGTGAGGAAATAGTGGCCACAGCTATAGCCCCTCCTTGTCTTATAAGGGGTTAAAAATAACATGTAAACTACAATATAATTCCAGGGTAATTCTTACAACATTGGCCCAACTCACCAGTGTTGTAAGCGAGTCCATCACAAGTCCTTTTACAACTCATTTCACAAGTCCAGTCACAAGTCCAGTCACAAGTCCAGTCACAAGTCTAGTCACAAGTCCAGTCACGAGTCCAGTCACGAGTCCAGTCACAAGTCCAGTCACAAGTCCAGTCACAAGTCCAGTCACAAGTCCAGTCACGAGTCCTTTCACAAGTCCAGTCACAAGTCCAGTCACAAGTCCAGTCACAAATTCAGTCACAAGTCCAGTCACAAGTCCTTTCACAAGTCCTTTCACAAGTCCAGTCACAAGTAATGGGGTGAACAATGACAAAGGAATGCTTTTGTGACAGTTCAGTTGAATAGCTAGTGACTTGACTTGAGACTGATGAACTTGTGATGGACTTGTGATGGACTTGTGATGGACTTGTGATGGACTTGTGATGGTCTTGTGATGGTCTTGCAGGGACTGCGGGGACTTGTGATGGACTCGACTACAACACAGCAACTTACTTGATGCACTGTGGCAGGTGGATGGAGGAACTGCTCTCTTCCAATGACGGATCCAGTAAACCATTGTAGTGTAAGTTGTCAATGCACTGTATACAAATTAACAGACAGAGATATGAATAAAATGAGACTATAGAGTGATCCTTGAAGGTGAATTTAGACACACGTGTATGGGACATTCTATAAATTGGGGGTCCACTTTTTGATGCCCCTGTTACATCTGACATCCATGATTTTATCATTCTTATGCACTCCTTACAGAGTATTACCATGGTGTAACAATAAAGGTTGTCTGCTGTGATGTGGTCCATAGGTCTTTTAAAACACTCGGGGTTGCAAAACCCCACGGACCACACAACAGCAGACACCAGTTGTATAATGGGCAAGGGTCAATATAAGCTAAGCCAATTTCACTGACACAAAACTAAGTTACCAGCCAAAACACTGCGGGATGTTACATTGATTGTGGCTGGTTCACTGCGAGTTTTTGTTAGCAACAACTTCGCTAAGTATTACTAAGGGAATAAATGTGTGTTCGGGAGGTATTATAACACTCTGTTTAAGACAGGTGGGAGTCTGGATGGGTAATTTTCACCCATCCAGACTCCCATCACCGGTCTTAGACAGAGTGATACCGACCGAACACATATTTATTCCCATTCTTAAATACCTTTTCGGTCAAAAAAACCAAATCTTTTTGGTCCAAAAATCAAAACAAGTCAAAAACTAGACGTTGCCAACCGTTTTGTTCAACAATTTTACTTCATGTTTTATGAAACACCCCTCTGACTATAATATGGAATACCCCTCCACAACTCGTTACCTTATAAGGACACTGGCGTGCGCGTCGCGCGTACTGCGCGATGTCACGCAAAACGCAGCTGGGCTGGTGTAGTGTGAATTTCGGACCATGAAATACCGATTCACTGGTAGTATTGCGCATGAATATGTGAGGAATGTGAACGTTCAACCAATGAAACGTTAAAAGGCACCAGATTTCATGGGAGTCCAGATTTCATGTGACACTAGAAAAGTGTTTAAGACCAGCCAGCCATGTCTTTATCATCCGTTAAAGACCGGCCACGTGACGGGCCCTCGACTAATAGGAATGCGTAAACTGTCTTAGGTATTCATGAATTTGTGTTTGAGAGAATGGTACCTGACTGATATCACTGGTCCAGGCGGCCTTGTCCTGGTGGGTAGGCGCTACCAGGGTGATGACTAGCGGAGGGCCACTCTTAGAATCTACGATCAGCTTGAAGTCCAGATTGTCATAATCCGACTGGGTTTGCTGGGAGGCTGTGTGTCAAGGGAAAAAAGAGACAATCATGGCCTGCATTTGAGAGTGTTACTAGTGTTAATATGCTTATACTCAACTAGGCCTTAGTAGGGATCGTGGCTTTTTGTCACAACTACGCCACTGATAACTGATTGATCACCACCCTCTGTTTTGACTGTACATGTACCCCGATATAAACCTTTTATGACGATGCCCCTCTTTGTTGCATCTGATGAAGTAGTTGTAGCTATGATGAAGTAATTGTGGCACTCTCCTGAAGAGGGTCAGAGCATACTGACCGGAACGTCGAGTTTATACCACTGGTTCTTTTCAGAACCATTCTCTTAGTTGAGAAATTATTCGCACATGGTGTTTCCGCAAACCTTTCATTATTTAGTATCTCCACCATGCAAAGCCTCAAATCTTACTTAGCTACGAAAGTTTATAAATGCACACTTTCACTCTAGTTAGTCATTTAAAGTGCTACCTTACTTTTCCATTTAACTCCTGAGTGTGTGAGTTTGTTTCTGCATTCAATTAGGGACGTTGAACAATAGAGGACAATAGGGTCCCCAATTCCCGAGAGGTCCCCAATTTGGCTGTGTACAAAACATATGGGAGGTCTTCCTAAGAAGTACAAACAAAAGAGGGACAATAGGGGGTTCCCGATTGCAGGCAAATACACACTTATACATGTATATGTGTGGCAAGTGTATGACACATGGGTTGGGTGTGCACAATCTTGTGTATACTCATGCGCCTGATTTCAAGATGGTGAACTTTTGGAAAATCTATACTACTGTAAAGACTTTTTGCGCATGTGACTCAGCGCAACTTTATCCTCCACTCAATAGTAAGAAAAGTGCCACCAAAAGGTCACTAAAATAAGGTTTATTAGGTGCAGCAAGCTGACATTTGTCTCCAGGACGACGTCAATGAAAACACTTTAAAGCTTTATTTTTCATGTCTCTATTTACAAAGTGGTTACAAAATACGAAGATTTGAGGGACATAAATATGGGAGTTGCATAACTAACTCTAGAACTCCTCCCAAAATACAACAATAGCTCTCAAACATCCAGAAGTAGTTTTCACATTTTCAGGAAATGGCCAGAAAACCAAGATATTTCTACTCACGTTCATCATCAAATGGGTCAAAATCCTCCACAATGGCTGTGTCTATCAGTGGGATCTTGCCTCCAACCTGCAAATCAACACAAAATTTCCAAGGGATTGGACAGTACTATAACACAGTTATACTGTGACACTTTAAACCTTGTTAATTTCTGTTTGTCATTCTTGGAGAAATCAAATTACTGTATCACTCCGATCATTCGCTACGGGGTGATTTGAGGCGTTTCATCTTTCCCACCCAATGCAAGGCCTGATCTGTTGATCCCACAAAACCTGGAGAAATAAGCTGTGCACATCTGTTTTGGATAAACAGCCCATAATTAAAGTGATTTATAATTTAAGTCACATTCATTTATTTCTGATTTGTCAAATGACTGTCTACTGCAGATTAATGTACATCAGTCTACAATATCCTTTAAAACTGATCAATTTATGAGGAAAAAATAATTTGCTGAGTGACTAGGGTTAAGTGTGGCTGCATTGTAAATGCCAAATGAATTTTTTTAGCCCACCCTAATGAGCAGTTTTCCTCATAATAAATGTTCAAGAGTAAGGCTGCTATTGTCATTTCTCCTATGTAATTACAGTATATTCAAGGCAGAAAGGTCAATGGAAGAGCAAGTGGCACATTACTGAGAATCAACAATGCTAACTGGGAGTAGTACAATGTCCTTGGATGGAAAACGGAACTGTGCGCTGCCTGTACATTTCACATCAATCTTGGATGAAGATATATCTGCTTCGAGCATGAAAGCCTATTGTCAGGACTCAGGGGTCACATCCAATGAGCTGGAGGATACTTTAAGTAAAAGAGTATCTGTTTTGCACTGATGGTTCCGTCATCAAAGTGCAGGATATGCATTGGTGGCATTTGAACATATTCATTCTACAATATTGATAAAAACATATCATCAAACGTTACAGGGACAGTAGTGGTACCAGAGAAACTCACTACTTTTTATCCAGCTTGTTTTGCTAAATCCTGGGTATTATGGTGATCAGCAATTAGGAAAGACAAAGTAAAAACATCAGGAAATTATTTAAACAAAAAAGGTGGTTTTTCCTTGCTTGAAACTAAATGGCTGATGACTTGTGATGTTTAAACAAGAAAAGAAGGCGGGTACATGTACATGTAATTTTGCAGGCATGGGGCTATTTTTATAGAAGAAAATTAATCTCGACAATTTACAAATCCACTGGAACCCTTTTCGGCTACATTTACACAATCATATTAAATTAACAAAAATATTTCTTTTTTCAGGGGTTGCAGGTTCAAATCATATCAATTTATCACAAAATGTCATTTTCTGGAGGTCACAGGTTCAAACCCTGCTCCAGTCAATTTCTTTGTTCACCTTTAAAATTAAATGTTCATTTACTTAATTAGGAATAAGGAAATAGCTTACTTAATTAAGGAAATACTTAATAAGGAAATAGCATCTTTAAACAAATTCCCAAATAAACATGAGGACTTCTCCTGGCTTAACTGGATTTCCCATTCCTAGGTATGAAGAAAAAAATATATTTCTGGGAAAAAGTGGAATTTGCAAGGCACCCTCGGGATCGCTAAGGCAACGGAGTGACGGAGTAGCGCAAATCCATGGCAACCACCGACACACGGCATGTGTCTTAATTCAATATCATAGGATCATGTTCAGCAGCTACTAAATATTCTGCAAATAAAAAATTCCCGCTCTGCGCACTGCTATGCCAGGACTGAGCATGCCTACAGTGCAGGTCAAATAGAAGGATAATATCCCCTTCCCAAAAAAATCACATCCCCAAAGCTTGGTAAAGAAACAAAATTTAAGCAGTAACATACATTGTACAATATGCAACATGCAATATTCTCTTCTTAAATTGGTTTGGTTCACACAAAAATTCACAGAATCTCGCAGAATGAAACATCCTTATTTTAAATTACACTTTCATTAACCCTAACCCCCTGAGCGATTTACAAGGAAGTTTCTTCACTCCTGCCTGGGCCAACATGTGGGTTGGGTTTTCAGTCCCTACCTGATTCTGTGGGTTTTCCCCAGAATATTCTTCTGGGGTTTTCCTCCCACCTCTAAAACTGTAGTTTCTTCTCACTGTCTACTCTCTACAGGTTTCTTCAGGCTTGCAAGCTACAGTGCCTAGGGCACTTTTGAGGAATCTTTGGTTTCATTACCAGAAATAAATAATAACAATAAAAAACCCAACACATACGGTAAACTCCACATCACCCAAACTGTTGAACTCTGATTAAGGTGGTATGCCTGAAACCATGTAAAGCACAATCAGTTAATTAGTGCAGTACTCACTCAAACAGATTTTCACAAAACATGCAGTTAGACTTTAAAGGGTTGGGCGGTTAGGGTTAATATATTTCTTTCCAGTTTGGCACAAATTTGCAGTGTTTTTTTTTTTACCCATATCCCTCAAGCTATACATGTACATGTAAGTAATGAGTTCCCTGACTCACATAGGATTGATTATCCCGCATTATTGAATATAGATGAGCTCAATTACAACTTGTCAGACATCAACTGAGGTGATGCCAATACCATCTTAATAAATCAAGACGGGCACTGCTGGAATGAGGCACATCTCTATGTAGTGTGATATTATGCCATTCACACTTTACACCTAGCCATCCATATTGATGTGAATTTGAGGTATGGATCACTGCAAAGGCCCGACAGCCTTAAAATCAGGTATTTCATCAGACTGGGACCTTGAGGGCAGACAAACATGCAAAATAAATTCAGCCTAACTTTACTCACTCTTCAGCCGACAAAATTCTCCACAATATTTAACAGGCATGGCATAGACACGGTCCTCAGTATTTCACCCGCCAAGTTTGAAGTCTCAATTCAATTTTTAAAGGAGACTTTCCTTCAACATTTTGCACCAGAGAGTGAAGCCAAGTGATTTCAATTCAAAGCCTAAGACCAGACTGGTACACGTCCGACTGTTTGTAAAGATTGACCCTTCAGTTGTCGGGTGGCATGACTATAGAGAATGTGAAGAAATAGAGATAGGTACCAGGCCCAATTTCACGGCGCTGCTAAGCACAAAAATTTGCTTAGCACAAAAAAAGTCTGGCTTATAAAAGCAGGTTACCAGCCAAAGCTCCATGTGATTTTCATGCTAAGCAAACAGCAGCTGAATACCAATCACAAGCAATATAAATCACGTGGAGTTTTGTCTGGTAACCTGCTTTTATGAGCCAGACTTTTTTTTGTGCTAAGCAAATTTTTGTGCTTAGCAGCGCCGTGAAATTGACCCCAGATGTTTCTTTCGAGACAGCTGATCGATGCAGTGTAAAAGGGGTGTTGGACTGGTTGTTTCATTCGCCAGTCTATTTTCTTGCATGTCTTGTGTTGCATGTTATTACTAACTTAAGTTTGGGGACTTTCATACACATATTGAGAGTCCCAAATTTTCAGATTGGTATTATTCGTAAAACCCTCCTATTGTTTGATCAGTCGCAGAAAGTTTTTCCTTCCACTTTCTCAGCCGTACATTTGTATACAGACTTGCAATGTCCTTGTCAACTTTTTTCCTCATAATGATATACAAAATTAGCATCAAAAGTAGTCTTTTTCTTCCAACGACTGTCACTGAATTAATATTTTTATGCCCGCTTCTCCATCCCCAAAATTATCATCATGATTTTTAAAGCATTGATTTTTGTAATATTAAATCTGAAACCTCTGAAAATAATGCAATATGTGGATTTTACTGCAGTCGATCTCTACATACAAACAGCCTCGAAGCTCTGTACGTAGTTTCAGACGGATATACCGGTAGGTTAATCCTTAAACTTATTTCCAGCCATTTTATACTCCAATCAGAGCTTGCTTATGTGCTTCTACCATATAAACTGTCCATTGACAACTGGTGAAAGAGATTAAAATTAGCAATACACATGTGTCGTTTTCATTAAATTTGTTGAAATTTTAATTTAAAAAAACAGCTTTTGCGGGGAAAAGAACATCAGAAAAATCAGAATGTTGGACTGAGATTTAAAAAAGCGGCATTACAATTAAAATCGGAAAAATTTCATCTCTGCACTAGAGCACTGTAGCAAAATCACTCCTGTCAAGTAATAGAAGGAAACGGATACACCAACACCACAATTCTTTACGCATATTTGTTCCGGAGTTGTGAGAACCACACTTCAGTCGTTTGATTGGTTTGTGGGGAACAAAAATGTTGTGATGACACTCGTAAGTCCCAACCAACTCCGTCTTTATTTCTTAACAGTGAAACAGGCCTTGCAAAGCAAAAAAGTCCTCCTCTTGCTTCCAAATAAACAACACCAACTTTAAATTTCTTAGAGATCCTGCTGGGGCCCAGTGGTCAATGGTTACGGTGTTCGACTTGTGTGCCGTGGTACATGAGTTCGAATCCTGACCCTGGGAACATGGTGCTTGTGCTCCTGAGCAAGGCACTTTACCATTATTGCTTCGTCCTTCGGATGGGATGTAAAGCCGCAGGTCCCGTGTGCTGTGTAATGCATGTTAAAGAACCCAGTAACACTTGTCACTAAGACAAGGGGCTTGTCCCGGTGCTTCTGGCAGTGGCAGCAATTAAGCGCCGCAGCACCTAGCAAAAAGGTGCTACATAATGGGTCTCATACATGTATGTTCATATACTTCATTTACCTGTCTTTGGTTGCATTCTCCCCAAGCGCATTATTATACGTGTAAAGGTACCACTGAGGAGGCACATTATCGTAATTTCTTTGCACGATGGGAGACATTGGTCATTAGGGAGACATTTTCATGTTTCCCTAATGTCACAACCCCCCTTTAGAGGCAAAATTTTACCGTCGCAATTAGATTATATTTGTTGCTTGTGGTCTAATTAGTAAACATACCGAAATTCATAGAAAAAGGACAAGGGAAAATTGGGTTAGGGCACATTTAAGTTTGAAATATTTTGTGCACAGGTCTATGGGGATGTCTCCCAAATGTCCAATCCAGGGTAATAATTATATTACTAAATGTACTATTAGGGAGACCCGTTATCGTAATTTCTTCAATAATAGGGAGACACCGGCTTTTAGGGAGACACACAACTGTCTCCCTTATGGCGCAGCCCCCCTTTAGAGGCAAAATTTTGCTGTCGCAATTAGGTTATATTTGTTGCTCGTGGTCTAATTAGTAAAAATACCGAAATTCGTGGAAAAAGGACAAGGGAATATTGGGTTAGGGCACATTTAATTTGGAAAAATTTTGTGCACAAGTCTATGGGAAAGTCTCCCTAATGACCCATTCCCGGTAATTATTATTATTATTATTATTATTACCTTAGCCAAATGAAGCTTCCCCCCAGAGGTCCTGGTGGTGATGAGCAGATGCTTGGTGAAGAGAAAACACTGCCTGACCCCCTCCTTACGGGTCTCCACCTTTGCCCCCAGCGACCCTAGTCTGGTGCGGCTGACCCTGGTCCTCTCCTGCATGACCTGTGTCAGTGTACCTTCAGGGGACCAGACATATATGCAAGTCAAAACATACTCAACTTGGGTAGAACCGAATTTGCTTATGTACTTTCCACTGTCAGACATTCTAAAGGTTGTAATGTGACTGACTTTCAAATGAATAAAGCCTGTGGGGAAATGTGGCCAGGAGTTATGACTCTTGATCAGAGGGTCCGAAGTTCAAATCCTTCAGGGGCTATACTGGTATGTTGTGTCCATGGGCAAGCCATTTTAATCCTACTTCCAACTCTAACTAAGTTGCCCTCATATTAAAGCAGCTTGAGCGAGAACTATGGTTAATCACTTTTTGGCCATCTTTGCTAAAACCTAAGCTAGTCGACTGTTGTCGGACTAGTCAGAACCAGACTAACGAGGTACATCACATATAACTGGTTATACAATGGTGGAGCACATGTGTCTCACTGTTCAGCATGGAGCAAGGACCAATATGTTTTGTGATGGTGTTGTGACCATCAGTTCACTATTAGTGCAGAGACTTGAAACTTGCTCTTAGATGCTGGCATAATTATATAGTTAAAATGTTTACACAAACTTTGTATGGTACTGCAACATGGCATAAACCAAGGGGCTGTTTGAAGGACTTACCTTGTCGGACGAACATCTGTTGTACATCCAGCAATATCTCACATCCTTCCACGATCATCCTCTCAATAGAAAGATTCTTACGGATGCTCTCAGTCTCCGATACCTCATCGTGCATAATCTTAAAATAAGAACAATTTTCCAACAGGTTATTATGACAACAACAACTCAGTTTCTATTAAAATCAACACACCTCATACATATTCATGAGCACGTGTAACATTTTGACTGGTCAATTCATCTTCATGTGCCCTGCCAAATATTTTTGCTAAATAAATATAACGGTGCTCAATACACTGGAATGACGTGGACGAAAATACATTCAACAATTCAACAACTGTTGCATTTACGTTGATTGCATTTCATTTTACTGAAATACAAAAAAGAAGTTACTGAAATTGTACGACGTACATATAGTAAAACAAAAGTAATCTTTTATTTGAGGAAAAAAGGTCAATATTTGCTCTTCTTTGTTTTAAACATCAACAAACTTGTTTCCAATGCCAACACCTAGGGGAACAAGTATAGACTTTCCATCCTGATCACCCCATACTATACTTTGTTTTATACCCTCACCAATACTGACTGTTTTTTTTAATTTACAAACAGCACCCAATCGTATCAGCTGCTCTAGTGGATTAACTATTTGAGGTTTAAAACAAAATGTCCCTGATGCCAATACGTGTTCTGCAATTTAATAAAAACCACAGAACCCTGTAATTGTAGGACTCATATCCTTAAAAATAACTTCCTTTTTGATTTCTCAAAAGAGGAGTACACATGTACAGTACATGCAACACTATCGGTTGTCAGATCTCTTCTATATACATCGAGCAGACACCCTGTTATAACAGCTACTATATATGTAAGCTGCACGCTAAAGAAGACCACAGGCAACAAGGATCTATCTCCCCCATCTCGCCGCACAAATACCTGGTCAGCTGTCCCTATTCACTGCGCCTATTTTGTTGCCAATCCATTCCTTTTCACTTCCGAGAAAATTATTCTTCAAAAGTATGCCATCTCGCACTCCCATTTCTATCCCCAATCCATTTTTTATGTTGTCTGACTAAAGACTTCTGTATTTGGTTTTATCTTCTTCTTTTTTTGGCTCTATTATCTTGAGACCCTGGTGTAATTGGAGCCATATCTTTCCCATCCCGTCACTGGTCCCCAATCTACCCTATCACATTCCCCTTGCCCTGCGGTCCACCGGTTCCCCGCCATGCTCTCCTCAAATCCATCATATCAGAGTCCCGCCATATGATAGCCACCTGCGAGGCATTTAAAATATTATGCTTGCACCGGAAATTGCCGGATGACTGGCAAGACTCTTCACGCAGGCCACAGAGGAATTCGTTCAAATCTCGGGGAGATTTCATGAGCACGAGCTCTCGGCAATATCCAGGAGTAGGAAAAATTGCAGGAGTGCTGCGTACCTGGAAAATAACTCTATCGGGGAGCCACTTACAAGAACAGTTCCCCTTGCAAGAATTGAATGCATATTTCCATACGTTTTACAATAAAGGGAGCTACATGTATATGAGGCCATTCTAGAAATTGGGGGTGCACTTTTTTTCCTGTACTTGTTACATCTGATATGATTTTATAATTCTGATGCAGTCATCCTCCAACAGTGATTATGAATAGCAAACCACTTTAGTACATGTACCCCCCCCCTAAAAAAATTGTTTGAAGTCTTTCTTGATGATACCTGAATGGCAAATTACAAAGTACCAAGTTAACAGGGGCAGGAAAAATGTCACACTTTGGGCCCTAAATTAAAAGGCTGATCCACATGTTGATAAAGTCTACATGTATATAAAATCTAATAAAATAGTGAAATAAACATGGTGTATGTGTGGATTTTAGAAGGAAATTAAAAATGAATTGAAGAAAAATTCACAAACTTAGTCATGAGCTGCCAGACTTTTAAATGCTTTAAAATGAAAAAATAAATAAGAAAGGAAACTTAAGTTTTACATTATATTGACTTCTACATTTTTTTCTGGTTTTTTTTTTGTACTTTTTTTTAAAAATATTTATTTGTACAAACCAATAGTTGCACTATTTATAAAGCAAAACCCTAAGCTTAAAAAAGATACAGCAAAAAAAAAATAAAAAAAATGTCAAACTGTTTGCAGAGTGATAACAAATGGCAAGCGTTCACTTTGTACAAAAATACAATATATTTGGGGAATAAGAAAATTTCAAGCCATAAAAAAGAAGAAATATCCATGCAATATTTATGCAAAGAAAAAAAAAAATTGGAGAAAGGCAGAAAGAGATATCACTAGAGCACCCCGGCTGAGTCACGGGGCCTCGTTCCTAAGATGCACCGGCTCACCCTGGAGAGTTCCTCCAATTTGTTCTTTGCATATTCCAGGCTCTTCCGCTCGACGTGGTCGTGCGGCGTGTGGGCCAGCAGCTCGTGTAGTGTAATGATATATCTTGGCACCTAGGCACATGTCATAGACAAGAACAGGGAAAGAAAACAAAGAGAGACAGCGAACAAATTTGATTAGTGCTGTGTACTTAAGATTGGGATTGAGCAAATATCATTACACACTTCCGCTGACAGGTTGAACAATTTAAGGATTTTTTTAAATTTTAATGAATGAGTTGTTAATTCTCCAGTAAAAAGCGAGGACACGTTTTTGTTATTCATTTACTTGCTATCCTTACAAAAAAAATCAAAAACCTAATCTAACTTCTAACAATGACAAGCAAATGAAATCTTGGGACTAAAACGTTTCACACGTTTATTTTCACTTGCTTGTATACATACATGTAAATGTGGGGCACACCCTACATATCTAATGTGCTGCATGGTTTTTGAGCGATATAAGTGATATCTCATTCGTGTTTTTACTAACTTGACACATTCCAGACCAACAAAATGACAGTGTCCAAGACAAGATCTAAGTTGCAGTTGATATAACTGTGAGTGTGTACCATCAAATTTTTGACTTAATATTAGGTTTTGCCCTTCACCGACGTATAAACACTGTATACTCAGTGTGTAACCTGGACTGTTGCAAGGTTTGTTTAATGCCAAGGCTGTCTTAAATTGTTCACCGTTAGTATTCTATTCTATTCTTTGGTGGACTATTCATGTGACAGGTGGTTTCTGTGATGGCAGTTTTTGATAGCAATGTACATGTACTGGTATGTATACAGTTTGCAGGGAATATAAGACCTTTCTAAGGGGCAGTCCCTAGATCGCCAATCAATGTAATGTACAATGTATTATCTTGAAGCAAACTTGAATTCTCGATCCTGATTGGTCAATCCATGGCAACAACAGTGTAGTACGTACTGTCCCATATACCAGTACATTTACCACGGTCCATATCGCACTCCGCGTATGGCATTATTCTAAGATGCGTGCATCATTCCTCCTGCACCAAGAGTAAAAGGAAAACCGCTGAAAATTCGTGAGCAACATGCCTGTTCGCTTCAAGTTTGCTTGAAGATAAATTTGTTGTCCCACTAGAGCTCATGGAACAAGAAAAATGGAGTAGGTCTGTGTTCCATTTCGTCAGTCTCACCACGAAGTGATGTATCGTGTGCACAAAGTCCATAGACGATACGTCACTTCGTGGTGCACCCGATGATTTATATGACACAAGGTTGAGTGACATATAGGACACAGACGCACTAAATTATTCTGCGTTCTGCTCGCACTTGGATGACTAATATTGTACACCTACAAAAATATCCTGGATTGCTATAGACCATTGTTGTGACTGACATCTGGCATTTGAACACCTTTTTAATCCCATGTGAGTGAAGGCTTTGAGGATTAAGAGGAAGTCAATCCATTTGATAATATAAATGGGCCAAGTTGAGATGTGGATACTGGCAAAAACATAGGGGTAAAATACTGCAGGATTGTGAGAGGAATGACATGGAAACAAATCATCCCAGTCAGGATATTTAAAAAAGTCTTGAAATGACATAATATTTGCGGCAACATTCGCAAATGTTTTGACTGATACTGTGCTGTCTGCACCAATGACTTTTGTGTACTTGAAACATCTGCACCAGTTCTCTTGTACAATAAAATTTCCAGGTGGTTTGGCCGTCATTATTGTTTCACATGTATTAAGTAACATGTACGTACATGTACGACTGCATCGTTAATTTTAAAGGCATGTAAAGGATCATTAATAACACCACTCAAATTCCAAAGGAGAATATTCAAAACCTAAACTGTTAAAGTTTCAGCTCAGTGGATATTACACTTTTTGAAACAACAGTGAAAACCAGGCTCACGAAACACGATGTAGTCCATAGCACTCTATATTTCCAAAAATCAGTCAATTAACTGATCGTTGGAAATCACCTACATTTCTTGATTTCTTCTAAATGACAGCAAGCCAGACGGAATAATTTCACGGGGTGTTTAGTCCAAGTTAGCTTTTTGATAATAAATTGGTAGGTTACTTTTGGGATAAATGCAAATGGTTTTATATGCCCTTAACATGCGTTGATAATACCTTCCCAATTTGTCTTGTTTGGCAGGAAAGAATACGATACATGTGCTTATGTTTATGTCATTTGCTATAATTTTTCTGCAGCCTTGCAATGAAATTCTATCTGTTAGACTAGCCAAATTTGTTGCACAATGTCTGTGAACATCCATTATAAATTGTACTAGTAAATAATATTTTCGCATTTAAAATAAAAATGAATAAGATTTGAATTCTATCCTTCTTCTCCGAAAAGTCTCCTTATTTTTTCTTTTAAGGTTTTTATTGGATAATTTTAGATTGTTTTAAAATTTTAACTGGCTTATTTGTATTTCTGTGAAGCGCCTTGAGCATCAATTTTTGACGGATTTGGCACTAAACAAGAATTGGTCATTATATTATTTATTACACGTATATCGTGTCACGTAAACTGTCATTTTAATCAAGAACAATCAAATGGTAGCAATTTTTTGTAAAACTGGAAGTGACATCATTCAAGTCACTCATATTCTGCATGGCATATCCTGATAAGTTTTGTACAACTGAGCAATGCACAGCACAGTCAGATATGTAACGCCTTTCCCGCAAGTTCATGACAGAGATTCTTATTTTAAACATGAAAGCTCTCAGAAATCACAGGTTAAATTACATTGACTTTATGTAAATTTTCTTGCAACGTCAAGAAATATATTTGTTATATTACCGTATGTCTTTGAAACTGTAATTTTATAGGTCTAAAACTGTCACGTGTCTAGTCTATATACAATGTAAATGACTGTTGACCTCATACATTGCATATAAAATACCCTCGGTACCTCATATACTTCACATTGCACTGCTTTGCAAATGAACTGCCTTTCACTGGTGCAAGTACATGTATGTAGGTTGCGCGTGCAAGCACGCAGAGCAATGCAACCACTAACTTATACTTATGTCCGGTAAAGAAACCTTTATCAGTAATCACAGGTACAATGCGGTGATTTCCTTTATTTCTTGCAGAGTAAGTGATGCTTATCTTTTGTAGATAGTGGTACGATATAACAAAACAACTATTTCCTGCTGCATTGTGGGTCGAGGGGGTATTTGCTCCCTCGAGGACGCCCATCACCCTTTGCTCTACATGTACATCAGGTGCTCTACGCCCATTGGGTGTTAAAAATTCCATATCCCACATCACAGCATTCAACGATTGTTAACTTTTGAATTCTGTAGGTGGGGCATGTTTTTTTTTTAACAAGAATGCATGGCACACTCATCTTCACTTCAAAAAACGTGCCAAACATCCCTAAGGTGTTCAGATTAATTGCCACACCCACATTAAGGCAGTCAAAATGGTAATAAATGGTAGTAAAGAATCTAAGTCTGCTTCCACATTGCTTGGTATCGCCGGGAATAACACACAAATGAGTTAGGCAAATGAGTTATTGCCAGCTGCAGCCTATAATATGGACACAGCAAAAGTTTCAACCAATCTTACTTGATGCATGGGGTAGGTGAGGAATGTCTCCAGCGATCGCCCCTCACAGATGGGCTTGGACTCGTAGCACTTGAGTAACTGGTTGAACATGGGACTCTTCTGTTTGCATTCAGCTAACACCTGCAGGCTGTAGTGGTGATTGCGCACGTACTCGTTGTAGATGCACAGCATGGGCAGCAGCATATCAAACAGGTCCCCTGCATTGGAAGGAACGGTGAGGGTCCATATTAATATCATACTCTGTTAAAGGCTAATCTGATTTCCACAAGTTCCATACAAATGTACCTTATTTTCACGAGGAAGCCATTTCTGATCTTGTTCCGTGAATTTTGTTTACACATACATGATTTGGTCATAAAATGACCTGCCATGGGCCGCCATTTTTAGTCCGTGTACAGACTATTATGGCAACTGCTAGATTAGTCTACGAGTGTGATCCTCAGCAGCACATCATGAAATGTTACAGCAGTGCCATAAACTCAATGTATGTAAAATTGAGGAAAGGGTTGGAACTCCAATTCTAGATTAGGGAGATGTGAGACAGAAAGATGGTACAGGTTAAGATATGGTTGTTTGTATCCTTTGCAGAAAAAATATGTATGAACCACTATGTGCATGCAGTGTGCCTCCAAACATTGGAGATCAGCTAGTGCCATCAATTGTTCATGTACATGTACGCACCACATTGCAACTGAATTCATGGTCCTAGGCATATGTGACCTGTTCTGTCAAAATCAGACTTTTCTGGGCATAAGGTCGAAAATGATATTTTTACATATTGTTAACATATGTTCTTTTTACTTTTAATAGGTGGTTTAATTTTTGAAACCGGTCATTCCTGGGCAGAGTTATGCTATTTTGAAGTTCATTGTGTCGAAAAGTAGAAAACGGAGAAAATGGCCATGAACGTCACAAAACAGTTTTTTTTAAGTGATATACCTTATCAAAATCATCAAAAATAGTATATGTAGAGTTCAAATTAGGGTTTCAAACTTTTATACTATATTTTAGACATGTTCAGGATTACAAATATGCAAAATTTGAAAATCTATAAAACTCACCCCCACAGCGTTTTTGGCCCTATCTCAATTTCAACCTCTGCCCAGAAGCGTCTGCTTTTGACAGAACAGGTCATATATTGCTAAATGTTCCAGACACCAATTCAAATGACAATACAAAATTCTGTACTTTACCGAGCACCAGTTTTGGCCAGTGTTCCATTCTTGCACTCAGTCCCTTGTAGAATATCTGGTGCAGGAAAAACACAGTTTCACTGGGAACAAAGGAAAAAGTGAGGAAAATGTATCAAAACATCTCCATTCTGAACATATAATTTACTATGGTTAACATTAACCGCAACCATTGGTACAGGCTGCTTTCAATTCTCTGACGACCCTGTTCAAAAAAGCAAAGGATTAACACAAGTTAAAAAAATAGCAAATGTAGTAGAAAAAGGAAAAATAATGAAACCAGTTCGACAAATGCCTTCACTGACTACAGCCCAAAATAGCCAAAGTAAACACAACTTCTTTAATCTGTGCTACAAGCAGAGGGAAAGGGCATCAGTTCAAATAGGAGTGCTTGACTAGAGGTCTTGGTTAAGTCTTCCTAACACAAGAGTCCTGAAAAAAAAAAAAAAATCTGACAAGAAGCGGTTGCTTGGAGCGCCTGACGAAAGCAAGGTTCAAGTGGCAGCAACGGCAGCTACCGAAAGCCAGATTATCGCAACAGACCCATGCCCTGACAGGTCTCCAGATCAGACAGTGGCTGGCCAGAAGACTTGACTCTTCATTTAGACCCCAGACATGTCACTTGTCAAGACAAGTGACGCATGTGTGTACACACTGAACAACCCTTTGCAGTGTAGCACAGCACTGCGAGTTGCACTCTTTGCACTTATAATGTACACATGGACATCTCCCATTCAAGAAAACCTTTTGCTTTACAGGTAATGCATCAAGACCCATCTAATTAACCCTGACTTATGTACAACCCAAGTCCATGTAACACACAAATTGAAAACACAAATGAAAAAAATGAATGACAAGCTGTGACAACTTTTGTAAAACTCAGGCTCATCAATTTGTCAAAACGTAGACACGCTTTACTTAAATTTTTACAGCCAAACTTCACAATTTTGAACTTTTTTTTTCAGCACAGCATGCAACATTGTACCATGTGTACACATGCAAGAACTAGGTTGCATTTCCTGAAAATATATGTCTGTACTTAAAATCACGTATCAGAAATGAGATTGTAGTTAGAACTTGGAAAATTCACACGTTTTATACCCTACCAGGCCAGTACTCACATCATGAAAACACCCAAAACTCACAACAGTATTTTTTTTGTTTTTGTTTTCTGTTTTTTGGGGGAGTGTAATTTGGCTGAAATTTTACATGTACCACGGTATACCACGTCAGATAAAATTTCTAGTTCACAACCATGTTGTGTAGAATTTATTTGTACATGTATCAGATCTTGGCAGTCCCAAACCAGTCATGTATCATATAGTGTCACCCAATTTAAATGAAGCCGAAATTTTATATGCATCTTTGACTTGTCAAACCCAGATGCTTCGCCTTCTTTATCTTTTTCTCTTTGAAAACCTTATGTATGCCCCATATACCGATAACATCCTGCTAGGGGTGTCCTGATAAATGCCGAAGGGTCACACACAAGATATTTTTTTTAATATACCGGTATAATTTTTTTTTTGACCGTCAGTGTGTGCAAACATCAGAGTGCCCAATCCTCCTCTCCTCCCTCCCCATATTTCCCCTCTTCCAACAATATCCCAAGCAATTTCTGACCTTTTCAAGCGAGTTCTACCGGCGTCCTCCATTATCCTTATAGTTCACTGGATTTATACCTTGAAAGTGCTTCTCAATAAAGATGCATCCAAAAAAAAAAAAAGTCGCACCAGAAAAGGTCATCTATCAAATGCTGCTGCGGGGACAATTCGCGAGGACAACTGAAGCATGTGCAGGTAACCGGTATGTATTGCGGGGTCGTCCAAATGCCATTGCATTGTTTGCCAATATCAGGGACTATTGACTGACATGGCAGAGATGGAATGAGGGGAAGCAAGAGGAGAAATATGGACACCTCTACTGATACCGAGGGCATCTTCTGTTTGGAAGGTTTTTTTTTCGGCCAAGTCAGGTGCTCCCTTGTGCATGTACTTTTGCATGTGTATAAAGGTGTATGTGTGCACCTACTTGTACCGGAATACATGTATACATATTTTTCTGAAGGGCAACTTTAAACAGTAAAGTCACCAAGTGTGGTCTGAATCGAATGGGTTAATTAAAGGCTTTTTTTTTCAATTTCAGTTTTCATTTTACATGTATGAGTACAAATTAATAATTTACACAGTATATCTACATGTATAATGCGCAGATCTAAAAATACAATGAAAAAATGGATGAACCATTTAACAAGTTTAAGGTTGGTTGTGTTGGGGGTATATGCCTTTGTCATTCAAATTTGTTAATTGAGACGCAATTATGCAAATTGTGCATGAAGCTGTCATATGTATACACGTACCAGTACATTTGGTTGATAATGATACAAAATCACACCATGCATGTGTAAAACAATTGGGTAAGTACGTAATTTGCATACAAAAGTAAGAGTGTGTGTGTATGTAACTTTTCATATAATCATCCTCAGTTCGTTCTAATAGCAAGCAACCTGTACAACCAAGCAGCAAACCGGAAACAAATCGCAATATTGCTGGTACTCTTGCACACACACTCATTCTTTATTCCTTTTAACATGTTTAAAGGTACATATGTACAAAAAATTGCTTTTCTTTTTTCTTCAATTGAAGCAACAAAATTGCTCAAAATCTGAAGTACATGTAGGGTGCATAACATCTAACCTGTTGAAGTTTTAGCTCAGTGGCTACCATACATCATGTACATTTTGAGAAAACAGAAAACATACAATGGATGTATCATGTACGCACAATTTTGGAGTGTCATATCTGGATTCCGTTGCCAACACACACTACAAACCACTAAATCAACAATTATTTTCTTTCGATTGAAACCATCTCAGGCAGAAGTATTTCACATGGTATTTAGGACCTGAAGCAGGGCTCGCAAAATCAGCCCGACGTCCAGGGACAACCCAAATATTTTGTCAGACAACCAAAAGTTCCAGGTTGCCAGCCCGACGGGCAACCACATTTTTTTCACCAATACTCACACATTTTTATATGTTGTTTAAATTTTGTTTTAGTCCTTGGGATTTTCAAAAGTTCCAGAATCCCATACATGTGCACAGCGTCGAACAATAATTATGATAATATCAACATTTTGTACTATAAGCTGCTGTGCTCAGTGTCACCATTTTGCAAGCGTGCGTGGCTGGCAGTGGTCGACCATGGCTGCGTGCGTGTGTACGGTACCCGCGCTCTGCAACGCGCTGGCATGGTACATGGTGCACAGCGCTCCGGTCATAATATTTTTGGAAACACACGTACATGTACACAGGATTGCATTCGCTGCCTACACACGTTGCTGCATGATGTAGCCGGACCGTACGTACAGATTGAGATTGACCACTGATTCGTTTTGGCTGGTACCTGTTATTGTTATTACCAACATCACACTAATGCTTTATATATAACGGGCGTTACATTGTGCTTTGGAACTGTGCTGAACTCTATAATCTACCTCCCCATTTTCTTTCCTTTTTATTGAAGTTTTTTTCTTTTGTTTTTTTAATATCCAATGGTGACAATTAACAATAAAACTAAAAAGATTAAAATCATGAGAAAAAAAACGGTGTCCACGTGACATGACGCAGTCACACGTTGTTTGATTCACTGATAACCCAACTCCGTATTAAGTGCGTTACTTCTACGGAAGTTAAGGGGCAGGGTACAATGCACCAGCTACAAATCTTTTCATTCCAGTTTGCCACGGGCGATGATATACCGTGCAAGTGTAATTAATCGGCCATTAAAAGTTCTTTATTGGGCAACTGAATATGAAATTCGGGCAACCAGATTTTCAAACACCCCTGCCCAAAGGGCAACTACATTTTTAAACATTTTGTGAGGCCTGGCCAGCCTTGTCTTCACTTTTGAGTTTAAGCGCAGTTTTTCTCATTAAACCGTTAGGTTCGTTTCCGCGTAATTACCGATGTTCCTCCAATTATGCAAACATGTCTTTTGGCAGTGAAGTGAACGCTGTCAAAATTCATACTGCCGCAATGAGACTGAAAAAGGAATTATCCTAAATGAAAAAAGATTGCTGCATGCACAATGAGGTCGTAGACAGTGTTTAATTTGTGTCTCGCCAGCAGTTTTGACAACCCTGTTTTTTTTTTTATTAACGTACGTCATTACAAATAAGCATCATCTGCCTTGAAATTTTAAAGCCAAATGCCACTGTACTTTTGAAAGTACCGGTACATGCCAACCCTACCAATATGATGAAGGCTTAATTCCACACCTTATTTAAGATATTTTGTACATTATGTATGTATACCACATCATGCATAAGTACATGTATAAAATGTACATGTACAATGTACATGTACATGTACCGGTGGCCACCATTTTTCTGGGGGTGGGGGGGGGGGGGGGAAGACGCTTTACCCTCCTAGCTATAGAAACATGCATTGTCAGCCTGGTTATTACTTGGGTCATTCAATATTGGTCAATTAAGACCCCCATTGGTTTGTACATAGTACATGTATGCCAGGAGGTGAGATAGGCCTACATGTACAAATATTTTGACCACTGGTGAACTTAAATAGTATGAGGGTTAATGCTTAAAAAAAGAAAATGTGCCTGATGATATTGGAAAAATGAGCACAAAATTATATATCGCTTCAAGGGCATTTGCCCCCACATGACTACTGGCAGGCAAGATAATATGCCCCATGGCATTAAATGGTGACTTATACAATGTATGTTTTGTGAAATTGTTCAGATGAAAGCAATTATGTTAAATGAGGTTTACTTACATGTAAGCCTTATATTATTCAAATAATCTTTAAACATTACATACATGTACATGTATGTTCGTACCTGCTGGGGTATAGTACTTTAAATACATGTACAACTAATAATAATAGATACCGGTACATCATACCGGTACATGTATGGTTACAGGAAGTCAGAAATTCAATCCACTTTCCCTCCCATTAAACTTTATACAGGCTAGCCACCAACATTCAGATCTTATTTAAGGTCAGCACTGTGACTAATCAAATTCAACTAACATGATCAACAAACAAAAGCAAGGACATTTG